AAAGAGTAATAATAAATTAATACTAAATACAAGGGACCGGGGATAATCAATAAATGACTACGCTTTTTATAAATAAATATTCCTCTACCCCCCCCCCCCTCATCGCCACACAGTGCCACGAAGAGCATACCACTCACCCCCCCCCCCCCACACACACACACACACCTAAAACAACATCAAACCTCAGCCTACTACCCCCTTAAAAAACGAAATTTATGCTGTTGAGACAGCTATAATATTTTCTAGCTTAAGAAAAGCGTGGGTCACGCTCAGTAGAGTACGCAGGGGGGAGCAGGGGGAGCGGCCGCTCCCCCTCTGGCCATTTTCAGCCAAGTGGCGCCTTTTTGGAAACTTTTTAAATTCAAAGTTTTAAACAATGATATTTGTTAAAAAAATATTTTTGGTCGGCACATCTATGTAAATCAAAAGATTTCTTTTCATGCAGCAATTAAGCATTATTGTTCTAGTCTAGTAGTGTCTACGTTTATAACACGTATTAACAGCTGCATCAGTTTGCCATTCTAAAAATAACCATTACGATGCATTGCAATGTTTAAAAAACCTCTACGGGTAGTACCACTTGGCAAGAGGGGTGTTAAGTTTAAGGCAACTGTATAATGTGTTTGCTTGCGAATAATTGAATTAGAAAAATGTTATACATAAAACTTCACACATAATTACTTTTATATATACAGTTTGAATCGTGTGATTAATTTTAAAAAAAATTACAATACAGAAACAGTTTGAGCGATAGTGATAGTGATTACGATTACAAATTATATGAAACAGTTACAACCCCCCCCCCTCCCCCATGGACCCCTCTGTAAAAAAAATATTGTCATAATACCACTGCTACTTATTTAAATCTATTTCTGTAATATATATTTGTGTAATATATATTTGTGTAATATATATGTATGTTTAGAACAGTCATCTAAAAACTGATGCTATGTTCACTCTGAGTTAGTTATCTCCCCCCCCCCCCCCCCCACACACACACACACACCTCACCACCACAATTGTGTAGAGCGACATTAATGTCACACCTAGGTATACACTGGGTTGGATAATTGACCTAAAGTGAACGGACAGTGGTGAATGAAGCTGAACCCATCCAGAGGCGTAGCGACCCCTCCCGGCGCCCGGGGCGATCTTTTAGTTTGGCGCCCCCCCCCATATATATATATATATATATATATATATATATATATATATATATATATATATATATATATATATATATATATGCGTGTGTGTGCGACAGTCTGGAAACAAGTTAATCAAAAAGTCTAGTGACAATTTAAGCGCAATTTCCTTATGTTATCTAAAAATAGCTCTGACGTATAATGCTGGGGTGCGTTCAAGCTAGGAGAACGATCGGTTTGTAGGTGTTTATGTAATTTTAAAATTTGTGACCGAACGAAAGGATATTTTTGAAAACTTTCTTTAGCAATATTGTTCTAAATTATGGCAGGAATCGATTGGTAAATGTTTCAAGTCGCTAAGTGGTCTGGTTGCCGAGATATTGGCCAAAAACTGCATTTTTTCGAGGTTTTTTTTTGGCTTCTCCGGGTAATCCAGGAAGGAATTCCGGAATTTTTTTTGGCCCACTATCATCCTCGGAACTTGCTTAACAAATTTGCTTTTGTAACTAGTCCTCGATATTGCTTTGTTGAGGAGGAGATACGACTTAAAGCTGCGGACACACATACATCCATCCATTCCCAGAAAAGACGAGTTAATAAACGCAATTTTCCAGAATGGAAATTGCGCTAAAAAATTAACAATTACGCTGATTCCCTAAAACTTCACTGGACGCCAATCAAATTCCCCTTAAGATGCCGAAACGAATAATAAGTAGAAAATCAAAAGAGCTTATAACAGTGGGCATTATCGAACCCGAGAGGTTCGGTAATTCACTCTTAGGGCTTCCGCGGAGGTCAAGACACACGCCCGACTCATAGGATTCAAGATCGGATTTGTCATTGTGGACGATACAACTATTAAGGACGGTTCGGTGATTGCGCATATGAAACTGGTTGGGTTCGGTACTCCAAAAAATTAAGAACCACTGCTTTAGAGTGTATTTTGTAGAAGATGCAAGCCTTATTTGGTCTACTTTTGGTCGTGTCTTTAGAACAATTTCGATTATAGTAGGCCAGTATTGCAACTTTGAATTATCAGTTAGGTTGAACAAAGTAATAATCAGTACAATATACTAATTTTCTTCTCTCTTAAAATTTTGGCAAAGAGTGTTGCTTCCCATCCACCAGCTCCGTCAGTCTGCTATTTTACTGATCGGATAGCGATACAAGAATCCGTTATATTTATTTCTCTTTAATGAAGTGATCCAGGCAAGATGTAATGTAATCAAGTAAAAGTATCTGATCTATCACGATCAAGTTGAGAGAATCGTAAAAATCGTACAAAGAACCAGAGTTTCTTCCAGGCATCTCTTCTTCGAAGCCCCCCCCCCGAAAAAATTCGACCGCCGCCCCCCCCCCCCCCCGAACGAAATGAAACTTATATAATTTATATAGAAAATATATACTTTTAACAGTGTGCGCCCCCCCCCCCCCCGAAGAAAGTCTACCGTCCCCCCGAAAATTTCTAGTGCCCCACCCCCGGGGAAAAAGTCTGGAAGAAACACTGCAAAGAACTAGTCGCGTTATTACTTAGCAAAACTGGGTAGTGAAATCGTACATTAAGTGTTAATACAATTGATTTCTTTTCTAAGTGTTAAAAGAGTTATCTAGCAACCGATCCAGTACACATCCTGCGATTTTTGTTAGTGAAAAAGCGCCCCACCCTCTTGGACAAAAAATGGTAGAGCGGATTTTAAACGCCACTAACTCTTTTTATGTTATACAATCGTAAAATACGCTTTAGTTCAATTGGTTTCTTTTCTGAGTGATATCGGTTATTTATTCCTTAATCCGGTGTAAATTTTTTCTATTTTAGTCTTCGAAAAAGCGCCCCCCCCCCCTCCCCATCTAGGAAAGCTGAAAAGCGGTTTTTCCAGTCACTGTTTCTTAAAGATATACGTTTTACAGTTACACAATCAAGGTAGAAAACAGTTAAATCAGTATGCAAAGGCTCTCAGCCGTTAAATTTCTTTACTTTGATTGTTTATAATTCAAAACTGCAGCTTAAAATGAGCTTTTAATTTTTTTTTCTACCCCTTTTGGCGCCCCCTTAGGGTCGGCGCCCGGGGCGGCCGCCCTCCCCGCCCTCCCCTAGCTACGCCTCTGAACCCATCCCCCCCCCCCCCCAACCCACCCCGAACGGATCTGTTAAGTACATGTAGAGAACGCGTAATGATGTAACAAAGTACCATGCCGCCAGAAAATTAGCTTTTTAAACGTAAAACTCTGTGAATATTGTTTTTGAAATTACCAGTAAAAAAGGTGTGTGATCAATACAGTGATCTAACCCATACCTATCACTATGTTTAAAAAATGATCTTTAAGAACACAAAGAAGCAGTAGATAATTGAAATATATGAATAGTACTGAAAGACCGTTGTTCAGTTACATGTAAGCTGTTATTCCGAATGTTGTTCTAATATATCGAAAAGCGTGCTTTTATACCAACTCTGATTTTAAAAACTTTCATTATGCTGTAATACTATAGCATTTATGATGACGATATATTAAATTCTGATTATAGACAAAAACATTTTGTAAACACGAATAGTCTTAAACAACTTCATTATATTCTAAAGTAATTATTTATTTGTATTGACATTTACAATTAAATGTGTAAATATATACATATTTATATTAAGAGAGTGGTTATTTCCCCTATTTCCCTTGTCTTAAATAATTTACCAGGAATTATTATGTAAGAAATTTTGTTTACGTTCATTGTTTTTGGTTGTAGTGTATATATATATACAAAAATTGTATCACTCTAAACAATGTGTATATATATATATATATATATATATATATATATATATATATATATATATATATATATATATATATATATATATATATATATACACATTGTTTAGAGTGATACAATTTTTGTTTTGTCGGCCAACATTGTGTGTTTTTTCTTATTTCTTCAGAGTGCTACTTTCAATTTACTTTACATAGCGAATTAATGATATACAGCTATATATATATATATATATATATATATATATATATATATATATATATATATATATATATATAATACACGTATATAGAACGTGTTAAAAATTCGGCGCCTTTTTTGTTCTTTTCGCTCCCCCTTCAACGAAAACCAACCTGGATACGCCTCTGGTCACGCTATTCTATCCATTGGATACCTTTACTAATAATTAGAAAGAGACCCACGCTTTTCTTTATGTTATTTAAATAGTAGTGCACTGTTATATTATTTAAAGAAAATCATTTGTTGTTTGTTTGTTTGTTTTTTCATTTTTAGTGCATTATTACATAGAAACGTGTTATTAAAACGTTTATATGCATTTTTAGCGCAATTTCCTTACAGGAATTGCGATTATTAAGATTAACTCGTCATTTCTAAATGGATGTGTGTCCCCAGCTTTAAGTCGTATCTCCTCCTCAACGAAGCAATATCGAGGACTAGTTCCAAAAGCAAATATGTTAAGCAAGTCCGAGGATGATTGTGGGCCAAAAAAATTCCCGGAATTGCTTCCTGGATTTCCCGGAAAAGCCAAAAAAAAAACCCTCGAAAAAATGTCGTTTTTGGCCCATATCTCGGCAACCAGACCACTTAGCGACTTGAAACATTTACCAATCGATTCCTGCCATAATTTAGAACAATATTGCCGAAGAAAGTTTTCAAAAATATCCTTTCGTTCGGTCACAATTTTTTTTTTTAAATTTCATAAACACCTACAAACCGATCGTTCTCATAGCTTTGAACGCACCCAGAGCTATTTTTAGATAACATAAGGAAATTGCGCTTAAATTGTCACTAGACTTTTTATTAACTTGTTTGGTTTGTTGGACTATAAATCCTTGGCGTAAAAGATGTAGATCTAGATCTAGTGTTGGTTCAAGATGGCGACCTCCATGTTATCTTGTTAAGCGGTCTGGTCTGGGAAATTTATCTGTGATTACCGGATTACCTAAAGTAAAGTAAAGGTAATAATATTCTATAGGCTGCTATTAGATATACTGTTGAATTATTTATAATCACGGGTATCACGTAGATTCTGGATCGATTTAGCTAACTTATTTTTTACCTAGACTACCTGCTAGCGCTAGACTTAGACTAGGAATCGTCATGTCAAACAAAAGTTAATCATTTTCATTTGTCAAATGGCCAAATGCAAATGGACTAAAAATATAGAGATCTAGATCTAGGGCCTATTGAGTATATGCCGTGGAGTGAATGCTGGATGGATGTGGAATCACTTGGTAGATGACTCGTGACTCAGTGGTGACAAACTCAGTCTAAAAGTAAAGTAAAAGACTAACAACTAACAACTAAGTAAGACCTAAGTCTAGTAATATTCTAATATCATAATAAATTAAATAGATCTAGTAATATCTCTTATATATACAGTATACACTTAGCCTATCGGATGATTATATGAAGGGCTCATTGGAAAAAGTACTTAAGTGTATTTTGAGAGTTTTGAGAAAAATGAGTGCAAAGTTTTTAAATTGAAACTGAAATACCAAAACAGCTGATGCAAAGTATTCGAATTAAGCTACTTCGGTACTTTTTCCATGGCCCAAATTTACAGGGATGGTTAAGGGTAGGTAATCAAATAATATACCGGTCTTAACTCATTTTTGAAAAAATGTAACTTAAGTACTTTTTCCACTGAGCCCTTCATATACTTTATACACTTTATAGGCCTAGTATTTATAGATACGACGGGTGTCCGATAATGGAATCTTCTTTAAAAAAGGGTGTCGGGTTGTTAGTAGTATTGTAATCTCGACTAATTTTATGCTTAGAAATTAAGGTTAGGCGTATGGTAAGACCAGGGTTAGGGTTAGGGACAGGGTTAGCATTGAATGACATTAGCCAGCCCTGAGGTGCATTAAGTTAACTACCAGTAAGCTATTTTAAAAAAGATTCCATTATCGGACACCAGTGTAAACAATCTCCCCACTTATCTACTACAGTCAGTAGTACTAAGTACTAGATAACTAGATCTATAAGTTTCACTCTTGCTAAGTTGCTTGACTCATGATTGAGTGAAAGTGGAGTATTGCGGTGTTGTTTACAATCACAATATGTAAAATACTGTAGCCTATGTAGTCTACTAGGGCCTAGGCCTAAATAATATAATTAATATAACATTAACTGTAGAATTGCTCGTTAACCTAGTCCTAAAAGCGTCCACATCTGATGCATGTTTTCAGACGATTTTGCATAATAGTTTCAGTGACCTTCTTAAAATTCTTGTTTTAAATGTTTTAAATACATTTTCAGATGGAAAAATTTGATCTTCTTACTAATTCTACTGAAGAAGCCAAGCAAATTATATTGTGTTTGCAGAAAATTGGTTGTTGTGTTCGATGCATTCTAAGAAATCTTGGAGAATTAAATCCAGCTTCCTTCAGATTGTCAACTGAGGTAGAGAATTCGTTCATTTTTTTATTGCCTTGGTTTAGTGAGCAAGTTCAATTTTCATAGAATGGTACTGCCAAATTTGTGAGATATTAAATTATTATTTAAGTGTTTGACAAAATACAGACTAGTGTCATTTTTATTTGGGAAAAATATGTTAAAAAGTTTGAGCCTGTTTGTCAATATTAATACATACACATTACTAGTTATTTATAATCTTTTCAATCACTGTTAAACAATTGTTCTTGTTCTCTTTCTTGTCTTCTCATAATTCAAAAGGAATTGCAAAGCATATTACTCCCAGAGATTGATACATCAATAAATGAGTGTCCATGTCCTGGCTGCTTAGGAATTTTACAAAAATTTGCAGAAGATTCCTTTTTAAATCAGGTGACTTTTTAATCATCAATGTATTTTTCAGTTGTCTCTGGACTTCAGCCACACCTTAATTTTAGCAATAACATGCAAACATTCTCCAAAAGTAATACATGGTTCATCAAAATTCTTTTAATTTAGAATTACTTAAAATAACCAAAATGTTATGGAATTAGTGCAATAGAGATATTAAGAGATTTTAAAAAAAAAACGTCATGGTTGTTTTGCACACAAGTAAGATAACTCATATTTTACTATTTAAGGGGGGACCGGTAGTGAAAACACATTTTGTTACAAATTATAAGATACATGCTTTTTTAAAAGTGTATTAACTTTAAAATACTTTAAATATTATAATATTGTATTTATTTGGGACCAATTTTTCATTTTTAGCTAAATTTGGGGTCAAAGTGAACATATTTGAGGTACACGGTGGAAACAAAATAACTAAACAAATAATTAAAAACAATGCAAAATATAACTTTGCACATGCCTAGTAGACATGAGAAAGGATGGTTTGCCAAAGGGATATTTTGATAACTTACAAAATAAATTTTTTGTGCAATTTTTAAAAAGAATTTTTAAAAATTCATATGATTTTCTTTGAAAACAATTTTAAAACTTTCACAACTTTTTTAACAATTGAAGTACGGCAAAACCCCTTTGCATGTTTGTAGATACATATGTTCGCAACATACAGTGTTCATTTCAAGCATTTCTGAATGGCACATTTTGAGTTAAATTGTTTCCACCAAGTTCTATACTGTAAAATTTACAAAACTGAGAAAACTCATTTATTGTCTAAATATTTTATCATATATGTATGTATCAGCAAAATAATGAATAACCTTGATAAATAATTACTTTTCCGATAATAGTTATGGGGAAAACAGCAGCTTACGACGTTTAAAAAAAATGATTCTAACCTTCACCAGATATTCAAAATCCCAAAAAAAAAGATAAACAAAAATGATTTTAGATGAAAAAATTACAATTTTTCAAAAAAGTTGACTACATGTCTCGAGCAGTTAGTGAGCTTTTATTATATTTTTTGCATTTTATATCAACATATTAATAATTCTTTCTTAATGTTTTAGATACTAGATAAAGTGAAAGCAGATGGATATCAGTTTTCTGATCATCAGTGTTCTCTCATTGTTCCAGTATCTCTTATAGTAAGGCAAAAGGCATTATATGTTCATTTAAAACAGCTGTTTGGGTAAGCTATTGTAAAGTTTTAAGTTGATTAGTTAGTTTTACTTGGTTAATTTTAATTAGTGTTTTGTTTTTAAAACATAATCCTACAGACTTTTGTTGTGTTCAAACATTAAAGTGGTAAAAATTTGGTTAAAGGAAAGAATATAGACTTAATTTTTTAAGATTTTGTTGTCAGAAACTAAGGTAATGTTTTGTCAACAAATTTCATACTTTCAGGGAGAGTTACAAAGGTAGTGAAGATAAAATAGCATCAGTAAAGGATGTGTGGAAGTGGAGCTGTGGATACAGGCTAGCTGGTTTGTTGGATGCCACATTTCAGAATAGGGTGTGCATTTCTTTGTTCATTCCTTTATAATATTTTGCTGAATTTAATTAGTATTTGTGATCATTTATATGATATAGTCTCTTAAATTATTAATTTACTGTGTTACATTAATTTACCTTTTAGTCTGTATACATTAAAAATTGTGTTTTTTTTTTAGAGCCAGTTTGATATTCTTATGACGTTTAAATATGAAGACTCAGATAAGGAATGTGCTTTTCTGTGAGTAAAATAATGTTCTTTTCCATTCTTTAAACTGAAGTGTTTAACCAATATTGCTGACAAATTGTTCCTTATTTAAACTAGGTTGGATACTCAACCTGACACATTCAGAAAGAGGAAACAAAGAAAGGTAAAAGCAATAATAATTTAACAATAGATTTTAAATAGGAGAACAGTAGAGAGATAGCTTTGAAAAATAAGAAATTGATAAATAAAATGATTATTTGAAGATTTATTATGTTCATTTTATGATGGCTCACACTATTGTATTGACTGTTGCAAAATGCAGTTAGAAAAAAGATCTTATTTTCTTTGATCCTAGTTTGGTTATGAAACATATACAAGAGCAAATGTTGCTAAGGCATTAAATGAAATTTCTGATTCTAAATTTCATGAGTAAGTTTTTAATTTTACTTCAGGAAAACATTTACGTTTACTCATTGTAATGAAAACTTTTCATACATATTTTTAAAATAGTTTGGAATCTAAAATTAATGTATCTAATAATAGCCATAATATTAATTATTGTTTCACATATTTGTACTTCACCTTCTTGTTTTTAAGTTCTGTCACATGTCCACCTGTCATCCCACATAGTGAATGCAAATGCACTATCTCCTGTAGTCATGATGCCATCTTTATAGCAGGTGAGTGCAACTGTATTTACATTTTTAAATATTGTTCTTAACAAAAACACTTTATGCCAAATAGTTTATATTACTAAATAATAAACTTTCAGAATTTATGGGCGGAGGTTAATTATAAAAGAATACTCCAAATGTGTTTTGACTAGTATTCCCATCTTTATGGTGCACATGAACAAACCTATGTCCCACCTGTAACAATCTTGTATTTGCATGTCACTCTATAGGTCGTTATCAGAAGTACAGCCGTGAGCTGAGTCAAACCCCCTGGTTGATTGATGGGAAAAGAATTATGGAAGGATCTGTTCAGGAGTTGATATGTGACCCAATCCTAAAAACATTTAAGCCCACAGGTAGGCTTACGCATTTTCTCTAAAAGTGCACAACAGATTCTTAACTTTAAGTATCTTTTAGGAAAAGGTATTTAAGTATATTAACCAGAAGATTTGCAACATACAACAGGAATGTAATGTTCTAGTGATTGGCAGATTATCGTTTGTCTTCATCTGGAAGAGAAGATGTGGATGTGAGGATGCTTGGCATAGGGAGACCATTTGTGGTGGAGTTAATCAACCCTCATTATGTCAAAATCTCTAAGGATGAACTTCGTGAACTTCAAAAAGTTAGTTTTGCTTTTAACCTATGAACATTTCTTTACCCAACAACTCTGTTTTAACCTCAACTATATTTAATAGAAGGTAACTATTATTTTACTTTTCAATTAATGAAACCTGTATTATTGACAGGAAATAAACTGTGTGTCAGCATCTGTTCAAGTCAGAGACCTTCAAATTGTTACCAGGTTTTTACTTTAATACTATAGTGATTGATGTTATTAGAAGAAAATTATACATGAAAATTCAGGATTGAAAACTAATGTAAAATTTTAAGATCCCAAATATTCCCCCACTTTAAAGCTAATGTAAAACTTTAAAAGACAACAAATATTCCCCCAGAGAGGATACAAACATCCTGAAAGAAGGTGAGACTGACAAGACCAAGTCATACAGTGCTGTGTGTTGGTGTCAAAGAGAAATTACTGAAGAAGATATCCAGATGCTATCTAAGCTACAGGTGTGGCCTAGGTTCCATTTGTAATGTCTTTTAAGCTGATGCAGTTTTTATAAAGCAGTGAGAATTTTTAAAAATGACTTATCCCCCCAGTATTTTTACTCACAGGATCTTAAATTACAACAGAAGACACCACTGAGGGTTCTTCATAGAAGAACTGCAGCTACACGAGAAAGGACAATTCACTCCATGAAGATAACACAACTAGCCAATAACCGGTTCAAGCTTAACCTCACCACTCAAGCAGGAACGTATCCTTTCATTTGACTTGCTCTGATTTATACAAATTATATAACTACTCCTTTTGTTTACTTTAAGACTGTTAAAGTTAAAGCTTCAAATAAAACAAAGTCAAGTCATTTAGTATTATTTGTCCTCTAAAAATACTTTTAATTTATCTTTTCTTACATGGTTTGACATAAAGGTTTATTTTATTGCCTGGTTAAAAAATTGACTTTTAGTTACAATTAGTCTTAACTATACAAGATATGTCAAGGAATTTGTTCATGGGGACTTTGGTCGAACATCTCCAAATATGAATGAACTTCTACTGGCTGAATGTGACATCATAGATTTAGATGTCGAGGTATAAACATTTTTTTTTTAATTATTGAGGTTAACTCTATATTAATTCATTCCTTAAATATTTGTTAATTTTTGTTTAATCTTCAGTCTGTCAATGTTGATTGGCCACCTTTAATAGACCCTGTTCAACTAGATGAAACAAACCTATTAAATCACATTGAATCAAATAATATAATTTCAAATACAGAGGTGAAAGACTTGAATTCGGGAAGTGCAACAACTTCTTAGATTATTAAATTATTGTAATCTATTTATATTTTAAATGTTCCCTAATTTTAAAATGTTTGAAACATAGATTTATTACAATTATTTATAGAAATTTTGAAATAAGTTACACAAAAAAATAAAAAATAAACACTACATGTATTTTTTTCATTTGTCAAACTTATATGTTCTCCTATGTGATTTGGTTTTATTATGTTGTATTGTTAAAGTATGTATACAAGAGATGTAACACTGAATGACTAACTGTTTTGAAAAGCAGGACAAGAGAAAGAAAAACCACCATATCCCAGGGTTATAACAAGACTAGAGGAATGTAATCATGTTGAGTTTTTAACCAATGTCCAAGATAAGGGGCATAACCCTTTTCAACAAAATAATTGTTATATTTTAAAAAATTAATTACAAATCTAAAAAAAAAATTATTATAATTTGGAAAATTGACAATACCAAAATTTCATAACCTTTAAAAATTAGTTCAAAGAATCAAAATTAATAAAAAAAAATAGAATCTAAATGCTAAAAATGAAAATATGCAGCATATTTTATATCTTAGGAACAAATGCAACATCTTCAACAAAAATTCCAAAAAAACAAACAACAAATGAGCATGCAGTTTCATGGAGATATGGAAAAAAAAGAAGCTCAAAGCAAAAATAATTAAATATCTTTTTAATAAATATTTTTTATAATGAACCATAATAAAAAAATGTCTTAATAAATTTGACATTGGCAAGAAAGAGCACTGAAGATTTAATTATTATGCCAAAATTGTTTTATAATAAAAATTGGATTGTTAATTTTAAAATGTACTAAATAATTTGCCATCTTCTTGATAACTTATTACAAATTTTAACTTGCCATCATGGTAATTCAGGGAAAATTATTCTGGATATGTATTTGTATGAAAATCTGTAAAGACAAAAATGTACCTTGTCAAAAGTATTTCAAAATCATTCAATGGCTAAAGTATTCATAAATGTTATTGTACATAATGCTAAGTGAAAAGAAATGTAACTAAAGATGTAAACATTGTAAAGAACATACCAGAAAAACAAGAAGAAAACTGTCTATGAGCGACAACCTTGAAGCAATATTGTTTGGAGTAGCTTTGACTTTAGAAGTAGTAACTGTGGTGGCCTTTGACACTGGTGAAGAAGTGGTGGTCACCACAGCTGACATCTGGCTTGTTGATAGCTGTGTGGTTGGCTTAGGTGTGTAGTATTCATTGTAGGTTTCAAGTATAGATGGGCAAAAAGCTGTTTCTGTCTGATCATTGCTAACTGTAGATAAAGAAAATAAACTGCTGTAATTTAAATGATTAAGAATTTCCTCTTAGTTTTGTGTTTTCTGTCAGCACACTTACCTACTTTTTTAAAACTTGGATATGAGTATGAATACGTTTTTAGAAGTTCCAAGTGGTTTATTAATGCAGACAATCTTATACAGAAAATGAAAATTAATTCAACTCACCAATAGATGAACAAGTAGAAGCTAAAGCTACAAGAATGTCCACTTGTGTATATGGATTATAGTTGATGTCCATCACGACAAATCTGACCAAAATAATATTTTCTCCAGCTTTAGTGTAGTCCAGCACATACATTATGACCTTACTTTGGACACTTGTTTCACGCTTGACCCGTGAGTTTGGATAGAAATGTGATGTGAAGTCATCAAGTAAATCCACATGAACAACTTCTCGTTTGGTTCTGGTGGTTGAAATGTTGGAGGATTTTGAAGGGAAATGTCCGTTTTCTTGAACAAATGTGATGAACTGGTTCTTACATTGCTCTGTATCATTTTTATTGGAACAGTCCAGCTTCTGTTTATATACTTTATCACCTGATGTACAAATCCTGTCCTTAACATTGAGTTTTGGTACACAAATTTCAGCAGCAGAACAGCTGCCAACTTGGCAAGAATCAACAAAAAATTCGCACTGGTGGCCTATTCTATCAGCTGGACATTTACAAGAAAAGGACATGATGCCATCAACACATGTTTCTATTCCTGGGCAGGATGTTGGTGTACAGTCTTCAATATTGGAGTCACACAATTTTCCTGTCCAACCAGGACCACAGACACAGATGTAATCTTTCTTGTCATTGGTTGGCTTGCAAGCAGCATTGTTTCTACAAGAATTATTTTGACAAGGATCTTCTTCAGTTGGAGAAACTTCACATAATTTTCCTGTGTAGCCCTCATTACACAAACACTGAAAAGAATTGATTCCATCTTTACACACCCCATGTACACACTGTTCCCCAATGGTTTGAAGTTTACAGTGGTCAATTTGTTGACATGTAAAGCCATCTCCTTCAAAGTCATCACTACAGATACATTTGTAAGTAGTGCCACTCATCTGAGTGCATCTGGCAGCTTCATGACAGGTCTTCCCATTATCATAACAATTATCTGACCTTGAGATAACAATAGTTATAGTTCTTGACTTTGTTACCGATGTTTGTCTATTTGTAGCTTCTATGACCACTTGTGCAGAATTTCCATAAAAAGTGCTGATATTCCTAGTGAGTACCAACTCCTTATTATTCTTTATAGCAAACATTGAGCTATTATCACTTGTTATGTTGAAAGTAACTGAGGCACTAATTGTTGTGTTGAGGTCATAGATCACTCCCACTACATACCCCTCTGTAGCATTCTCTGGAACCTGCAATACATCCCAGCATAACTTTTCAAAGTATTTTAAAAATAATTTTTTTTACAAATTTTATCAATACAAGTATTTTGAAATATTTTTTTTATCAAATCTTTGTCAATACAAGTATTTTAAAAATCATTTTTTTACAAATCTTTATTCATGCAAGTATTTTAAAAATCATTTTTTACAAAAACAACTTGACCTACCACAGAATTGCTGATGGTAATTTCTGGCACTTTAAATTCCTGGATGTCAATGTCTGTTATAGCGAACGTTATGTTCTGCTCATAGGTCAAAGCTGGCTGACCGTTATCAGAAACATTTACAGTGATGGTTAGGGTGGGGTTTGGTTGCTCAAGTAAGGTTAATGGTATTGCTTTGACAAGAACAAGATGGTTAATGCTTCGGATCTAAACAAAAAAAAAGGAAAATCTTTTGAATTTGAAAAATGATCTAATTGACTGTAAATGATACCAAAAAGAAATATGAGCTGAGCAAATTTTAACTTCAAAAGCAAGCAAATATTTGTATATATAAAAAAAAAGTGCAAGACATCTTAACCTTCAACAAATCTGAGTTGGGTCCATTGGTAGCAAACGTATGATTTTGACCTTTATCGTCATCTGTTACTTGTAAGACTTCCACTTCATAAGGTATGTCACAATCTGCTGGCAAATATGGAGGTCCACTTAGAATTAATGAGGTCGGTGGTTCATTCACATTTTGAACTGCAACATTCACCAACTGAAAACATTTAAGTATACCATTATATGCCTTCAGCTGTACAAAGTGTTAAGTAGATTGATAGATGTTAGGTTAAATAAGGCAAAAAAAATTATTTATTGCCATTTTTAAAAAAAAATAAGTAATAAGAACATAAAACCTGAACCAATTAGGACAAGAGAACATCAGGTTTGAACAAATTAGGACAAAAGAACATAAAATCTGAACCCATCATCACTAGAGAACATTAAGTTTTAACCAATTAGGACAAGAGAACATAAAGTTTTAACCAATTAGGACAAGAGAACATTAAGTTTGAACCAATTAGGACAAGAGAACATTAAGTTTGAACCAATTAGGACAAGAGAACGTTAAGTCTCAACCAATTAAGACAAGAGAACATTAAGTCTGAACCAAATACAATAAGTATGTAGCTGATTTCTAAATCAGGAAAAGTTTATTTTTTTTAAATGTTCTAATTACAACATACTTGATCAATAGAATACTGTCCATCTGAACATTTGATTGTGAACTGATAACTTGAATGATCTTCAAAATCAATGACATCACTTACAACAAGTTGTATAGTGTTGTTGGATGTAAAACTACACTGAAAATAATACAATCTGTATTTTATTATATTTCCTGTGATATGAATTAAATGAGATAGAATGTGTATTAAAAATCTTGTAATACAAAACATAGTTAGGCAGGAACCCTCCAGTTTCTGTGAAACTTTCAAGCATTCTAACAGAATGCATATTATAACAAAATAAAGAATAAAAATAAGACCCAAAGATATTTTTTAAAACATACTATAATCAATTAAAAGCAATTTACTCAGGGGTCACAAAAAATATTTATACCCCCTCCCTGTCCTCTCATGTCCATTTTGAATGTTTATAGTTACATACTAATATTGAATGTTGCATCTTTAGAATTTGTTGAGTAAAATCTGTAAAAATATTATTAAGTATAAGTGGTATTTCTGATGAGAGCTGGGTTTTTTAATGACTTTAGTCATCTGTGAGGCAAAAACTGATTAGTGATATATAGAGAAGGAGATGAATGAGTGACTATTGTTTGTATGCAGAAACCTTTCTCATTTGTTGATGTTCACTCCTGGTGCTGTGAGCTGTCACAATTGTACAAGGTTTTTTACTGATATAAAAGGAGTGTGACAGCGGTTTGAGGTCTCAGTGCAGTAAGTTCAGGTTACCAGGTTCATGTGTTCGCAACCCCTTCCCTTTTTGTGTTGAAATGGATGACTTAAACTTACTGCAAATGGTATTTTTGGCTCTACTATTTCACATGCATGAGTCTGGTTTTTATCCTCATCTACCACAAAAATATCTGATACCACAGTGGACAATGGAGAGTTCTCTGTAACGATCAGTGGCTCATGCAGCACAATCTGTGTTGGTGGGTCATTAGCATTTGTGATCCTGATTTCAAATTCTTGCTGGAACAGAACACAGATGTTAAAGGGTATGTAAATATTTTCTGGTTAATTAATGTTAGAGCAGGTGTAAAGATTGTATGGTTAATTAATGTTTGATTATGGGTAAAGATTGTATTGTTAATTAATGTTAGATTAGGAGTAAAGATGGATGCATTGTTTTGCATAAAATAAATTCCTTTCTTCTTAGCTCATGAGACGGGTCAGCTAGTGCTTAATAAGACAAAAATGCGTACAGTAAGAGACTGTGTAGGGCTGCCACTGTCAGTACTTGTAATATTAATCTTGTAGCTGGTAGCCTCTTCATAGTTGAGGGTAAGTTCCCCCACAAGTAGTGAGTCATCAACAACAACAAAATGATCTGGAGATCAGAATTTTTAGATTAAAGTTTAGATCTTAGTATGCTCGACAAACCCTTACTATTTCGCCTATACTTTTTAATTTGTCTACTGCCAATGGTGTATAGAGTAGATATCTAACCTGCAGCTGGAGGAGATCGAAGAAGGGTGTACTTGAATGTTTGACCTCGGTCAGGGTCTTGTGTTTTGATGGTGGCAATTTTACTACCTGTCTTGACATTTTCTGATGTTACATCATTAGTCAAACTTACATTGGTTGGCTGCTCATTTATATCATTCACCTGCAACAGTGGCTTCACTTTAGTATGAGAAATGTATTTTTTTACAACAATGGTCTAAATTTTAGGATTGGGTTAATCTTAACCAATCATATACTTTGTACTTAGGTCAGTGAAATGGTATGTTCATTAAGAAGATAATAATTTAATATTCCTATTATACCTGCAAAGAAATATATTTGTAAACAATTTTTTTTAACCAGATAATGAACCAGCAAACTTTAAATACAACTTTAGACAAATTTCCATGCAAAAGGACAATAACTAGTTCTAAATATCATAATAAAAATAATAAAATGCAAATGTAGGAACAGAATCTCCAAAAAATATTAAAATAGTACATCATATCTCTTATAACAAGCTTTTATATAATGATGCACTGAAAAGAAAAATGTAAATGATTTTTTTTAAATATATAAAAATGAGCCACTATTTAAATCATTAAAAAGAAAAAGAGTGGGCCACTATATTATTTTTTTGAATAAGTTTACTATAATTTAATTACATTTCATTTCTTTTCAGCTTGTTATTGAAACATTTTTTATTTAGATGTGATTATTATCCCTCGACACCTAATATCTCTATGACGCCACTTTACTATTTTTATGTTGTAAAGCTTTTTGAAGCATTTACCTACCAAAAATGTGAAATTTGCTACTGTAAACAAACCACTCCCATCTGTTGCTCTTATGGTGACTGAATATGCAGATTTCTTTTCAAAATCAAAGACAACAAGTGCAGTGAGTGATCTGTCTCCTTGAATACTAAAATCAGATGAACTGCCTTCTATTGTGAGAAAGACCTGCAATGTTTAAATTTAAATAGCATTTTAACTTATGCTGTGATTTTGACTAAGAACTTCACCTAATGAGTTTTATGTTATAAAAATTTAGAATTATAACTACAGGTTTTTAACACAACTTTGTGGATATTTGTTTTAAAATTGTTGTTCAGTGTTAGTGGTTGAAATTAAAGAAAAGCTTCTGGATACAAATTATGATGTAAAAGAAGGCTATTGTTTGAAAAATTAACTTAGATTATAGTCTAAAAATACCTTCTCACTGTCAGGGTCTAAATATAATATTTCAGCGAGTGGTTGTCCAACAACATTGTTCTCATCAACATCACTTCTGGACAGTGAAAGGTTATATGGAGGTTCATTTACACCTGTCACATTCACCAATAACATTTTAGAAATTTGTAGATGGGTTCCATCTTTACCCTCATCCTGGCATGTTACCTGTTTGAATTATTTCTTGTAAGTTCTGGTATACATTTATGGAGGAATTTACAATGTTCTATAATATATTTACCTTTGCTAAAAGAATAGAAAATGTAGCATTCAGTTGTTGTAGTGAGGTGGATTATTATTTATTGTTTTGGATTTATCTGAGTTTTAAAATGCCAACTATGTTGTCAGGTGATTAAAATAATTGTGAAAATAAGATAAAACTTAAGAAAATCCAATTATAAGATATTTTTTTTTAAAGTTTATAAAGATTTATACAAACTAATTAGACATGAATTTATATTACAAACATAGAAAGGCCTAAGCTTATTGGATTAATTTTAGGATGAAATGGATTTGTTTCACTCACATTAACAAAGTATGCTTTTTGATTTTCATAATCTAATTCTTCATTGGAAACAACAAGCTTTAGTGCATCCTTCACCTTGAAAGTAGAAATAAACCAAGTGAATGATTACAAGACTATCAGGTTTTACTTTTATGTACCTGGACAGAAAGAAGACAGTAAGATATTGGATTTTATTTATTTTTCAAACATGACTTACTTTAAATGGTACATCCAGTAAATTGTTAACAATGCAAGAATGGTTTTGAAGTTTATCTTGATCAACGACGTTTAAAACTCCAACCAAAGCTTCCATGCTAGCATTTTCTGGTATCTATGATCATATATTTGTTGAAATACTTATAGCATTAAATAAAATAAATTGTCCAGTTCCTTTACATTAGTGAATTGTTTTACTCAAATTCTCTAGAAAAAAAATTAAATGTGCAAAATAAATATTTTTAAAAGTAAAATTTCATCAAAATACACTTTATAGAAAAGCACATTTTTCTTCTATATGAGCAATAATTAGACATTATGTCAAGATGTCACTTGTTTTTATAATGCTCTCTGGGTTAAAAACAGAAGATTTGCTAGATTGTTGTGTTTTTGTAGTGCTTCATTAAAGAAGTATTTTTATGGCCTATTTTTGTATTTTACAGGCCTTCAATGTTTGATATAGAAATCTTAGAAGTATAGTTTTAATACCTACCAAATTATTGCTAAGGCTGACATCTGTAGGAGGTTCATTGACATCTGTCACAATTGTTCTGATGGTGTAGTTCAGGCCTAGACGGGGAGTTCCAGAATCCATTGTTTGAATTACCAGGGTCAAAATTGAAGTGGCCTCATAGTCAAGAGCTGTATTGTTTGGTCCAACTTTTAAAGTGCGTCCATTGATCATAAATGTATTTAGAAGTTCAGGTTGACTTTGTGCACTGTCAAGACTGTGAATAATTTTTTGATGTTCTTAAAATAATGCAAAAATTATCAAATACTCTTTATTTTAAAAGTTCAAGAACATTTATTTCAAAGATAATGAGTAAATAACAATGATAATAATTTACCCAGCAGCAACAGACATGAGAGTGTACGTGTAAGTCTGATAAGGCTCTGGATCCACTGTGTTTAAGTCTCCTATGATAGTTCCTGGAGCAGAATTTTCTGCCACTTGTCCTCCACCATAGATGTTGATCTGCTGGGGTGGCTCATTAACATCCACAATAATTATCTATGTCAAATGAAAGCCAAATTTTAATAGCTTTTTTGGATTGAAATATCAATAAAACTCTTATGTTAAAAGATACAATACATCTTTGGTACATTTTTTGGCCCATTGTAAAAACTTTCAACAACCAGTTTTTTCCTGTCAACCAACTTTTCTTACCTTAAAACTTCCGCTTATATTAAATAATGTATTGTTGAAATTGGTCCAAGAAACTGTTACATTGATTGTAAGCACTGGATTTTTTTCAAAATCCACAGGAACGTCAAGAATCAAGGCTCCATTTTCTACTTTGAATATCTTGGTTTTATTCTCTGTTATACTGATGTTTACAGAGTTGATGGTCTGATAACAGTATTAAAAAGTTGAAACACAGGTCAAGTTAATTTCCTGTTATGATACATTTAAATGCATATATATATTTGACATCAATAGTTACATGCCCAAACACATTTACAATGTCTGTTTGTCTAGTATACATCTTTTGAGATAAGAAAGAACAATAAGCTACAACTATCAGCTAAGACAAGACAAATATTTTTTGAATTTTTGTTTTTTTAATACAATTTTATTGACCAAAATGACATACTAAGTACTGATCTGAAAAAATTTGAACTATAAAACTATTTTTTCAATTGGAAACCTTAAAAATGAAACTCGTCTTAAACATGGGATTTAATACAATGATAATTAGTGTTAATGAGTTGATTCAAGTCTGTCTATGTGGTCTAGTATGTACTCACTCCTTGAAGTTCAGTTTGTGTTAATGTGTTGATGACTGCCAACTTTCCAACTGTAACATTAACGGAATTCTCTGTTACAGGGTTTTGATCACTGAGTACAACAGCTTTAGGAACATTTGCAGATGCCACTATGAAGATATCAAAATCTTTCACAAAGAACAGGCTTGGCTGTCCACTGTCTGAACAATTTAGTGAGATTTTTACTGATGTTTTATTTGTGGGCACTTTGATAATCTGTTAAAGTGAAATAAATTACCAAAGTGAGAAAAATACTGTTAAGGATACTCTAATAAAAATGTACCCTTTTGAGTTTGAATATTCAATTTAGCAAACTAAAATTCAGCAGTTTTTGTGGCCAAGCATACTGTGACCAATGAGATTAATCATAAGTTGTAGATCTTTAAGTGATTAAATATGCTTACAATAACATTGCCTTCCCTTCTCTTTAAAAAAAAAAGTTATTTAAAGTGAAAAATGAGTCAGTAAAAATATTTACTTGTAATGTTTTTCCATCTTGGCCAATTTTAAAGCTTCCAGTTTCATCTTTAATGACAGCGCATGTGTGAGTCTGTTTCTGGGTGTTTGCACCATCATTGTCTGGGTCCAACACTGTGATCAATGCTACAGTTTCTCCATCTTTTGCTGTCATTGAAACCTGAATACAATGTTTAAAAAAAGTCAAACACAAAAGAAAGATAATTGTATCTACATTTTCAGCTTTTAAAATTATTTTTTATAACATTGTTAAACTACCCAAATAGACTGTCCAAACACTTTAAAAGCTTTTCAGCAATGTTGTGTGTGGACCCAAACTTACTTCACTGTTGGATAATGTAATATCTGAGGGAGCTTCATTGATGTCTGTAACAGTCACAGTAAAATTCTTGGTAAAACTTGCAGCTGGTTCACCATCATCCACACATTTGATTGCCACTGTGTAAACTGACTGCTTCTCAAAATCTAGTGACTTATTGATAGCCAGTAATGAGCCTTTATCTACTTTGAATGTGTCCCAGCATGTAAGAAGCTTGTGAGATATAAACACAGTATGGTCAAATGGAAATACCCATATATTTGTACAGCTAGCCTTGACTATAATGTATTAAACTCTAGCAATATACTCTAGTGTTTAAGTCCTATTAACTTTTGTAACCAGCTATAAAAATATGTGCTAATGGGTAAAACTTTTTTTTTAATTTCCGTAATACTAGTTATTATAATTAAGAAAATAATTTCATTTACATAGGCCTAGTTATTTTAAAAAAAATATTTATTATAAATTATAACAATAATTTCTAAAAATCAGAATATAGTTTACTTGAATAACAAGTCCAATTTTAAATTTAGTTTAACAAGGTTATTTTAAAACTTATAACTAATCAAACTTCAATTAATCAGACCAAAGATACTAAAACTTATAACTAATCAAACTTCAAATAATCAGACCGAAGATACTAAAACAACATTCACCAGGAAAGCATGATTTTGACCAACATCTGGGTCAGCACAGTCCAAAGTTCCAAGAATGAAAGTAGCAACATTTTCTGGAACTTCCAGCCTTTCATTAGCAATTGTGATGTTCTATTTAAAAAGGTTATACAAATGAAAAATGAAAGGAAAAATTATTGCATGTGCAGTAGTGTTTTCCTTAGTACAACAACAAATAGCTGTTGTCAAAGTAGTGTATAACTGTGCTAACTTTTCTTTTATAATATAAAATACAGCAACATAAAGTACCTAAAATTCATGTTGCAGTCATTTAGACTCTAGAGTAATAAAAACAGATAACTCAAATAAACGACTTTTTAAAAAAGAACCAGAAGCTCACATATGGTGCATCATTTGTGTCATTGACAGTAAACATCCATTTATTGTTGATATAAAGTTGACCTTTGTCTTTAGCTGACACTTCTAAAACTAATGGTGGGGAATCTGCTACATACTTCACAGCTTTTGAAATGAGAACATTCTGAGTGCAGACTGTAGATGCTGATACGGAAGAGTTGACAACTTTCTGAAACAGATACATTTGATAAATATAAAATTATAGTAAAGTCTTGTATGTCAGTGATAAACTTTAATGTTTTGTCAGTAATTTGTGATAAGCAAATTTTTATTTCATGTGGTGTACATTTTTATTTAGTATTTTTTTAAGCATCTATATGAAAAGATCAAAAAGGTATTTTCAAATGCTATTTTGATTAACTTTTCACAAAACTATTGTAAGAGAAATTATTTTAAAAGTAAAGATGTCTACCAAAAAGGACCAAGCCTTATTCTATTTTTTTAAATGTTTCATGATTATTTCAACAATATATTCTTTGATTCACTTCACTGAAATGAAACTGTTTTTTTGGTCAAGTAGGTTGAGTATACTTCAACAGAAGATAAAGTAGTGTAAACTATATAAAGCCCCCATGTGTTTCACAAAGTTAATGAGATGACTGCCAACTAAGCCAGTCTCTATTTCTTGTCATGTACCTGAATGGAATACAATTTTTTTTAAATAATAAGGTTTAAAACTTCTTGCACCCCCCCCCCCCTCCTTAGTAAGAGCAGGGTGTATAATTTATTAATAATTAAATTATGAGATATGAAATATTAACAAAAATGATTATGGACTTACAAGTGCACATAATGCACCTATTGAATCCAGTTTAAAGTTTGTTGCTGTGGCTGAGGTTAGTTCAAAAGTAGTTCTATCATTGTTGTCAGGGTCCACAGTTTGTACAAACCCAATCACGGTGTTTAGTGTTATATTTTCAACTATCACAAACTGGCTGGACAATACTGGTGTGTAACTAAGCAGACTTGGAGGTTCATTAGAATCTGTTACAGTAATTGTAAAGGTTTTCACAGCCTACAATACAAAAAAGCATATGGACATATTAGCTGGTGGTTATGCTGGATTAACAGCTTTTAAAAAGCAAGTTAAAAATTATTTCCTTGTTTGTTAATGTTTTTAGGTTATTCGTATTCCTAAATCAGACGAAAACTTCTTTTGTGTACATTAGTAACAATTTCCGATTTTAAACAAAAAAGATTGGAACTATGAACTGATGAGGGATATAAAATGCTGAAACTTTAAAAATAAAATAACCAACAGAACAAATAATAAACTAACCTTCTTGGCTGGAGTGCCGTTGTCTGTAACAGTAACTGTGACATTGACTTTTGGAGCTGTCTCAAAATCTAGGCCTCCACCAACTGATAACTTATTGCCTATAATTGTAAAATAATCTGATCCATTGCTTAGAGTGAAGCTGAGAGTTTGACCAACATCTGAGTCTTGTGCTGATAATGTTCCAATAGCTGTGTATAATGGTGCAGCTTCTGATACTGTCATTGCTGTAACAATCACATTGTAAGACTTTAAAAAAAAAGGTGATCTCAAATAGTTTATTATATGATTGAATCAACAAACGTATAGACCAACCTGAAAGTTGCAGGTTAGTGGGAGCATCATTAGTATCCATCACCTGTACCTCTGTATCAAACTGTGCTGAGAGAGGGGGGCTGCCATTGTCAGTCACCTTCACCTTGATTATGTAAGAGGCTTTCACTTCATAGTCTAGTTTAGCATCCTTGACAACCAGTGACCCATTAGAGATTCCAAAGATGCCATTTCCATTGTCTACCAGCTCATATGTGAATTTTTGTCTCATTTCTCCTTTGTTATCTGGGTCTGTGGTGATAAAGCTGCCAATTTCTACACCAACTACTGCATCTTCAGATACCTAAGGCAAGGATAAATATTTATTGTACATGTACATCTTCAGATACCTAAGGCAAGGATAAATATTTATTGTACATGTGCATCTTCAGATACCTAAGGCAAAGATAAATATTTATTATACATGTGCATCTGCATCTTTAGATATCTAAGGCAAGGATAAATATTTATTGTACATGTACATCTTCAGATACCTAAGGCAAGGATAAATATTTATTGTACATGTACAACTTCAGATACCTAAGGCAAGGATAAATATTTATTGTACATGTACATCTTCAGATACCTAAGGCAAGGATAAATATTTATTGTACATGTACAACTTCAGATACCTAAGGCAAGGATAAATATTTATTGTACATGTACATCTTTAGATATCTAAGGCAAGGATAAATATTTATTGTACATGTACATCTTCAGATACCTAAGGCAAGGATAAATATTTATTGTACATGTACATCTTCAGATACCTAAGGCAAGGATAAATATTTATTGTACATGTGCATCTTCAGATACCTAAGGCAAGGATAAATATTTATTGTACATGTGCATCTTCAGATACCTAAGGCAAGGATAAATATTTATTGTACATGTACATCTTAAGATACCTAAGGCAAAGATAAATATTTATTGTACATTGTAACGTTAACCTATCTATCAGCCAAATAGAAGGAGAACGTCCCCGGATTCTTTTTTCGGGGTCATATGCAAATGCCTTACGGCCTAAGTGGATGAACACTTAACACAACGACCCACTAGGGCTCGAATTTAATGTCTAGGGAAGCTAGTGATACTATTGTAATTAACACTCATCCAATCTACATACGACCTTTTAATCAGCGAACTCAGAAGTGGCAGAACACAAGGTTGAACTAAATAAAATATTTAATGTATAAAATATCAAAACCCAACTTACACAATGTAGGAAAAAACACTATCACAGATTTCTACACTGTCTAAAGAACAGCTACAGGCCACACAACACTGCTGTAGTTTCTAGAATTACTTAGCGACAAGTAATATTAAACTAGAAGACTAAATCAACTGAAGAAAACAAGGCACACACAGGTCTTAAGTACTCTCACGTTCAAATGGTCAGAGTCTATAGCCGGACAATATGGACGGCTGTCTGATCAAGGTAAAACTGCCTCGTAGACTGCCAGGTCAAGATAAACTGCCTCGTAGACTGCCAGGTCAAGATAAACTGCCGCGTGTTGCGAGTGTGCAGTGCAATTAAAGACTTCTGTGACAGGGGAGGTTATCCTCAACTCATGTCGCCATTGGTTGGGATAATCATCTGATCAGAATCATTCAATCAGATTTTAATGGAAAATTTCTATGTCTCAAACACCTTAATAAGTCAGTGGAAAAACCCCAGGTGTTACACCATCATTCCATATAAGGAATTATACAATGTCAAAATAAAAATGACTCGACCTAAGTAGGTCACATCCCCTCCCTTTTTGGAAGTGACAGATAGGTTCCACAAGAACATACATAAGGAACCAATCTGGCAATGAAATAACAAAAATGTTTTACAAATGTAGGCAATCAAAATCATAATACCAGATGAAAATATCCCTGAACATAAAAGGGAAGTAACTCCAACTTTTACAATTGGTGAAAGGGGAGTAACCCTTCAAAAAGTAATTATACATCAAAATCCCTCAGAAAAGGGTATTACAATATTTCCATGTGGATATTAAAAGTGGTAAACCCGCCAGGGTAAGACCTAAATTTCAATGACTAGCTACAATATCAATTGAGTCATATGAGACATATTATTATAAAAGATTACATATAATCAAAAACCACCTTTAATTAAGGTTCACCTGAAAATAAACAAAATATTCAACAGGATTGGAATTTTGAAAAAAAATCAAACTCACACCACTCATTTCATATGAGTGACACTTAAACAAAACCTGTTTATGGTCCTAATGAACCACAAAGCATGTCACATGATCAATGTGTACAACAAGATTTTACATCCTTGACAAACAATCAGCCACAACATTATCACTACCCTTAATGTGTGAAATTTCCAGATTAAAATTTTGGAAATATAAGCACCATCTCAATATTCTTTGATTTGTCTGTCCTAACTTAGAGGTAAATTTCAGGGGATCATGGTCAGAAAACACTCTGACTGGATTGGTTGAAGAAGAGACATAGACTTCAAAATGTTGTAATGATAAAACCAAAGCTAAAGCTTCTTTTTCAATAGTAGAATAATTCTTTTGGTTCTCATTTAACTTCCTGGAAAAAAAGGCAATGGGATGGTCAATTCCCATGTTGTCTTCTTGAAATAGGACTGTGCCAATGGCTAAGTTGCTAGCATCAATGGCAAGTTTAAAGGGCTGGCTGAAATTTGGTGCAGCCATAACAGGAGCATTTGATAAAAATGACTTAATGGTTAAAAAAGCTTCTTGACATTTATTGGACCATTCAAATTCAACACCCTTTTTCAATAATGCAGTAAGAGGTTCAGCAATAGCTGAAAAGTTTTGACAGAACCGCCTATAGTAACCAGCCATCCCAAGGAACTTTTTGATCTCTTTACAATTTTTGGGAGGTGGTAACCTTACAATAGCATCTACTTTAGCTTCAATGGGCCGAACTTGGTTCGTTCCCACTTGATAACCCACATAGGTAATTGAAGCTTTACAGAAATCACTTTTATGTAAGTTTACAGTAAAATTAACTTCAGACAATTTTCTAAAAAGGTTAGTCAATTGAACAATATGTTCTTCAAAAGTATTAGAAAATACAACTATATCATCTATGTAGGCCTCACATTGGTCTATGTCAGCAATGACAGAGTTAATGACTCTCTGGAAAGTTTGACCAGCATTTCGCATACCAAAGGGCATACGTTTGTATCTATAAAAACCATTAGGGGTTACAAAAGCAGATATTTCTTTTGCACGGTCAGATAAGGGGATTTGCCAGTATCCTGAAAGTAAATCAATTTTGGAAATTATCTTAGCTTGACCAACTTTATCAATAACGTCTTCTATCCGAGGCAAGGGATAGGAATCAGCTTTGGTGAGCGCATTCACCTTCCTAAAGTCGGTCACAAACCTGAAAGATCCACCGTCTTTCGGTACTAGGAGACATGGGGAACTCCAGTTGCTGAAACTGGGCTCAATGATATCATTCTTGAGCATATAATCAATTTCATCTTTTATCAAAGCAGCTTTTTCCGGGTTAACTCTATAGGGGTGTTGTTTAATGGGTTTTGCGTCACCAACGTCTACATCATGAGGTGGAACCTTCGCTTCTTTGGGGACGTCCCCAAAAATAGAGGGAAATGTCTCAAACAACTGAGACAACCTATGGCTTTCCTCTATGGACAAATGCATAAGGTGGACATTCAAATTATCTAAAAAGGAAGAATTTACCAATTTTGGGGGTTTCAATTTATCATGTATCACATCATCAGAAACATTAGAACATACAGGTAAATTAATTTTAGCTGTGGATTGAAAATTGTTACAATTATCATAATACTTTTTCAGTGAGTTGACATGATACACTGTCTGTTTCTTTCTTCTGTCGGGCGTATTGACAACATAGTTCAAATCACTTAATTTTGAATGCACAGTAAAGGGTCCACAATATCTCAAGGATAACGCATTGTTCAGATTAGGTACTAGCACAAGAACTTTGTCGCCTGGATTGAATGTTCGTTTACAAGAACTCTTATCATACAGTTCTTTCATTCTAACTTGGGCCTTTCTTAAGTTCTTGTGAGCCATTTCGCACACGGCTTTCAGTCGAACGTGAAAATCGTCGAAGTTTTCCACTGGATGATCACTGGTACCTGTCCAACGTTCGTATATCAGCTTCAGGGGACCACGGACAGAATGTCCAAACACAAGTTGAAAATGCGAGTAGCCTAAAGAGTCCTGGACACAGTCCCTCGCGGGGAAAATAATCCAAGGAACAGACTCATCCCATTGGGTGTTACTGTTAGCGAATGTTCTTAGCATGGTTTTGAGGGTTTGGTGGAACCTCTCAAGTACGCCTTGAGACTGAGGGTGGTAGGCTGAGCTGGTGATGTGGGTAACGCCTAGCTTGGCTAGTGCTTCCTGAAAATGGTGACTGGTGAAGTTGCTGCCTTGATCTGTTTGCACGATTCTAGGTAATCCAAAGGTAGTGAAGAACCGGGTCATGGCTCTGACTACAGTCTTTGCCTTAATGTTCCGTAAGGGAATCGCCTCGGGAAAACGGGTACTTGAACACATAAAGGTAAGTAGGTACTCGTTGCCCGCCTTGGTTTTAGGCAAGGGACCTACACAGTCCATGACGATTTTAGAAAAAGGTTCTTCTAATACAGGAATCGGACTCAAAGGGGCCTTAGGAATTGTCTGGTTTGGCTTTCCGGCCAACTGACAGTTCGTGCAACTTCTACAGTAACGCGACACATCTTTTCTCATTTTGGGCCAAAAGAACAGTTCTTTGATCTTCGCCGTCGTTTTAGTGACACCTGGGTGCGCTGACATTGGATGGTCATGTGCCAGCTTAAGTATTTCATGCCGATAAGGTGGAGGGATCCACAGCTGGTTTTTACCCAACCATGGTTCGGCCGGTGAGGCAATCACTGGTATAGCGCGACGAAAGAAGAGGCCGTTCTCGGAGAAATATTCTCCATCGTCAGATGATAGAGATTTTTCGACCGTTGCCTTGAGTTCCGCGTCGACTTGCTGAGCTTTAATGATGTCTTCCTGAGATATCCTCAGGGGTAAGCCCAGACTTGTGTTCTCTGGAAGCATAGACTCCAGTTTGGGAGTCGAATTTCTTGACGATGATGGCGGGTGTGGTTCAGACGTTGTGTCAGCCAATTGTTTGGTCTGGCTTCTTGTCACCGCACATGCAGGATACAGTTCATAATCATTATCTGGAACTGTTGACAAAGGGTCTGAAACCGTACAGGGGTATACTTTGCTTCCCGCAAGGTCATTCCCTAGAAGTAGGTGTACTCCTGGGACTGGAATACTATCTATCACACCTAAAATGACCTCACCTTCGACGAGATGATGTTTCAGGGCAAACTTGTGTAGAGGGACGACAGTAGATTTCGTCCCTACTCCCTGGATAATGGAAATCCTTCCGGTGTTCGTCTCTGGTGTAATGTCCATTGAACTTTTCAAAAGGAGTGATTGTGACGCTCCTGTGTCTCTTAGGACGGTGATATTCCGCTGAGACAACGGATCACCTGGTTTGCTAATGATGGCTTCGGCGATAAAAGATGAAAAGTCAACTTTTCTCGATCCCTCGAGATCGGTAGACTCGGCAGAAACTGGATGGTGGCGTGAACAGTCAAAATGTGACTGCACATAATGTGTGGAGACTTGACTACCTTCTTGCGGACACTTAGGATTAGAGTCCTTTTGAATTCTAGAGTTCATAGTTGAACTGGCTGCTTGAGGGGATAGAGCATAGTGCGCAGAAGCACGCACCACCTCTCTGTTATATTGAAGACGTTTGTAACAGTCCTTGACATGGTGACCAGGCCTTTTGCAGAACTGGCATACCGCTCGACGATTGAGAGTTGATCTTGGTTTCTCTCTGGACTGTGATGTCTTCAAATGTTGGCCAACAGGATGATTGCTGCCAAAAAGGGGAAGCACGGGGTTGAGGCGGTTTCCTGACACTGGTGGTTTCTTATGCACCAACATATATGTGTCAGCCGACTCAGCAGCCTTCTGGATGTCAGTTATCTTGTTATCCAGTATGTGTAGTCGTATCTCTTCAGGCAGGGACGATAGGAATTCTTCCCTTAAGATAAGTGACCTGAGTTTCTCAAACTCAGAAACTTCCTCCGAGTGTAGCCACCTTGAAAATATTTTCTCCTTTTCAAAGAGAAATTCCACATATGATTGTGTGGGTAACTTGCGGAGTGTTCGGAATTTTGTCCGATAGGCCTCGGGCGTCAGTGCGTAGGCCTTTAAAATGGCAGTCTTGACCAAACTATAGTTATTTTGAACGTCGTGAGAGAGTGCCTGGTATGTTTTTGCAGCTTTCCCAGTAAGGACAGAACTCAATAAAGCAGTAATGGAGGTTTCGGGCCATTCACAAGTCTTCGCTAAACTCTCAAACGAGTTAAAGAAAACGACCAAATCTGTTTCATCAAATTTAGGAACTAATTTCCCAAATTTGGCAATCACTTGCCCTACCGACAACTTTTTTGGATCTACCAGAGAAGTGACATCACTAACTTTACCCAATTCTGATTCCAACCTCCTCCTATCTAAAGCAATTTTAACTTCCAACTCCTGTTCTTTTAATGCCTTCTCTAAAGCAACTTTCTCCTCGCGGAGTAACACACCAGCCAACAAACTTTCATCAAATACCCCTTCATTAATAAAATGAACAACAACTTTATCTCTCAACACCTCTGACTTCTGCGTAACAGAATAATCCAATTTCAATTCCTTAACAACACTAACCAAAACTTTTCTACTCAACTTTTCTACATCTTCAACAGTAGGATTAGCCAAAAAAGACTCCATAACACTAACTTTCAAATCACAACAAGCCTAGATCCTTTAAATTAATACACAGCGTTGGGCCGTGTACTTGACCTCTAAATGTAGGACGTGACACGTCTGCTTATTTGACCTAGATACTCTAGCCTGAGCGCGCGTTGTAAGAACACTGCGCTACTGGATATAAAAACAACTAAATCCAACTAACCTTAGTATTCAACTGATATAACCAACAACTGGAACGACAGATTAAATCTCGGCGAGCTCCCACTTTGTAACGTTAACCTATCTATCAGCCAAATAGAAGGAGAACGTCCCCGGATTCTTTTTTCGGGGTCATATGCAAATGCCTTACGGCCTAAGTGGATGAACACTTAACACAACGACCCACTAGGGCTCGAATTTAATGTCTAGGGAAGCTAGTGATACTATTGTAATTAACACTCATCCAATCTACATACGACCTTTTAATCAGCGAACTCAGAAGTGGCAGAACACAAGGTTGAACTAAATAAAATATTTAATGTATAAAATATCAAAACCCAACTTACACAATGTAGGAAAAAACACTATCACAGATTTCTACACTGTCTAAAGAACAGCTACAGGCCACACAACACTGCTGTAGTTTCTAGAATTACTTAGCGACAAGTAATATTAAACTAGAAGACTAAATCAACTGAAGAAAACAAGGCACACACAGGTCTTAAGTACTCTCACGTTCAAATGGTCAGAGTCTATAGCCGGACAATATGGACGGCTGTCTGATCAAGGTAAAACTGCCTCGTAGACTGCCAGGTCAAGATAAACTGCCTCGTAGACTGCCAGGTCAAGATAAACTGCCGCGTGTTGCGAGTGTGCAGTGCAATTAAAGACTTCTGTGACAGGGGAGGTTATCCTCAACTCATGTCGCCATTGGTTGGGATAATCATCTGATCAGAATCATTCAATCAGATTTTAATGGAAAATTTCTATGTCTCAAACACCTTAATAAGTCAGTGGAAAAACCCCAGGTGTTACACCATCATTCCATATAAGGAATTATACAATGTCAAAATAAAAATGACTCGACCTAAGTAGGTCACAACATGTACATCTGCATCTTTAGATATCTAAGGCAAGGATAAATATTTATTGTACATGTACATCTTCAGATACCTAAGGCAAGGATAAATATTTATTGTACATGTACATCTTCAGATACCTAAGGCAAGGATAAATATTTATTGTACATGTGCATCTTCAGATACCTAAGGCAAGGATAAATATTTATTGTACATGTACATCTTCAGATACCTAAGGCAAGGATAAATATTTATTGTACATGTACATCTTCAGATACCTAAGGCAAAGATAAATATTTATTGTACATGTACATCTTAAGATACCTAAGGCAAAGATAAATATTTATTGTACATGTACATCTGCATCTTTAGATATCTAAGGCAAGGATAAATATTTATTGTACATGTACATCTTCAGATACCTAAGGCAAGGATAAATATTTATTGTACATGTACAACTTCAGATACCTAAGGCAAGGATAAATATTTATTGTACATGTACAACTTCAGATACCTAAGGCAAGGATAAATATTTATTGTACATGTACATCTTCAGATACCTAAGGCAAGGATAAATATTTATTGTACATGTACATCTTCAGATACCTAAGGCAAGGATAAAATAGATTGATACATATTGTTCTTCAATTATGACAGACATACATTATACACAATTTAACATTTGAAAGTTAACTTTAAACCAGTCCTGATTATCAATATGGGCTTGTCCATACATTGTGCCACACAATTGGGATGAGGGAGTGGGGGGGTGGACATGGAACAAAAGCCTCCTTTAGTTTCCCTGACTTAAGGAACTTAACTTGAGACTGCCATGTAGGTAACCTCTCATCCATACCACAACAATTATCATATACATCCACATAATTTTCACATACCACAACAATTATCATATACATCCACATAATTTTCACATACCACAACAATTATCATATACATCCACATAATTTCCTTACCAAGTTTCTTGACAAAGTTAAGGCTGATGGAGCCTCATTCACATCCAACACCTGAATTGTTACATCTTTTTCAAATGAGAGAGGGGGCTGTCCACTATCTGTTACTTTTAACTTTATTGATATGACTTTTGTAGATTCGTAATCCAGATTGGCAGTGGCAGAGGCCTTAAGTAGGTTATGAAAATTTTTATTTTAAACTAATTCAAGTCAAGTAAAGATTTTAAAATTTTCAACAAGGATAAGCTATAAAAAACAAATTGAAATTGAAAATCATAGTTGAATAAACTATCAGAAAAAGTCAAATAAAAGTAAAATTTTAAGTTCTGAAAATAAATTGACATCTTATAGTCAGAATTAAGTAAGTTCCACTATGTGTAAGCCTATACACATGGTATTATTATCTAGAAATTGAGCATAAATAGCAGTTTACCTTTAAAATGTTTTTGACAATATAAAACTGAGGACTGCCTGAAAGATAGTACACAAAGGTTTGATTAACATCAGGGTCTATGGTGCTCAAGGTTGAAATGTTTGCTCCATTTGAATTTTCCTTTACTTGGATGGTATCGACATTTTTATTGTCAAGTAAAATAGCCTGAAAAATGTAGCACATATTGCAGGGTCAAAGAAGATGTGACAAAAACTTACATAACAGTATAGATTCAGTAAAATTGTATAGTCAAAGTTATCTGTAGTATTTTACCTAAGATATTTTGTATTATTGTACAATATTTCATCACTTTGAATTGCATTATCATAACTTATCTGGTTACATGGTTGAATTCCATGATTACAAATTTAATTAAGACTCAAGTTACTTTTTGTTTGCTAATAACTTGATTATACATTTTGTAAAAATACATATGTTTTAAGAGCCAACAATAATTTACCTGAGGTTGATCATTTTCATCTTTAACTTGAAAGAGGAAACTTTTATTTAGGGTAAGTCCATATTTGTCAATCACTGATACAGAAAAATTAAAACTGCTCTGTACTTCATAGTCCAATTGTTTGGAGAGCAAAACGCTGGCTGCACAACGACTCCCTTGCTGTAATAAATATTTCCATTTTAAAATATAGCTGATATTAGTTTCTATTTACAAATAATATGTTTTCTATTGGAGCAGCAAAAAATCATAAGTTCCTGGCTCAGTAAGAAGTACACATGTGTGTGTGTGTGTGTATATATATTTTGTCCTGGTATCTTTTGTCCATGAGATAATTTGTCCTGATATCATTTGTCCTTGAGATATTTTGTCTGAGATATTTTGTCTGAGATCATTTGTCCTGAGATCATTTGTCATGGAACCATGGGCTCATATTAATATTTAAAATAAATCCCTGAAAAAATACATTTGTTTTATCTGTAGGCCTACTATTCTAATCTGTTGTTTTTAACAAATCATAACAGTGAGATTAAAATAATCCATAACAAGTAAACCATAATTGCTAACCATAACAGCCAACATCAATACCTTAGATTGATAACCAGATGTGCTTTTGTAACAGTAGGCGTAAGCTCACTTATAAATTTGTCTGGTTATTAAAATATAATAAATATTGATATGTAAATGTTTTAATTTAAAAAAATTTAAAATTGATTAGAAACTAACCTTATTAATGGTCAGACAAGCAGGTTTATTTATTACTATTGTATCAACAGAAGTAACAGGCAGGATATCCTCATCATAGTCTGGGTCTAAAATGACAATCTGACCTATGGTGGAGCCAGGTTTTGTAGTTTCACCTATAACTGGATAGTTCACTACAAAGCTGGGTGTTTGATTTCCTTTAATACTTTCTAAAACAATAGAGCTTGGAGCCTCACCAACATTTATAACTTCAAACTGGTAAACACTCGTCACCTGAAAAATACAGCATTATTAAAAAAAATGTGCCAAGTATCAGTTATAAAATGATTGTACTTCAAAAGTTGTGATAAAACGTCTTACAGATGCTGGAGGGGAACCTGAGTCTGTGACAGTAACTTGAACTGAGGCAACTGGACTACTCTCAAAATCTAAGGACTTAGCCAAAACAAGTCTTGCATTTTGGTCTATTTTAAAGTTTCCAGTTCCTATTAAACAATTTTAAAACAATATTTTTAAACAAATAATAACAAAAGGCATAAGTATTTTTAAAACGTAAAAAAAACTAGTTAGAGAATATGTTTATCTATATTTAATGGAAATTTAAAAAGATCTTAGTATTGTTTAGCTTTAAAGACATTATAAAAACAAGCTTTATATTTGCAATATGAAATTATTTTTATAATGTAGATAATATTCAAAACTCATTTTCTATAATATATTGATTTTGATTAAATTTTTTTTTAAAAGTAAAAGATTGTTCAAAAGTTAATAACCTTCATTTTCAATAGAAAAAGTAAGATTTTGCCCAGCATCTTGATCTGTAGCAATCAACTTAGCTACAACATCTCCAACTGTCATATTCTCCTTCAGCTGTGTGACAGACATGTCTGACAACACAGGAGGGTCATTGGCATCTAAAACTTGGATGGTGGTTGAGAAGGAGGCCGAGAGGCTTGGTGTGCCTGAATCTGTAACTTGTACAAGAATCACATGATATTTCTGTGTCTCAAAGTCCAGACCACACCACTGAGCAGTGCACTGTGCTCCCTTTTGTGTGAGCTGTCATCAAAGATACCAGAGCAAAGTGTGAGCAATAGTACATAAAACAGTAAAAATGGAAACAAAAATTTTAATGTACTGCAAAAAGTGAAACAATTCAAGTTTGTACCTTAATAGTAGATTGGTACAGTTCAAATCTTCCATCTGCATCATCAAGTAACTGGTAAACAAATGTTTGTCTTGAGCTTGAAGCTTCATTTAAATTCTTGTTGTCAGGGTCATCTGCTAACAGATTTCCTACTGGTGTAGATGATCCACTTCCTTCTGGTATCTTTTATAATTAAAAAAAGTTTTTTCTTAACCATAATAAATATTTGTTTGAGATATCAGTATTTGATAATTTGGTACTTTACTTGAAAACATAAACACTTGTAAGTTTAGCCCTCTTAGTCTTGCAATTAAACATTGTAAATTTAGCCATATTAGTCTTCTCAATTAAACACTACTTGCTATTAAAAAATTAAAATAGCATAAAGTAAAAATTTAATATCTACCTTACATTCACAAGATAGTTTAGATTGTTTTAGATATACAAATGCATATACAATTATTCAAAACACCTTTTGTTATAGCTATTGCTGTAAGTTCAGTTCAATCTAAACTTCCCAGGAAATATTTTAAATTTATCAACACGGTGTATGTTTTAAAAATGCACTTCAAAATCAAACACTTCCAATAGTTAAGTTAATGAACAAAATGAGAAAAATAAGCTAAGCTGTCATTTTTTTAAAATCAGGTTCTTAAAAATGTTTTTAAAAAATAATTATTTACAAAAATTGCAGAGATAGATTTTTTAATGTAATATTTTTATGTCTAATTTACAACTATTGACAACAAAACACATTCATTTGTATAAAAAAAAGTATTTGCTTGTAACACATCAATTAATTTAAGAATGTAAATTAGTAATACATAGAACTCACTGTGTTATTACTAAGTTGTAAACTTGTTGGCTTTTCATTAATATTCTGAACTTGTATAGTGAAAACTTTTTCAAAAAAGTTATTTGGTGCTGGACTGGCATCAGTTACTCTGACAGCTATGTTGTATACACTTGTGGCTTCATAATCAACTAAAGCCCCTGAAAATTTTAATTTTAAAAATGTGTTACAGTTCCTTAAAGTTTACAATTTTAAAAATAAGAAAACCAAATGCCAAGAATCAAATTATGTTCTTGACTAATAGAGTTGTTATCAATACTATGACTCCATCTGGGCCTTACCTTTTACAACAGACAATTTACCACCATCTGATATGCTGAAGACTTTATCATTGTTCATTAAAGTAAACGAATGTGAATTTGTTCTATCTTCATCGATTGCTGAGAAAGTTCCCACAACAAAATTTTCTGTATTTTCAGGTATTGACAAGGATGGACCATTAAATACTATGTCCTGGAAGTAAAATCAATACACTCAACTTCAAATCAACTTGCCAATCATGTTTTGTAAAATATATTATAAAGGGAATATATGAAACTTTTGAGTTAACTAAGTCATTTTTAATGACGAACTAATAAATCTCTAACAAAACCCTAAAGATCCATACTTGAATGCCAGCATTACTTTAGGGTTATTTATTTATGGTGCCTACAATAAAATTTAAATTTTCTATCTTCCAGTCCACAATCATTTACTTTGGACGAACCACCCTCCTCGCATGGACCCAAACCTCGCCCCTGACCCCAGTCCACAAGCATCCACAAAATCTGACTATCAGACCTTTCCTTCCCTCTCAATGTGTCGTAAATAAATGATCCCCTTATATCATAGACATACTTAAGTCACTGCCCTGGAAATGTGTTAACAAATCATAACCTTGCTTAATATTGGCACAATGCTGAAAAGTTTTACATAAATGTACACTTCAAATAACTTTGTAGGTTGTTAACTAAAAGTATAAAATATTAGTTGGAAAAGGTTAAATATTTAAGAAGTATACATTTTTCCGATCTTAAAAAAAAATATATATCATAATAAATGTATTTTAAAAAATCTATTTACAGTTGGAGGCTCAGAAACATCAGTAATTTGAATGATGAGTGTTTTAGTTGATCGCAGGCTTAATGAATCTGTTGCAGCTAAAATAATTAAATATTTGTCTTTTTTCTCATAATTCACACTCTTGGCCAACCATAAAATTGTGCTGCAGACAACAACTGCTGTCTGAAATAGATGCATACATCAATAAAACTAATTAGAAATCATTTTTAAGGAGTAAAATTAAACATTAATTACTGATCTTGACAATCAGGATTTACATTTAACATAACTATGAAATTAGTATTCATTTGTATTTACAGAAGCTTTAACTAATATATATCATACTTAAAAATGTTTTTACATTTATTAATAAGTAATGAATCACCTTATTACAGACTGCATCTTTGGAAATGATGAACTGACCACTTTCATCAACAAGTAATGAAAAAACAATGAGCTGATCCAAATCATTATCTACTGCTTGAATGTTGGCAATAGAACTATTCACAAGATAGTTTTCAGGAATGCTGATAGTGGAAGGATCAGTTTGAATGGCTTTACCCTGTGCTGTTGCCGTCAGATTCTGTGGGGCTTCACTTACACCAATAATGCTTAAATAAAAAGTTTGCTCCACCTGTGAAGGAAAAATTGGGTTGAGGAAATACATTTCAAATTATTTAATTGCTAGTTAGGGAGACCCAATTTAAAATATCTTCCTTTAAGTGGATGTCATGTAACACTGCCTCACTGTTACATGTTAGTGATGGTGGCCCATTGGGGTTTAGGGGACTTAGTGGCTGATCCTGAGAGAATATCAACAGAACACATTTTTTGTTGTGTAGCCAGTGATAAACACACTTTATTGTGTGCAGCTGAACATAGCCACCCCAAATATTGTAATCTGATAGATTACAACATTGTTTAAAGATGTCAACAAAAATGACAATGATGATGATGACAACAACAATAATGGCAATGTCAATGGTGTAACTGATGTGAAATATAGCCCTTCACAAGGTCTATACTTCCGCTGCTATAGATCACTTCTACTTGTCAACAACTTAGAAGCTTAAGTAATTCTGCACAAGACAGCTTGTTCTGAGGGCTCTGGTTTGACTGAGTCTCCTGTGAAAATCAATCTACTCTGATACCCCAGATGGTTACTTTTTGCTCAAATCAAAACAGATAAAAAGCATTTGAATTTGTGGACCACAGGGCCTTTTATCCAGTGAGATAACTTCATATACATTTTTATGGTTATGTCCCTTTAAATGGTAACTGACCTATGCAGGGATATACATTCATAAGGATTCAGTATATTGCAATGTTAAAAAAAAAGGTTGAAAAGGTTCAATGAATCTCATACAAGAGTACTGGAAAAGCTAAATCTCTTTCCCATTTGATTATGAAATTATGTAGTTGAGAGCTTACAGATTTAACTGGGTTTCCATTGTCTTGTGCCACAACTGTCAATGAATAAACATTGTTGAGATTAAGGCGATCGTCACTAGCTTTATACAGACTTTGGTTTTTTATGATAAACAATCCTTCTGTATAGTCCTTAAGTGTAAATATGTGTAGCTGCATTTTGTCTTCATCACTGACTGACAAATTTCCTATTAGAGTATCTTTTTTACTTAGATCTTCTACTCTGTTATCTGAGAGACAAACGTAGAGAAAAGTATATTATTATATTGAAAATTTAAAAAAAGCTGCTCATACTTTTCTTGAGTCAATACAGATTGTTACTGTAAAAACTTCTATTGCATCAACAACACAACGTTTGAAAATAGTTGATCATTAAATGTCTAATCAAAAGTTATTTTTAAAAAACATTTCATAAGAATAACTTATATAAATTCATGTGTATGATAATATAGGATATACAATATTTATACTTAGCATTAACAGCATTTTAATTTTAAAATCTTCTAATTTAATAATAAGTAGTTTGATATAAATTTATGAACAATAAATTCTAGAAAATAACATTTGAAAATAAGAGAAAAGTTACCACTTAGAATTAAATTGTAAGGGCTATCATTAGCATCTAGTACTTGAATCTTTTGATCAAAAGTAGCACTTGCATTAGGAAACCCATTATCAGTGACCATAACACTGACAGTATAGGTACTAGTTTGCTCAAAATTTAATGAGCATGCTTTATCTTGTGTCGCGCATTGGCTGGAGGCTAGTACCTAGAAGTTTGTGTAACACTGACATTAATAAAAAGATATTAATACTTAATCATTAAAATTCATGCTTCTATTTACAATTAGGGTAATTAAGTATGCAAAAATAAAATTTGATGTTTGCCTTTATTTATGATGTTTCTAGCAAAAGACTTACAATAAGTGTATCTCCCAGTATGGCAAACTTGCCTGCAGCATTGTCTATCAAAGTAAACACAAAATTGGTGCTATCTGGGTCTGTGGCCTGAAGCATTCCCACTGTTGTAGCATTCAGACTGTTTTCTAATATCTATTTATTGGGAATACCACATGAATTAGTGAAGCAATTTTTTGTTTCATAGAAAGGGAAATTATATATTATAAAAATTATGATACATAATTTTGTACAAAAAGTAATTAAAACATAAATAAAAGTAATTCAAAAACAGTGTGACATATTTAATTACCTGGTTGTTTGATAGCATTAATACTGATGGTGGTTCATTCACATTGACCACATTTACTGTAATGGATTTGCGTAATTTTTTAGGTGGAATCCCACTATCAGATACTTCCAGTGTGATGACAACTGACTGACTTTTTTCATAATCAAGTGGTGTTTTCACCTATAAGTTTAAAGTATGCCGTTGTCAACAAAGAAATATATGTTGCTCTTCATAACAGTATTGGAGAAACTTTTTTGCTTTTGCTTGCTAGTTTCATATACAGAGTATAGAGAAAATATAAAAATCGTGCAAAAATTGTTTTGACAAATTTTAATGTTTGACATGAGGAACAACTCATTTTCACAATTTTGTTTCTGTCTGTGAGTGTGTCTGAACACAATAACTTGTCTACCATTTTAGTTGGGTGGATCAAATTTCATTCATATGTATTAGATCCTATTGATAGGTTTTTTATCAACTTCTGAACCATTTCTGATAACTGTAAGTGGTAATTACTCTATTTCCAGTTTCTCAAAAACTGAAAAATTGAATACCATTTCAGTTAGTAGGGCAAAAATTTTACAAAAAGTATAGGATTGTGTAAACAGTTTTGTTTGAATGTTTAAGTGATTTCTTCCAGTACACAGAAGTACTTCACTATATTTCCATGTGAAAATGATACAAGGAGTATTGTTTCAGATAGACTATATTTCACATATAAGTAGTCTATCAGATCTAATGCTTAGTTTTTTTTTTACTTTTTAATTGTCTTCCGACATCCAAAAATGATAGCTAACTCTTTTTCCACTTTCAAAAATATTGATGACATGAGCACAGTTTCAGAAAGTTGGGCAAAAGTTCATATAATAGAATGGTGGTTCTATCAACTTTAAGTGATTTCCAGTAACTGGTAAGTGGAATTTTCTACTTCCATTTAAATATGAGAACTTGAGTGCCATTTCAGTTAAGAGGTTATAATATTAAATATATAAGTGTAAGATCCCACAAAATGGGGAGGGGGGGGGACACACATTAGTAGCCATTTGTTAGAGATAATGTGATGGCTCATGGCAGAGAGAGGGTTGGTCATTAGATGCTCATTTTAAAGAAACTAACAGTTTTGACATTACAATGTTAGTCTTAAAGCTGACCATTGGCCAGGGTTGGGTTGTTACTATCACAGGAGACAATTTCTTAGTTTATAGACTTGGGCGTGTTGTGGTACTAGAATATCTAGGGGATAAGAAAAGGGTATACATAGAGGCCAAGTTCTCTCTCAATGAAAAGATTCACCATTGCTTATAGCCCCTGTGCATGACAGGGGTTAATGCTCTCTCCACCAACAAAAACTAGATCTAGCAGTCTAAGGTAGCCTCCTACTCTGGGTTCAGTCTGCTTATTTTTAAAGCCTCACCTGCCTCATTCTTCTGCTAACCAATCTAGTCACTATTAACATAGGCCTACTTGTGACAAGATACATAAATATGATCATACAGAGTTAAATTTTAATTATATTGTGATACATTTAAACAAACTAAAAACTAAAATTAATAAACAATACTAAAAAGTAGTACCATCAAATCACTCCCAGATATGAAGAAATTGTCATTGGGCTGACTAACTATTGTATAAAAATAAGATTGAGATGCATCTTGATCTAAGGTGGACATCACAGCTAATGTTGCTATTTCATTTTCTTGAATGAACAATTGCCATGTTGCCATTTTATTAAAAAGAATATCCTAAAAAAAGAAAAGCCAGAAAATAGACATCAGACTATGAATAACATTAAATACGTGTTGTAAGTTAAAAATTTTTTTACCATTAAATAAAATAATTACACTGTTGTGTAAACAGGTTTTTATAAAAGAATAAGCAAACTTAAGTATGATATTTGAATAATATCTTCCTTACTATTACTTTTATAGCTAAAAACATCTTTAAAGTAAAAAAAATACCCTATCAGTAAAATGAGAGACTGGTGAAAAAAAAAAGAGAAATTAAAATATTTATAGGCCTACCCGTGGTTCATCATTTGTATCTTTGACAAGGATTTTTAACACATAAACATTCTGTAAGCCCTGCTTATCAACAAAGTTTATACCAACACTGTACTCTGATTTAATTTCATAATCAAGAATTTCACCAGTGGTTAAACTACAGGTAACCAAAGTTCCACCCCCTTCCTGTAACATGAACACATACAAATTATTTTTAAATAATAAACAGCAAAAAGTTACAACATATGTCAATTTGTATCAAAATATTATTGAACTATCTCTTTCATGATTCAGTAATATACAATGTGAATTTTATCAGTTTGATATAGGTGGCTGTACAATCCTGACCTATTCAAGTGGTCATTCTTCTAATGACTACACTCAAATTCTACTTCTCTTTTAATTTTCGCATCAATGCCATTCACCATCAAACAACATGGTTAAAATATGTAAGCATGAGCTGGCTACAATCAAGTTTTCTCCAGTTTGCTACCCAAAGCATCAAACAACATGTGTGGAAAACCTAGCTATATAATAATATATCAATATTTGAAAAACATTTATAGCAATTAAGGATTGGACTTTAATATTTTCATTTTTTCTCTTAACAATGAAATATTACCTTGGTTGAAGTTTGTTTATTTCCTATTAGGAAAATACTTGTGTAATCTTTTAGAGTTATCTCAACAGAATCATCATTGTCAGGATCAAGGATAGTGATAATTCCCACAACAGTTCCCATTGCCATATTCTCATCAACAGACAGAGATGCTGGTCCAAAGAAACTTGGAGCTTCATTTACATTTAAAACTTGTATTATTTCTGTATCAACAGCCTATGGAACACATAAAAAAGTAGACTAATGTGTATTAAAGGAATACTTTTATAATATTTGAAATGTTATACAATTTACATTTGGCATTTAAAAATCCAAGTTTGCAATGAGTTTCTACTCACAGAAGCACTATTTTTATAATATTTGAAATGTTATACAATTTACATTTGGCATTTAAAAATCCAAGTTTGCAATGAGTTTCTACTCACAGAAGCAACAGGATTGCCATTGTCTGTGACCTGAACCTGTATGTAATAAACCTTTTGTGCTTCATAGTCCAGACTGGACAACTGGACCAGCTGAATAGAGTTCTCTACAGAAAATGTTTGGGTTTGGTTCAGCAAGGTGAAGGTCAGTACACTGTTCTTGTCTTGGTCAGATGCAGAAAATGTCCCTTTTAATATAAAAATATTCAATTATGAAATGGCACTTGAGGCTTGGAATAAAAGCCTACACATTTAACAAAAGCTATCAGATAATTTTAATTTGTTATATAATTGCATAGTGAAAGTGATTACCAATTATAGTTCCTTTGGGCTTATTTTCATAAATCTGATAAGTATTAAGTTGAATATTGTAAGGTGCATCATTGACATCTGTGAGTGATATAATCTTTGAAACATTCATGCTCAGTGGTGGTGATCCATTATCTGTCACCTTCACAACTATTAGAAGATCCTTTTGAAGTTCATAATCCAAGCTACAGATCTGGACATTAAATAAATATGAAATAATGCCTACAATTTCTAGGTTTTTGTTTTAAGCTTTTAAATACACTGAAATAAGAAAAAAACCTTTATTTTTTAGCAATTATAGTAAATGCATTGGTCACTAAAGGTATAGCATATATGTCTTGAACAACCAATATTTTTATTATAGTAGCTAGAGATAATTATATTTATATTTTTACTTTTATTAGTACATTAAAAATACTGTTAACATACACATTCAAATATATTTGTTAAACAAATAAGACAGGTATTTGTTTCTTCCATTCACTTATATCATTGGAGGCTAAAAGTTAAAAAGTTATTTTAAAATTGAAAAAGAGTAAAAACCTACAGTTTGTCCACACAATTGTGTGGAGGTTTTGACAACAAGTCCACTGCCTTTGATGGCAAATCTTGACTGAGCATTATCTAACAACTCATACGTAAACTCTTGATGACCTTTATCGTTTACATTATCGGGATCATCTGTTGAAAGCGTTGATACCAATGTTCCATCTGGGCTGTTTTCAGGTACCTGAAGGCAGTTTTAGATATATTTTTTTTTAAATTTACTTTTCAATTAGACAATTATCAACATTTAAAATTATTCAATTTATAATAATAATCGATAAAGAAATAAATGTCAATATTTAAAAAGAATTAATAATATAATTTATACACTTTGAAGGATGGAGTGGCCTAGTGGTAGAGAGCTAGACTGTTAACCCATAAGTCTCAAGTTTGAAATCCAGATTCAAGTCAGTAGACTTTCCCTGAGTCCACCCAGCTCTGATGGGTACCTAACTTATGATAGGAAAAGTAAAGGTGGCTAGGCATAGTGCTGACCACACTATCCCTTCATCTGCTGAGGTCACAAAAACAGGTGAACTCTATATCACTTGCCCCATAGACTGTCAAGTTTGGAAAGGGGAACTTAACATTATGTTTTAACTAAACTAGAACTAGTAAAATTGTACAAAACTCATGAACATACAGTAGTACTTGAGAAAACTATGTTTGTAGGTGCTTCATTGACATCTGTTATATTTACAGTAAATGTCTTAGCCACAGAACTACTTGACTGACCAGCTGTCACTGATGTGATAGTCAACAGGAGAAGCTCAGATGTTTCATAGTTCACATTTGAAGCATCTGTTGTCTATTGAAAAGGAAGAATATAAAAACAAATTCTTATCATCAACAATACTTGATCATCTCACCTAGACTTTTACAAGGCAAAAAGATAGATGTGTAAGCATTAAATGTTAATTTAGAAGAAAAAACATTTTTGCATAACATATTTATTAAAATATGCATTTATACACACATATATCTGTATATCTGTGTGTGTTTATATATATAAATATATAAATATAAATATATATATATATATATATATATATATATATATATATATATATATATATATATATATATATAAATATATATATAAATCAAAAGGATGCTGGAGGAAAGCTATTGTAAATTTGCTTCTATAATAACTTAATGTCTAGTAGCAAACAGCCATAAGAACAATGTGCCACTCTTTCAAACAAACATGGAGTTCTATACTATACACCTCTTGTAGTGATGATTTGTTAAAAATTAATTTAATCACATTTTTAAAATAATTAATTTTACAAAGAAGGTAAACTTACATAGAGTGAGCTGTTAATAATTTTGAACTGACTTGAAGCAGAACCAGAGAGGAAATAAACTTGTTTGTCTAGGAAATCTTCATCAACAGTTTTGAGATCTGCTACTAAAGAGTTTTTGCTGTTCTCTGGGACATTGATTACATTTGTTTTGTCTCCATTGACCAAAATATCCTGTTGATGTAAATAGATTTTATTTTGTTTGCCTCAAAAGGAGGGAAACAACAGTTCTCATAAGAATGGGGGAAAAACTGGCAGCATTTAGATGTTTTAGAAATTATGAGATTTATACTATAGAAACTTAAATAAAATTATTTAAAACAAATAAGTTTCTCCATTTTAAAGTGTTCAAAAAATACAAACTTAATATTGCACCTCATTTTGAATAATTTGAAACTGATCAGAAGCATTGCACCTATGCATTTTCCCCATGAAGCTATTGCATATTTTTTGTTTTGGTCAAAATCAAATGATAAGAACTAAAATATTTTATTTTTTACAAAAAAAGTTATTAAGGCCATATAGTAATTTATTGTCAGTTTCTACTCACAGTTGGTGTATCATCCATGTCAAGTATTGTAATGTTGACATTCAGTTGCGCTTGATGAAGACTTTTATCCTGGGCTGTTATTTTAATCACAACAAAAGGTGCCTCCTCATAGTTGAAGCCACCAAAATTGACTAAACTTGCAGTGCAATAGTTGTACTGGTATGGCTTAAAAACAATTGTAAGAAAAAAATTAGAAAATGATATTGTAAAGTAAAATTATGTTAATCTATTCAAAGCTAATGTGGCACTATGATAACATTGACACATACTGGTATACTTGTACATTTTGTATTGATGATCCTCAGTTTATCATTATTTACAGAAAATGTCAAAGAGTCCCCATAATCTGGATCAATAGCAGACAAAGTGCCCACAACAACAGCTGGAAATATATTTTTTAACACTCGTTACAACTCATTTGACTTATTTATGTATTTTAAAAATTTAATTTTAATTGAAAATTATACATGTCTATATCAAATTACTACATAAAACAATTAAAATGTAAGAAATGTTTGTTACTTAGTTTTTTAATCTAATATATAATGTATTATATTCCTTTACAGAAATAGGTGACACTTTGTTGTTTGCTAAATAATTATACAAAACAAAGAGTAAAAAGGTACATATATGGGGAGATAAATTGTAACCACAGCAATGTTTATGCCACCTGTTACCTGGTATGTTTTCCTTAACTTGGGGTTGGTTTGTTGGGTATGCCAGTAAAGAATTAGCTGATGTTAGTTGCAGGCTATTTGGAAATTCATTGATATCAGCTACCCTGAAGTTTAGGGTCACATCCACCTGTTTATTAATATAAAATATGTTGCTTGCTAGAGGAGACACATGTTTTATACTTAGAAACAAATGTCTGTATGGATACCTAAATCTGTTTGTGAAGTAGCCTAATTATTAGTCTTCTCTGTTACCTGTACACTTGACAAAATTATTCAGTGAGGAAATAGGCTTTTAATCAAAGGTTTAGAATTTATTTTTAATCCAAATTTTATATTATTATATATATTATTATATATTATTATTATATTATAATATATCATTGAGGCTAATGTTATGAGGGTGCAATAGTAATTAACAATCAGAACATGGGATTATTCATAGAATGGTCCAAAACTTATGATTCTAAATGTAGAGAATCTTCAGTTAATAGCATTGCCTAAAGTCTATTTAAAGGAGCACTCTTCTCACAATTCAACACTTTTTATATCATGTCCAAAGAAAAAGATGTACTTTATCAAACAAATTTCTAGGCCATAAAATCAAGTTTTTGGTGAACAAAGCTATCCAAAAAACAAAACAAAAAGTTTTTTTTTTCAAACTGATAAAATATTTATAAGTTAGTTATAATTACATAATAGTTTCATTAGACTTACAGCAGATGTTGGTGCTATCATATCAGTTCCTCTGAATAAAATACTATATTTCACTGTAGTATTTTTTTCATAATCCAGCACTACATTTGACACTAGAGACTTATTATTTATGCGGAAAAAACCAGACGGATCATCCAGGATTTCAAATTTTGTCACTGCATTTTTATCTTCATCAATGCCAATCAGATCAACCAACGGCTTGCCTGTGATGATGTGATCAAAACAAACTTAATTTTTCAATATAAGTGTTTAAGTGCTAGTCATCCCAAATTTTATTTTTCAAAATGTGATATATTTTTAAAAATAAACATTGATTTATAGTTACCTGGGTCAACATTTTCTGGTAAGTATTCTGATGTGGCATTTATGCCAGTAATTGGCTCGTTGACATCAATGACATTCAAAGCTATGTCAAAGTAGGTGAACGCTGATGGTTTACCATCATCTTGTACCATTATGGCAAAATAAATCTGACTCTGAACCTCATAGTTTATAGCACATAATTTACCACCCTGAACCGAACAGTTTGGACTTGACTCGGCTAAAACCTATAATAAAAAAAATCTCACAACGTTATATATATATATATATATATATATATATATATATATATATATATATATATATATATATATAAAGAAACAATTGTTTTGACATAAGAAGTAAAGTATGTTTGTTAAGGGGGGGGGTGCATTACAGTATTCATAAAAAGAGGTGTGTGGGGATCAGTAGAGGGGATTAGAGAGAGAGAGCAAGAGAGGTGGATGCAGGGAGAAGGTGGGCAAGGGGCAGGAAGAAACTGAATGAAATATATTTTATTGTGTTTTCCAGATAACAGATATAAAGCAATGGATATAATTATACATTCAATTTTTTTTCATATGACACAAGGGTGTTTTCAGAGAGGAGTCTAGGAGTTGGGGAGTTGTTGGAATCAATGTTCATGGTTGGCATGTGGTGTTTGTGCAAAATGAAATGTGTAGGGGTTATTTTTGTGTGTTATTTTTAGTGACTTACTTACGCTTGCTTTAACATCCATTTTAAGATTTTAAGACTCTTAATACAATAATAAATAGCTTTTTAGTAAAATAAAAAGTATACCTTTATGCAGTATTGTGACTGATTTCTGTACAACTCTAGTAGTTTCTTATTTGTAAGCAAAAAAACTGTTAAATTTTGCCCCACATCATCATCAAATAGAGTAAAGCATCCTATAAATGTTCCCTTCGGACTGTTTTCAGGGATGCTATTTGGAGACAACTGGAAGCAGAGAAAAAAGTTAAATTCAATATGCATGTAAATGTGTGTTTAATATCCTTAAATAAGATAAATGTGTGAGACCTACTACGGCTGATCTGGGAGGGTCATTCATATTGAGAAGTGTAAAGTTAAAAGCTTTATCCAGGTAAAGTCCATCTAAATCTGTTGTTTGTATTGTTGCTGACCATCTGAAAATATTAAACATTTTAAAATTTTAATCATCTTTTAAAAGTTTTTTAATGTGAGTTATATACGTAATATATGTAAAAAAATTTGCTGAACATAGATCTACATTTAAACTTGTGGTGCAAAAGATCTTTAAAGCCTAATCTGATTTATTAAGTTTTAACAACACTAATAATATTACACTGATTGAGCCATAAAATAAATAAATACACTAGATTAATATATTTTTAAAAATATTTTTTCCCCATTATAATTTCCATTTACTGTATTTTAATTTCACTGTTCTTCGTGAAAAATTGATAAAATTATTGTTCTAAATTACATATACATTTCAGGCTTGATAAATGATGGGTCAACATGAACTATTTAAACATCTAAGGCTAGTTGTTTTTGTACTAAATTTGTTCTTAACCTTCTATAAGTTTAGTATTAGCTAAAGCTGTAGATTTTTAAAATCTCATAGTACTGCATCCACATAAGATCTCTAGGTTGAATAATTGGATCAGAATCTTTAGTCCCTTTACAAATGGCTTATTATAAACATAAAACTTATGATTTACAACAAAATCTGAAATATATTATTGTCTTGAATGCATGTGTAAGGTCAACATGAAACTTGAATATTTAGCCGTAAGTGGTAGTCATTACCTTTACTTAGTGAAATGCTGAATATTTTGACTATTAGTTATTACCTATGTGACATCAATACAGTAGTCCTAAATAATTAGTTCTGGTCACAATTAGGGAGGAAAAAAAGTGTCACTTACTGTCTATATTGTGAAGTTTCATAATCCAACTTGGTCTTTACACAGAGCGTGTCATTGTTGACTTTTAAAACCCCAGCAGGATCAGCCACTACAGAGTATGTGTGTTTGTCCCAGGCTTCATTATCTGAGGTAGTTGTCAGTTTACCAAAACACTGGCCAGGAAGTAAAAGTTCTGACACATCTGTGCTGTTCAGGCTTATCTGTAATCAATTACAAATGCTAATTACAAAAGTATTAAATCAAATTAGCAAAACATAAATTACCATTAATAGAAAATATAGGCCTTCTATATTTATTATATAAAATAATCAATAGTTAAACTCAACAATTTAATAGATCTAGTCATAGAACAGGATCAAACAATTTTTGTCAAGAAGAAATTCACATAGAAAACTGAATTTATAATCAACTTACATTAATAGGTGCTTTATTAGCAGGCCCACAAAAGATCTTAGGAGCTGTCCAGGTTCCATCCTGCTGACATTCTATAAACTTTGGATCTCCTTTGACAACCCACCCTGCTGATGAGCAGGAACTGTAGCATCTGTCACCAAACGAGGTGGACTGGACAAAAAACAAAATTTCAATCAGATTGTAACATCTGTCATATCTCATTCTGTGATGGTGAGAACATGAAAAATCCAGATCTAGGATCTAGACTATTTTAATTGACATAAACTATCATTACTTCTTGGCTAGGCGCAAGTCTGATATTTTATCTGCCTTTTTCACTGCTTCATATGGTTAAAATGCAGTCGTGCTAATGATGTGTATACTATAGATCCGCGCAACGTTCACTAAAAAATAAAAAAAAAACCCCAATACTATGCTTATGTCCTGTGAACTATTGTCTCATTTATACTATTCTGAGTATTGGACACTATTCTTTGCTTCTCTGCTAGCGACTCCACAACGCGACTGTTCAACGGCTGTAGGCTGTAGCTGCAGTTATTTTTGCAATTTCGATATTCCTTTTGTGCAAATAGTAATAAATTGCTTAGGCCTAAGGTATCTAATTTTGACATGGATTTCTAAAATGTTACCTATTAAAAAATTTAAAACATTGATTCGCGATATTTGCAGCAAATTTAACCTGGCATTTTTTTCGTTGATTATAGCCTCCCTTACTCAAGGGAAACAACTCAATATATTAAGAATGTAATACTATTTCAAAAAATAAAATAATTTTTGGTAGGGGGAGGGGGAATTATTTGTGAAATTTTTATGAAAACTAGGCATCTGAATAAAAGATATCGCACTCCGTTGCAACTGTCAGTGGTAGTAGATTGGCAATATAAATGTTCTATGTGATAACCAGAGATATTGGCCCCATTTTTTTCCCCGCAGAACCTATTAAAAAACCGTAAAGGTAGAACAGATGAAATGTGACCTCTCTGCTAACAAAAGTGCTCAAGCATACTGCATCACATTTGACTTATAATTTGTAAGTGATGAAGAACTCTATTTTCTACCTAGTTCTAAAACTGGCCGACAAGGTCTTCATCTACAGCCTTATCACAATGATATTTTTCCCTTACTGCGAAGTCAGTTGTTTGACGAATCTACCTAAGATAACTAAACCACATCAAATTCTTTCCAAAACTGTGAGAGTTATTCCCTAAAGATCGATGAATGAACATTTTTCTTACAGGCGACAATGGTTGCTTTTCAAGCTTGAATGATATCTACTAAAATAATCAATCGTTATTTTTGATGGACGGATGGTTGGATGGATGGATGGATGGATGGATGGATGGGTGGGTTGGGTGGGTGGATGTATGGATAGATGGGTGGATGGATGGATGGATGGATGGGTGGGTGGATGGATACAATTTGGTGGTAAAGCACATGTTCAGAGTTTCTTCCAGGCATCTCTTCGCCGCCCCCCCCCCTCCCCCCGAAAAAATTATACCGCCCCCCCCCCCCCGGAGAAAAAAGTCTGGAAGAAACACTGCACATGTTGACAACAGATTACGTGCATAGTAAGAAGAAACGGATGAATATTTTTGCCGATGGATCGTCAGGTTTAAAATTTTTTTTTTTTTTTGTTGTTATTTGAACTAAGAACCGAAGACTTAAAGGTTTTGATCTACATTGCGAGGGCTATTGTAATTTGAATAGGCGACTACAAAAAGTATCGTGCTTTTTTGTTATGGTCTCCATGAGGAAACGTGTCTAGTCTTGTGTTACGTGACTTGCTGGGGGGGGGGGGGAGTAAAGAGGGTTTGGCTAAAATTGGGTGGATAACTTGTCTTGAGACAATAGGGGCACTACTTTTTGGACTAAACAGATCCAGAGTTGCCTATACTACAATTATCATGGGCTGTCGCAACTTTTTTGGTAAAATCAATGACTTATGTGCATTCCGTATTATGTTTTAAATTAATTAGTATACAATGTATTCAATTTGCACCCAATTATACGCTAATTATTTTAAAAATCTATTAAACGTTTTGTAGCTTGTTTTGTGTAAAGAAATCAATGGTTGTTTTTTTTTTTTAAAGTGTATCATTGGTTCCATTATTTTTACCTTTGTAATAAAAATTTTGATTAGTTTATTTTTAATTTTTTAAATATAGATAAATGTTAGGGATTAACTGACGTTCGATAATTTATTATCCTTAGGGTAGATTAGAGTTTTAGACCCCCCCCCCCCCCCCCCCCGTCAGGACTTACATTTGTGACCGAGCAAGAGCTGAAAGAGACGCCCCTGCAAGATACCGGAACCGTTGTGCCAGCGCCACAAGATGCTATGGATGGAGCACTGCTGCAGTTTTTTCTCGTGCAGTTGTATCCGTTAGTGGCCAGGTTGTAACCAGGGTAACAGCTACAAACTCCTTGGTTACAGAGCTGGGTGCATTTTTCATGGCAGGTTTGTGTTCGCTGTGAGAGAAGACCAGTCGTGAGTAGTGTTGTCACAATCTCTCATAGTTTACTTCACTACAAGATACATTCAACTGCATGATTTAAGAGTGTAGAAATATCACAAAGAGTCAGGCCTGAAAGAAAGCATACCGTCAAATTGTATGATGGTCCTGAACATGGTATCCCACCACACGCATCTTGTACTGTGATGTTCCGGGTTGATCTCTGGACGCCACGCTCACAGTCACGTACGCACGTGCTCCAACTACTCCACTCGCTCACCTACAGACAAACAGACACAGGGTAAATCAGTGAATTATCGGGGGTGATCTTCGTTTGATCTTAGCAGACTATAAACAAGCTAGTACAATGTTCTTTATTTGATCATATCAGACTTTAAACAACATGATACAAATGTTCTTTATTTGATCATATCAGACTTTAAACAACATGATACAAATGTGCTTTATTTGATCTTATCAGACTATAAACAAGCTAATACAAGAAGATTTACTTGACAATCTTTTCTTGCTGCGGTAGAGTTGCAGACTTTTTCTTCTGCAAGAGTCGCGTCCAGACAGTGACCTCCACAGTAGGCTGGGGTCAGTAGCGTCCTTGACCTAACAGATTTACCAACACCACAGTCCGTGCTACAGCTGGACCATGGTGACCACTCAGTGAATTTACAGTCTGTTGTGTTTTGTACGGTGCAGTCTTTGAACTCTATAACATCAGGACAAGGTGTTCCTCCACAGTCAGGGGATACCAGGATGTTTCTCGTGCGGTTGCTTGAAACAAACGAACAACAGAGGTGGTTTTGTGGTGAAGACATAACAGAGGTGGCTTTGTGGTGAAGACATAACAGAGGTGGCTTTGTGGTGAAGATATAACAGAGGTGGCTTTGTGGTGAAGACATAACAGAGGTGACTTGGTGGTGAAGAAATAACAGAGGTGACTTGGTGGTGAAGAAATAACAGAGGTGACTTGGTGGTGAAGAAATAACAGAGGTGACTTGGTGGGGACAACATAACAGGTGACTTGGTGGGGAAGACATAACAGGTGACTTGGTGGGGAAGACATAACAGAGGTGACTTGGTGGTGAAGAAATAACAGAGGTGACTTGGTGGTGAAGAAATAACAGAGGTGACTTGGTGGTGAAGAAATAACAGAGGTGACTTGGTGGTGAAGAAATAACAGAGGTGACTTGGTGGTGAAGAAATAACAGAGGTGACTTGGTGGTGAAGAAATAACAGAGGTGACTTGGTGGGGACAACATAACAGGTGACTTGGTGGGGAAGACATAACAGGTGACTTGGTGGGGAAGACATAACAGAGGTGACTTGGTGGGGAAGACATAACAGGTGACTTGGTGGGGAAGACATAACAGGTGACTTGGTGGGGAAGACATAACAGAGGTGACTTGGTGGGGAAGACATAACAGGTGACTTGGTGGGGAAGACATAACAGGTGACTTGGTGGGGAAGACATAACAGAGGTGACTTGGTGGGGAAGACATAACAGGTGACTTGGTGGGGAAGACATAACAGAGGTGACTTGGTGGGGAAGACATAACAGGTGACTTGGTGGGGAAGACATAACAGAGGTGACTTGGTGGGGAAGACATAACAGAGGTGACTTGGTGGGGAAGACATAACAGAGGTGACTTGGTGGGGAAGACATAACAGAGGTGACTTGGTGGGGAAGACATAACAGGTGACTTGGTGGGGAAGACATAACAGAGGTGACTTGGTGGGGAAGACATAACAGGTAACTTGGTGGGGAAGACATAACAGAGGTGACTTGGTGGGGAAGACATAACAGAGGTGACTTGGTGGGGAAGACATAACAGAGGTGACTTGGTGGGGAAGATATAACAGAGGTGACTGGGTGGGGAAGACATAACTAAGGTGACTTGGTGGGGAAGACATAAAAGGGGTGACTTGGTGGCAAAGACATGAAAGCAACAGTGTCACAACAAAGAGTTGATTACAGCGCTTATTATAATATATTTCATGATTCTACAAACAAGTATAATCCTCAAGAATTGTGTGCTGACCTCCGTCCAGTGCCACAATCCGTAGAACAGAAACCGAAGGCTGACCACTCGCCAACGCTACAGTCAGCTCTACAACAAGGGCCATAACAAATGCTTGTCTCTGAAATATAAAAATACGATCTCAATTGTAGTTTTGGAATGAATGCGCGTCTCCTGTTCTTAAACGTCATTTGATATATCGTCGTTCAAGTGTACAAGGTCGTTTTTATTGATGACCAGAGAAATACGAAACGAAATTCGGCGCAACAGCGAGCATGGGATTTTTATTTTTAATCGATAATTTTAAAACGTTATCAAAGAATTACAACATTTTAAAATGTAGAATAATAATAAAACATCTTTCCACGTAATATGACAAATGAAGCTATCAGTATAAAGGGTTTGTAGTGGCGCATTTTTTGTATGTGCATAAATTAAAAGTCAGTTACGAATTATTCAGTTGCAGATTTTTCTGGGAATAGTTTGTCCATTGTGTTTTAATGGTGTAGTTAGAAGAAAGTTTACTCCCAAACTAAGTGTCTATGAAAGATAAAAGGCGTCCACTTGCACAAATCCATCGCCAATACTGGGTTACTAAGAGAAACTGAAACGGATATCGTTTCCCAAGTAGCCTAATCGGGACAAAAAATACCGCTGGAAGGGTATATAAAACTAGTTTTGAGTATTCTCATGCAAGAGTTACGTGGTACACAGAAAGTTTAATTTCTAAATTAAGCCGATTGCTGCAAGTCGCCTATGTTGATGTGTAATAACCAAATACATGGGACTGTTGACCAAACACCTGTAAATGATGACCAAATACCTGTCGTGTTCCCACACGGCACCCCCTGGCATTTAGAGTTGATTAAAATTGACCTTTGTCTGGTTTTGGAACCCTGGCCACATTGTCCGTTGTTTAGTTTGCAATCTGTCCAGTCTGACCACGCACCCATCTGAAATAAGAGATCACGAGGCACTTTTAACTTGACCAGATGTTTTGATTCTAAATACAGAGGCCTATAAGGGGTCATCTATTTTTGAATTCGACACGGTGGGGGAAGGGGGTCCGAAAAAATCGACTTTTGTGGACGCGTGTGGACTGGGGGGGGGGGGGGGGGCGTCAATGTTGACGTCCACATGTTGAATTTAACATGGCAGTGCTTACATTTTACAACATACCTAAGTCTCGTATCCTGCATGAAAACTAAAGAAATTAAGACGACAGTGCGTGTTCAGAGTTTCTTCCAGGCATCTCTTTGGGGGGGGGGGGGGGGCTCCCGAAGAAAGTCTACCGCCCCCCCCCTCCCCCCTCCAAACGAAATGAAATTTATATAGAAAATATATACTTTTAACAGTGTCCGCCCCCCCCCCCCCCAAGAAAGTCTACCGCCCCCCCCCCCAACACCCGGGAGAAAAAAGTATGGAAGAAACACTGCTCGTGTTTAAAAAAAACTCGTAGCAACGTGTAAGTAAAGCACTGAATGTATACCCACACTGGGTCATCCACATCACAGGCGACATTAAGATTTTTAACGTTTTTTTTTCCTCCCCTCCCTCCCCAACGTCACACATCTTCACTAAAAAACTCAACACCCAAAATGACGTCACACTTCAGCCTACCACGCCTCTCAAAACTTTTATTTTAAAAAAAAAAAAGCATTTTTTCTCTAAAATATTTACTGAGCATGGTCAAAGTTAAGTAGGCTTAGACTGGTTATTATGAGTGGGGAGGGGGGGTGTCTAAAATGTCTGAAATGGATGATCTTAAAACGGCTGACCGGCTGTTGTAATTCTAAATACAGAACCCTATAAGGGTTAAAATGGTGGTAAGCTGCGGCATGTCAGGTACAGATGTCAGACTGACATTATACTTTGTATGTCATTGTGACATCATACTTTACACGTCATAATGACATCTTTCTTTATACGTCACTGTGAAATCATACTTTACACCTCACACACTGGCATCATACTTAAGATGTGACACTGACATCATACTTTATAACTTGCACTGACATCATACTTTACACGTCACACTGACATCATACTTTACACGTCACACTGACATCATACTTTACACGTCACACTGACATCATACTTTACACGTCACACTGACATCATACTTTACACGTCACACTGACATCATACTTAAGATGTGAGACTGACATCATACTTTACACGTCACACTGACATCATACTTAAGATGTGAGACTGAGAACGTACTAGACAATCCACATTGACATCATACTTTACACGTCACACTGACATCATACTTAAGATGTGAGACTGAGAACGTACTAGACAATCCACATTGATGTAGTTCTCGCATGTCTGGTTCTGTTTGTCATTCAGCTCTGTGCAGTTGGCTCCTCCACACACGGGGTATTTGATGTAGCGGGTTCGGGTCTTGACTCCTGTACCTAAATTGTGGCACGGAACAGACGTTTTAAATCGATATAAAGTATGCACATTTTTATCTCACCATAGTGCAGATAATTACAAAATGTGGTACATGAATAGTCGGATCTAGACGGGATCATCGGGTAGCCCAGCCCAGTCCCCCCCCCCCCCACTCACTCCCATTCCAAATGCGTATGTGAAGTGGAGCTGCTACTGTAGCATTGGGTAGTGGATTAGGTAATAATTCTCACATTAAAAAAATTAAGGAAAATGCTTTTATTATATACTAGCGTACCCGACCCCCGCGCGTTGCCGCGGGCATAGAAGAAAGTCTGACAAAATATATTAGGATTTCACCAACGCGTTATCAATTATAATTAATGTTCTTAGACGCGTGACATTCTTTTCTAAAAATGAGTTATTTAAATGTAAACAATGCCGGTTCTTGGATCATAAATATCAGGACACGGGTTTACCTACACTACCGCATGAAAACATTGAGTGTACATTAATAACTCACCGAAATAATATGGTAGAACACACTTCGGTGACCGCGTCTGTGTCAGAGACGTAAAGGGGCGCTCTAACGGCCCCCACCCCCCGATTACACTACCGCATAGGCGCGGCGTACGACCTCTGGTTCCGTAAAACTAACAGGCGCCATCGGCCAAATAGCATCCTGTTAATAATGATGCAGATTTCGTCATTCGCTAAAGTGACACAAATGAACAGGATTTTTTTCTTTAACACTTAAAAAATTATTTGACGTGTTTTAAATATCAGTGTGACTGATGCAATATGCTGGCGTTACTAATGGTCTATTATTAGATGCTCGATCTCAATTTCTGACAGAATTGTCTAATAATAGATGCTTATTGCATCATTCGCAATGTGGCGAAACTCTACAGTAAGCTCCTCATATTCAAAAAGTAAATTTTTTCATCTTTCGCAAGGTGACGAAACTGTACAGAAGGATTTCCTCGCGTTACAAAGTTATTTTTAGAAGCCTGTTGTAGTTTTACCGCTGAATATAGTAGTACCCCTTACTCGCTATGCAGGACGCTCGATTAACGGATGCCAAGTGCCAACTTAGTTGCTCTAAAACTCTGGGCGCCAAACCATGTATTGACGAAAGTTGTACCCTATATGGTGCCGCCCGTAAGAAACTTAGTTTTCTTTTTCGCAGAAATATTCTCGGGGGTATTCTCATCTACTCCCTAAAGTTTCATGGCACTCGGATGAACCGCATCCGAGTTTTATTTTTTATATACCGTGTATAGAGAAAAAAAATCGCTCCCCCCGGGGGGCACCGCCCTTGCAATATTAAACAATATTTTTTGCAGAACCCTACCATTGAGTGATCTAATCATCTCCCCAAAGTTTCATGGTACACGGATGAACGGTGTGAAACCGAAATTTTATAAACCGTATATAAAGAAAAATCGCAGCCGCCCGTGGCGCCGCCCTTGCGAAATTAAAAAAAAAGTTTTTTTTTACATAACCCTTCCCTGAATTGTTCTAATCAACTCCCCCGAAGTTTCTTGGCTATCAGATAACGGTGTCACACCAAAATCGACTTATTTTTATAAACCGTATATAAAGAAAAATCGCACCTTCCCGTGGCGCCGCCCTTGCGAAATTAAAAATGTTTTTTTTACAGAACCCTTCCCTAGAGTTTTATAACGAACTCCCCAAAGTTTCATGCCTATCGGATAAACGGTGTCACTGCACTTAACTTTTATTATTTTTATATACCGTAAATAGAGAAAAATCGGACCCTCCCGTTGCGCCGCCCTTGCGAAATTAACATTTATTTTACAGAACTCTTTCCTAGAGTGGTATAATGAACTCCCCAAAGTCTCATGGCTATCGGATGAACGATGCCAAAACAAAATCGACTTTTATTTTTATATACGGTATATAGAGAAAAAAATCGCGCCCTACCGGGGCGCCACCCCTACGAATTTGAAAATGTTTTTTGCGCAAAAACCTCCACAGGAGTATTCTCAACATCTTACCAAAGTTTCATGGCGATCGTGAGAATGGTGTCACTGCAGTTCCTTTTTATTATTTTTATATACCGTATATAGAGAAATGTCGCACCCTCCCGTGGCGCCGCCCTTGCGAATTTGAATTTTTTTTTTTTCGCAGAAACCTCCCCAGGAATATTCACAACAACTTCCCAAAGTTTCACGGCGATGTGATGAGAGGTGTAGTAATGCATAAAGGACACACAAACACACAGACATACATTGCTTTATATATATATAGATAGATACATTTTTTTTAAAAATCACAAACTAAAAACATGTACAAAAATGTAAAAAATAAATATAGTTTAATGTAACCTTATTAAAGCTACACTATGCTAGTATGACTAAAATAAAAGCATGGGCGCCGAATGATATGAAAATTGAACATAGGTCATATATTATTTTATAATTATATAATTTTGTGACGGTGTGTGATGAGGGGAGGGGGGGGGGGGGGTCAGATGGTGCGACGTCACACTTTTGCATTACAAAAAAGCAATGTTAGAAAACATAATTTTTGTCGTTATTTCGCGTTTTAGAAAACTGTTTTAATAAATTGCAATAGGGAATTGATTAAAATACACTATTTCGACATAGTTCAGACAAGATTTTGGAAAAATATTGATGTTTTAAGAAACATTCAACTGCAATTTTGAGGGGGGGGGGGGGTTGGAGGCTGAGGTGTGACGTCATTTTAGGGGGGGGGGGGTAAAAATCGTCAAAAAAGCGTGACGTCACTTATGGATGACCCCCAGAGTACACCACAACACTTACCAGAGAGAGTACACCACAACACTTACCACAGATAGTGGAACAGTCAGACCAGTCACTCCAGGTGCCCAGAACACAATCTTGAGGGCAACACGGGCCCTTACACGTGGTAGTCTCGGACTCGTAGTCGCATCTTTTCCCGCCACAATCTGGCTCCTGAATGACCAAACGATTTCGCACTTTGAGGCCGTCAGATTCACACCGAGCATCACACGCTTCCCAGGCTCCCCAGCTAACAACACAAGATTGTACATTGAAATTAACATTAAATTCGTATCATCTCTTACATAAACCGTGTTGTGAAGCAAGACATAATATGACTACAACTGTATAAGAAAGTCGCTTATTCCAGCAAGAGTTTCTTCCAGTCATCTTTTCCGGAGAGGCTCCCCCATCCTCTCGAATAACATCTACCGCCTCCTCAGTGATAAATAAAAAAATAAATATGTGTGTGTCGACCTACATAGGCCAATAATTTTTAACTATATGCCGCATACGCGTACACGTATATGCGATAGTCACCGCAGACTTAATACTAATAGTAACGATTTTATCTAGTCTGTTAATAAAACAGTTGGATGTAACATTGTTTTCTCTATAGTTAGCACTTTTACTTCATAATAATTGTCGCTTTGTACTTAAAAGACTAATTAACTTCAATTAATCATTAATGGAACTGGCAAACAAGCATTTTTCTTCTGTATATTTTGCAATTTTTTGCCTTGGTGTCACCCCCTCCCCCTCCCGCTAAATGGTGTCACCCGGTGCGGTCCGCACCCCCGCCCCGCCCTCGCTACGCCTCTGCGCCCCCCCTCCCCCCCCCCCCCTGAACGGAATATAACTTATATGGAAAATATACTTTTACCAGTGCCCCCCCCCCCCCCCCCCCGAGGAAAAAAGTTTGCGCTGTTTAGTTGGACTATAAAAACTCACTTCATATTTTTTTTTAAACTTGAAAAACTGTACTAACGTGCATGTAAAAGAAACTAATGAATACAAAATTTGCAATATTTATTACCAAATAAACGAAAGCATACTTCATAAAGCAATTTGTGACTGGTCAAACTCGTGTTTTTTCATAGAGTACAAGGTTGTTTTTTTTCACATACCCTTTCATCTAGATCAGGGGTCTCCAAAATACGGCCCGCGCGCCGTATGCGGCCCGCGAGGTCCTCTTATCCGGCCCGCGGAGATATTTTTGTCCACGAAAAAAAACGTTTGTTGGCGATGGCTGAGGAACTATGACCAGAAAAATTAAAGACATGCCAGGAAGAAACTGGTCCCTGAACTGAAATTTGATAGACTCTAGTTAACGCGGCCTTCGGACTGAAAAGTTTGGAGACCCATGATCTAGATCAATCTAAAATCTAGATCTAGATCTAGGGGTTGTTTTAACGGATGAGTTAAGAAGACTTGGGTGAGATCAAATTTACTTTTTTAAAGCTCTTAGATTATTTGTAATTGCTTAAGCCTTTTTTAGAACGATAAGCTGATTTTACAAACCATCTCCGTTGTTGTGGGACATTGTTACAAACAAAACAAAAATGGAAAAAATGACGTCACACCCGAGGCGTAGCGAGGGGGGGGGGGCGGGACGGGGGGTGCGGATCGCACCGGGTGACACTAAGGCAAAAGATGGCAAAAGATAGCAAAATATATAGAGAAAAACTTGAGGGGGGGTGCAAATCGAAAGTTTGAGGGGGGGGGTGCAAATCAAAAAAGTTTGGGGGGGGGGGTGCAAATTGAAAATTTGAAAGTTTGTCCCCGGGAAGGGTCGCTACGCCTCTGGGGGGTGACACCATTAAGTGCAGCACCGGGTGACACCCGACCTCGCTACACCACTGCGTCACACCACAGCCTACAACTCCTTCTTAAGTGTAATTTAAGCAGCGTTTTAAAAAATATATATTCTAGATGTAGATCTAGTCTAGATCTAAGTATAGTATCTAGAGATCTAGAATCTAGATCTAGAAAAGTCTAGATCTAGATCTAATACCTAATCGACTTAGGCCTATAGATCTAACTAAAAATAAATATAAGACTAGATCTAGATCTATAAGAAAATCTAGATTCTAGATGTAAGATGTTGTAGTGTTAGGCCACTGTTTATGGCCTATTAAAATTAAAAGGACTAGATCTAGATCTATCTGTTTTTTTTTTTAAAATAGATCTAGATCTAGACCTTCTTTCTAGATCTATATCTTAGATCTAAAATCTATAGTAGATCTGGAAATCCAGATCTAGACACTAGATCTACATGTTCATAAAGTTATAAAGTCTGAGGGTATCGTCTGCTAGGCAAGTAGATGTTCTATATTTAATACTTTGTTGCGTACATTGTAAACACAAATAACGATGACGTCATAAATAGAGCCCGATACATGTAGCCCTAGAGAAGTATTTCTAATTAAAATTTGTTTCATATTTATTCTCTTGTTTTAAAACAGCATAAACAATATTTAATTAATTTTACGCGAATGAAATAGTCAGGTGGGGAAAAAGCAGTAAAGATCTTTTCTCTACAATGAAAATTCTTTTTTAATCTGTTAAGAGTGCGATGTATTTTATAAAAACTCGTAAAAGTAGGATTTTCCATGACTTTTCAATTTATGCAGAATGGAAGAAACAAACAAAACAAACTTTATCACAAAAAAACAGTTAATCAAAGGAAAAAAATAACATTTCACTGGTTAAAAAAGTGACAGTTAGTGTACTAAAAATATAATAACTATGTCGATTGGTTTGTTTTGAACATGTTTTATGCCGTGAACACTCAGCTATATTGCCTCTATAATTAGTGGTATCTACTTCTCTAGCTGGGCTTTGATGAATGTTTTCTGTCTAGCAGTAGGGTAGCGAGGGGGGGGGGGGGGACATATGTCCCCGGGCGCCGACCTTAGGGGGCGCCAAAATGGGTTGGAAAAATAAATTGAAAGGTTGAGGGGGGTGCAAATTGAAAGTTTGAGGGGGGGTGCAAATAAAAATCTTGAGAGGGGGGGGAGTGCAAATTGAAAGTTTGAGGGGGTGCAAATAAAAATCTTGAGGGGGGGTGCAAATTGAAAGTTTGAGGGGGTGCAAATCGAAATCTTGAGGGGGGGGGGGTGCAAATCGAAATCTTGAGGGGGAGGTGCAAATCGAAAAGTTTGTCTCCGGGCGCCGGGAAGGGTCGCTACGCCTCTGCTGTCTAGGGACCTATAAAAGTGCCGTGCCGTTATAGGCTACTTATTTTCTCATCAATCTACTCCCACTCCATCAATATTCAAAATGTACAAGCTCATCGAAATATAAATATTAAATTTCTCATTATTTGAATGTAGTTAATGAACACAAAATAAATTCAGCAAGAAATGATGAGTGAATAGTGAATGTACCTTCCCATAACGCAATCCTTGTAGCAACACGGGTTTCCACATTGGTACTCGTATGTGATAAAATCACAATAACCCCCACATGCAGACGCGTTGATCATGTCTCTCCATCTGAAACACACTGACCACCATCCAGGGGCGTCACAGTCGGAATCCGCACACCGACAGGAACCCCAGGTTGTCCACTGGGTGTACACGCAATTCTTCGGACAGCAGACTCGATTGCATGGCTCGCTGGCGTAGACGGTGGCGTTACAGGTACCGCCGCATTTCTCGGCTGCCAGAATCTGCCTCGTTCTCGCCCTGAGGCCAGAGTCTCCGCAGGACTGGGAGCATTCTGTCCATTCTGTCCACTCGGATGTGATGCAGTCAACTGGAAGACAGGCCTGTCCGGCAGCTAACTCAACTAGACCTAAAATAAGGACTGTTACAAAGATAGCTCTTTGACCCAATATTGTCTGCTTGTTTCGGCGACTCATGCTATGCCGGTAGTCAGGCACCTGTCATTATAGTCGTCAAACCTCGAGATTTATCAAACTAGGAACAGAAGGATAAATATAAATAGTTACCCTTACAAGTAACAAAGTTATAACAACGAAAATGGTTAGCAAAATTTACACCCCACAACTCAACAAAACCTAACACGGACGGGAACACAATTTTTTAAATCCATATGAAGATGATGTGTAAACTCTTTTGATAACAATAAATATTCACTAATAACGAATTTTTAAAAATGTGTTAATCATAGGCCTACGCCACATTTTATTTTATTTTTGAAACTAAATTTAGATCACCAAATAAAAAGTTGAAAAAGCATAACTGATCATTTGAATACACACGAGTAATAAATAATTCAATTAAAATAGAGAATAAGCCAGCAACAACTGTCAAAATCCAAAGGACGAAATCCTCTTGTGAAATATACGAACTTGGCAAACACATCAAGCGGAAATTTTCTCTCAAAGGTGTTACTCAGATGGGGAGGATGGTGTGACATACAATTTTAAAGTTATAATATCGTGCTTTTTATGTCCACCTTTAATATAGGAAATTAAACTGTCAAAGGGGCATTATGACATGCGAATAAAATAAACATTCTTGTTAAAGACCAATGTCTACCACGCTGACACAAACGTAACATTTTTTAAAACGCCTCCTGACACAACTTTTGTATTGATTGTTGTCTCGGCGAGCGGCAAGAACGATAATCCGGGAGATTTTTGATGGGATGATTTACAGGGCAACGACTGAATGCGTGTGTGGATGTTGTATGTTGTGCTGGTGTAAGTTTTATGCGTATATTTCAAGCTTTAACATTACGCTGTCAGCATATATTATATTAATTTATATTTCATCTTAAAACGATGTGCCACGATGTTTCGTCACATTGACTTAGTGGTGGGTGACTGGGACAAACATTTGACCTTCGATTGACTGAAAAATGGTTTTGATTTATGCCCTCACACTCCGTTCACGCTTCAATAGTTTCTCAAAGCTTATCAACTTTTATCAGTTTATATTTGCCTTTTGTTTATAAAACCACTTTGCTCTTTATCCTCAATTTCTTTGCCTTCATCAGAATTTTGAGCAATCAAATTCCCTAATTGAACCATACATAGCCCCATACACCACCAGCTTGTAACTCTAGCATACATAGTACCATACAACGCCAGCTTGTAACTCTACATAACCCCTTACACCACCAGATTGTAACTCTACATAGCCCCATACACCACCAGCTTGTAACTCTACATAGCCCCATACACCACCAGCTTGTAACTCTACATATCCCCATACACCACCAGCTTGTAACTCTACAGAGCCCCATACACCACCAGCTTGTAACTCTACATAGCCCCATATACCACCAGCTTGTAACTCTACATAGTCCCATACACCACCAGCTTGTAACTCTACATAGCCCCATACACCACCAGCTTGTAACTCTACATAGCCCCATACACCACCAGCTTGTAACTCTAGCATACATAGCCCCATACACCACCAGCTTGTAACTCTACATAGCCCCATACACCAACAGCTTGTAACTCTAGCATACAAAGCCCCATACACCACCAGCTTGTAACTCTAGCATACATAGCCCCATACACCACCAGCTTGTAACTCTACATAGCCCCATACACCACCAGCTTGTAACTCTACATAGCCCCACACACCACCAGCTTGTAACACTACATAGCCCATACACCACCAGCTTATAACTCTACATAGCCCAACACACCACCAGCTTGTGAGATCAACAATCCCTAAAATAACTTTGAAATAGCTTGATAAACATTTTTTCACTCTGGACACCAACCTTTGGAAAGATCAGTGAGATTAAATAAATCCTGCGCCCAGATAGATCTATTTGTTTTCGCCTCAGATTTAAACACCAACATATGTCTAAACTCTAAAGGATTCCTGCATAAATAAACATTTTATAACAAATATCTCGCTCAGCCTATGGTGTGAGGGCATTCGATATCTGCCCCAGGTGTTTGACTCCCACGGATGAAGGGGGAGGGGAGGGGCAAACTTCCCGAGGTGCAGCTGACTGGGTTTTATTAGAAAATTTAATCATCTCTGTCTGAGATCGGCTGACTGGGTTTTATTAGAAAATTTAATCAACTCTGTCTGAGATCGGCTGACTGGGTTTTATTAGAAAATTTAATCAACTCTGTCTGAGATCGGCTGACTGGGTTTTATTAGAAAATTTAATCATCTCTGTCTGAGATCAGCTGACTGGGTTTTATTAGAAAATTTAATCATCTCTGTCTGAGATCAGCTGACTACTGTGAGCTTAATAAGAGTGTTTTACTAAAGCTTTAAGTACAAAACCAGTTGATAATTTCAAACCAACTGCACCAGCGTCTAAACTGAAAAGTTCTGTTGGACTAATGTCCAGGGCGTTAATTATTGACTGACCAATATATTATGGTGGACCTTTTGGCCAAGATATATTGGGCTATTTAAACTGAGCTTAAATGTAATTGAATTAGAAAAGTTTACAGTATTTGTGTCCTATAAATGATCGATTTAAAACAAAATCCCTTGTACATTTGTTTGTGCACAAGTTTCCCGTCACACATCTTTTTACGTCATATCACACATCTTTTTACGTCATATCACACATCTTTTTACGTGATATCACACATCTTTTTACGTCATATCACATCTTTTTACGTCATACCACACATCTTTTTACGTCATATCACACATCATTTACGTCATATCACGCATCTTTCACGTCATATCACATCTTTTTACGTCATACCACACATCTTTTTACGTGATATCACACATCTTTTTACGTCATATCACATCTTTTTACGTCATACCACACATCTTTTTACGTCATATCACACATCATTTACGTCATATCACGCATCTTTCACGTCATATCACATCTTTTTACGTCATACCACACATCTTTTTACGTGATATCACACATCTTTTTACGTCATATCACATCTTTTTACGTCATACCACACATCTTTTTACGTCATATCACACATCATTTACGTCATATCACGCATCTTTCACGTCATATCATACATTTTTGTCATACCATGCAACTGTTTCAGTCACTCAAAGTCGAAACTTTTTTAAAAATCTCATTGTTTCACACTTCCCTGAGTAAGGTTCATTTTAAAAGTGACTTTTCGATATCAGTAGTTTCTAAAATACCGATCGTATGAGTATTTTTCCAGTTAGGTGGACGGAATTTTATACATATGAATTGTAGGTATCTATCAATCTTTGAGCGATTTCCGGTAAGTATTTCTAATTACTCAAAAACAATAAGAATCTGAGTCATGTATCAAGTTTTCATAAAGCAGTATAATTATAAAGTAGTATTTTCGAAGAACATTCAATCACTAAGTGTTTTCTCGAAAAAACGAGCGGTTTTGTCGCAATTTTATCTACTATTTCTTTACAGGCATCTCTTCGGGTGGGCTTAGCCCCCCCCCCCCCCCCCCCCTCCGAACTATTATATAGAAAATATATACTTTTAACAGTGTCCGCCCCCCCGGAAATATTAGTCCCTCCCCCCCACCCCGAAAATTTCAAGTGCCCGAAAAAAGTCTGGAAGTATCACTGTTTCTTTACCCCTATGTCACTGGGAGTGTCATCTCATCTCTCTCTGTTACACAGGCATACAGGGCCCACAAGAAAGTTTAAGGAAGCTCGCTACTGCTTTGTTACATAAGTACATTTTTAAAATTGGTCCCCTTGAGAGTCTACTGAGCATAGTCAAAACTAGAAATCTGGGATAGTATTAACATGCTACACGAGATAAACAAGGAATAGTTGAGACCCAGCTCATTATAGAAAATCTTTTTGTCATCTCCACCTTATGTCCCCTATCTCTGTCACCTCGGCCTTATGCCCTCTATCTCTGTCACCTCGGCCTTATGCCCCCTATCTGTCACCTCGGTCTTATGTCCTCTATCTGTCACCTCGGTCTTATGTGCTCTATCTGTCAGCTCGGTCTTATGTCCCCTATCTGTCACCTTGGTCTTATGTCCACTATCTCTGTCACCTCGGCGGAGCGCCCCCCCCCCCCTCCCAATAGGTGCCTGGAAGAAACTTTGCACACATCCGAACAACTTTTTTCGGACTCTTCCTCGTGGACGTAAAAATGGAAGAACTAAATATGACTCATATATTTCGAGCACATTTGCCCACAGCTTGCTGTTGTTGTTTACCAGTGTGAGCTATAGTCGTGAAATACTTGGTCGTCACGCTCTGAGCTATCTCCGCTTCGTCTACTTTGTGCTGATATCGTTATAAAAATGAATATGAATATTTTAAAAATACAAAAAAAAACCCGCTGTTTAAAACCTTTAAGGTGTGGAATGAAGCAAAAAAAAAATGTTCAAGTCAATAAATAGTTTCTATCAAACAGTAACAGATGGCGGGGGTATAATCGTCACTGCTTTGACAAGCCTTAATCCGAGTTCAATAGACGCGTTTCTACTAAGCCTAATCGAGAGAGAAACCGTCGACTCCCACACGCACCTTTCCGCTGACCCGCGGTGTAAAAGTATAGATTGCATATATCGCATGTTGTAAATATTGAAGTCAAACACATTTCGTTTTAACAGTCTCACGTCTCACGCTTTGATTCAGCGCCCAAGCTGCAAGGGAGACAAATCAAAATATAATCGAAATTGTTGCTTTAATCAACAACATCTGCGTCCTAAATACCGACTGCTAACAAAAAGTGTACATGCACCAAATGATGAGCTGTTAAGCTGTTTAAAAATGTTATAGACAAATAATTTGGCATTTAAAACGAATTAAACATGTATAGCCAAAATAAGTAGGTTTATATTAAAAACAATCAAGTATGACAACTGAATAAGTATAAGTAAACAAATTTCTAACAAATGTTATTTGGTCTTTGAAATTCAACAAATTTTATTTTTGTAAACAATGTCGGATTACATACAATTTATGCATTGTTTGTCAAGTTATATTTCAAACAAATGTGTATCAAACAAATGTGTATCAAATAAATAGTGTGGGGTCAAGCTGCTAATTTATTCCGAGACAGCGTTGGTCATGTGACCTCATAAGAATCCACTCCTAAAAATGAAAGCAATCTGCAAAGAAACAGAAAGATTTACTTTGAAGAACGAATTGTAAAATCTGTTGTTTTGGTAATGATTAAAAATTTAAACCATATTTTTATTATCATTAGCAATTATAAAATACTATAGTTGAATACTTGGTTCGAATGAATGTAAACAACTAGTTGAAATGTTTTTACCATCCAACAAAGCCACACATACACCCACAGCTCTGCAGGTAACAGGTGATGTGCATTGGATCTAGGATCAAAGATATCAGTGGCTGTCTTCGTTGCTGTGGTGCTCTTTGTTGTGGTCACTTCTTGTGTGGTCAGCTCTGTTGGTCTAACACTTGTAGGTGGTGCTATGTAATCATTATAATCATGAAGTATTGATGGGCAAAAAGATGTTTCAGATTGACCACTGTTTGCTGAAATTTTAAAAATTGCATTTTGTTACATCTTTTAAAAAAAAGAACTCTATGTTTATATGTAGCAATTTGATAATACTTTTAATGTAAAACCTATGTTCTTTTTCATTACTTTTAAAACAACACATTTTCTATTAAACTCACTTTCACATTCACTTTGTTTACTTACAGTTTATTTAAAAATGTACCTTTATATCATAAATTGGTACCTTAAAAATGTTTTCTTTTTAAACATTTTTGATATTGAAATGCAGGCAGAAAAATAATGTCTAGTGTTGATAACCCACACAAGGGAAGTAATTCAACTCACCAATAGATGAACAAGTAGAAGCTAAGGCTACAAGAATGTCCACTTGAGTATATGGATTATAGTTGATGTCCATCACCACAAATCTGACCAAAATAATATTTTCTTCAGCTTTAGTGTAGTCCAGCATATACATTATGACCTTACTTTGGACACTTGTTTCACGCTTGACCCGTGAGTTTGGATAGAAATGTGATGTGAAGTCATCAAGTAAATCCACATGAACAACTTCTCGTTTGGTTCTGGTGGTTGAAATGTTGGAGGATTTTGAAGGGAAATGTCCGTTTTCTTGAACAAATGTGATAAATTGGTTCTTACATTGCTCTGTATCATTTTTATTGGAACAGTCCAGCTTCTGTTTATATACTTTATCACTTGATGTACAAATCCTGTCCTTAACATTGAGTTTTGGTACACAAATTTCAGCAGCAGAACAGCTGCCAACTTGGCAAGAATCAACAAAAAATTCACACTGATGGCCTATTCTATCAGCTGGACATTTACAAGAAAAGGACATGATGCCATCAACACATGTTTCTATTCCTGGACAGGATGTTGGTGTACAGTCTTCAATATTGGAGTCACACAATTTTCCTGTCCAACCAGGACCACAGACACAGATGTAATCTTTCTTGTCATTGGTTGGCTTGCAAGCAGCATTGTTTCTACAGGAATTATTCTGACAAGGATCTTCTTCAGTTGGAGAAACTTCACACAATTTTCCTGTGTAGCCCTCATTACACAAACACTGAAAAGAATTGATTCCATCTTTACACACCCCATGTAAACACTGTTCCCCAGTGGTTTGAAGTTTACAGTGGTCAATTTGTTGACATGTAAAGCCATCTCCTTCAAAGTCATCACTACAGATACATTTGTAAGTAGTGCCACTCATCTGAGTGCATCGGGCAGCTTCATGACAGGTCTTCCCATTATCATAACAATTATCTGATCTTGAGATGACAACAGTTATAGTTCTTGACTTTGTTACTGATGTTTGTCTATTTGTAGCCTCTATGACCACTTGTGCAGAATTTCCATAAAATGTGCTGATATTCCTTGTGAGTACCAACTCTTTATTATTCTTTATAGCAAACATTGAGCTATTATCACTTGTTATGTTGAAAGTAACTGAGGCACTAATTGTTGTGTTGAGGTCATAGATCACTCCCACTACATACCCCTCTGTAGCATTCTCCGGGACCTGCATGAAACAAGAGAAAATAAAAATAACTTTCAAATATCTGTTTTCACGTCAACTAAAATTATAAGAATAAGTTCTGGGTAATTCATTGTAAAATGTAACTAGAATTTTCTACTAAACCACACCTTGGCTGACTGTAACTAAACTAATTCTGGGCAAACAACTGTAAAATATAACAAGAATTGTTTACGAACCACACTTTGACTGATAGTAATTTGTTTACGAACCACACTTTGACTGATAGTAATTTGTTTACGAACCACACTTTGACTGATAGTAATTTGTTTACGAACCACACTTTGACTGATAGTAATTTCTGGCAGTTTGAGCTCCTCAATATCAATGTCTACTATGCTGAGTTTTAAGGTCTGTTGGCAAGTCATGGCTGGCTGTCCATTGTCAGCTACAATTATGGTGATGTTTAAAGCTGGATTTTGTTGCTCAAGAAAATAAACTGGAATTGACTTTGCAAGGAACAGCTGATTTGTACCTTGTACCTATTGAACAAAATATAAAAGTTAAGAATTGATGGGCAGAAAGCATTGTGCTAGAATATTTGTTTTAAATAAGTTTTATAAATAACTGCTAAAATAAATTGTAAACATAAAGTTTGTATCATACACAACAAACCTCAAACAAGTCAGAGTTAGCTCCCACAATACTAAATGTATGAACTTGACCTTTGTCATCATCTGTAACATCCAATGTTCCAACTTCATATGGTACAGGGGAAGTAGCAGATAGAACATCTCCATTTAGGACTATTGACACTGGAGGCTCATTCACATTTTCAACTGCTACTTCTACAACCTAATTAAACAAGTTGTTTTGTTTTTTTTTTAAATAAAAATTTTTCTGCAAAGTCAATTATGAATTTTTTTTGCAAAATCAATTATAAATTAACAAATTATTTTATTTTTATTTTAAAGATCGTATCCATTTTATCTAGTTAAGCTCATACTAGAGGGAATTTAAAAAATAACAATGATGTTGTCTAAACCAGAGAATTGATGACTGATTAAGTAAAGAACTGATGACTGACTAAGTACCTTTTCAATCTCAAACTCTCCGTCAGAACAAACAATGGTAAGTTGGTAACTGCTGTACTTTTCATAGCTGACCTCAGCACTGGTTATCAACTGGAGTCTTTGATTCTCCATCCTCTTTATCTGTAACATAAACAGATGACACAACAGATGAAACAACAGCTGACACAACACATGACACAATAGATGACACAACATATGACACAACACATGACACAACAGATGACACAACATATGGCACAACATATGACACAACACATGACACAACATATGGCACAACATATGACACAACATATGATACAACAGATGACAGAAAAGATTACACAATAGATGACACAACATATGACACAACATGTGACACAACATATGACACAACATGTGACACAACATATGATACAACAGATGACAGAACAGATGACACAACAGATGACATAACAGCTGACACAACATATGACACAATAGATGACAGAACAGATGACAGAACAGATGACACAACATATGATACAACATATGACACACATTTGATACAACATGTAGTGTTGATAATGTCATAATTGGAAGAAATAACTTATACATGCTCAATATTTGCAACGAATGATTAAAAAATAATTCATTGTAGTTTTTTGTGTGCAAAACTTACAGAAAATGGTGCTTCACTTTCTTGCACACTACATGTATGAGTCTGGTTTTTATCCTCATCTACCACAAAAATATCTGACACCACAGTGGACAGTGGAGAGTTCTCTGTAACAATCAGTGGCTCATGCAGCACAATCTGTGTTGGTGGGTCATTAGCATTTGTGATCCTGATATCAAAGTCTAGCTGGAACAGAGATGTTAAAGGGGGTGAAATGGTTGTCTGGTTAACTAATGTTAGAGTAGGGGTAAAGATTGGTTAAACTTTGCATTTGGTAGGATCATTGGCTCTTTGATTCTGATATCAAAGCCAAGCTAGAAATATTACAATTGAAATCAAGTTTTTTTAGGTCCAAGGCACATTTTAGAATTCTCTACTGTCCATACAGCAGAAAGAAAAAGCTTACTGTTAAAGACTGCTGTCCACTGTCAGTGACTGTGATTGATATTTTGTACTTATCAGAAAGTTCAAAGTTCAGTTCAGATCTCCCTACCACAAGGTTATTACCAATAAGCACAAAGTTACCTGACAATAGTTATGGGGGGAAAAAAACATATTTTTAAAACTTTACATAAAATTTTAAAAGGCAGTCAAACCTTTAATAAAAAAATATAATCTACTCTAAAGCATTAGTCTCTAAACAAAATTAATATATATTTTTAACTGTAAGTTGTTCAGTTAGTTCCATAACTTTATCAAATTTTTATAAGCCAACACAATTTTCCTTATTGAATATATTCAACACAAGATTTCAGATCTCACAATGTAAAATTCCTGTTACCTTCTGCTGGAGGGGCTTCTGTAATTGTGTACTGATAGGTTTGATTCCTGTCTGGGTCCAGGGCTTGAATATTTCCTATGATAGTTCCTCTTTTAGCATTCTCAGACACAGTGTTATTTGACAAGATTATATTTGTTGGTCTCTCATTAATATCATTTATCTGTGAAGTGATAAGCTAGTTTAAAAGTTTGTGAGATTAATATAAACTTTAGTTAACAATAAAAATGTTAAAGAAAATGTAACATTTGAAGCTTTTTTATTGCAAATGATTGGCCATATGAATTTAACTAATTTTCATTTTTTCTATAGAATATTATATCTAAGTCCATAAATGTTAAAATTTAATTTATATAAATAATTATTTCTTAAGAAGAAAACCATGACAATACTCACTTGAATTACAAAAGTAATTAAAGAATAAAGACCGCCATCATCAGTTGCTTTCACATTAATGGTGTAAAATGATTTCTTTTCAAAATCAAAAACAGCACTGGCAGTTAATGAGCCATTTCCTTTTATCTCAAAGTTAGATGTTTCACCCTCAAGAGAAATGAAAACCTGAAAAAAAATGCACATACATAATGCTGTGTATTAAAACACCCAAATGCACTTTATTTACCTGACACGTCTATCAATAAATGTGTATAAAATCTTTGGATGCAGAAAACAATGGTAAACCTGCTGGCTATCTGGGTCTGTAGCCATTATTTCTCCAACTAATTGTCCAATGACATTGTTCTCATCAATATCTTGTCTAGAAAGCACAATGTCATATGGTGGTTCATTCACGTTGCTCACATTAACTGTCAGAGATTTGGAAATCCTTAGATGGGTGCCATCTTTACCATCATCCTGGCATGTTACCTGATGTAGAATAAAATATTTAATGATAAGTTTTTTTTTTATTTGTTGGGATTTTTTTTTATACAAAGGCATGCACACAAAAATTATTTTGAAAATCGTTTTAAGTAATTTTAAATTTTTATCAGTTCAGTTGATAATTCAACTAAACAGAAACAAAAAAAAAATGTTTGCTAAATTTATTTTTAACATTACATTATTTTTTAGAAAGCTAATACTTATTTTACCTCAACAACATATGTTCGTTGTTTTTCATAATCTAGACCCAGCCTACTAACTTTTAACTTCAGACTGTTTTCTACCTATTAACAAAAAGTTTATATTAAATAATAATCAGACATAAATCAAATTGTTTTTAGCTCATTCAAAAAGTTTTATTCTAAAATTTGACATAAGATAATCCCATTGGCTTCAACAAAACGCATTTATTTTAAACAAAAAATGATGATTAAAATGATAGCTGACTGTAAATGGGACAGCATCCAAGTTATTGACCAAACAGCTGTGATTTTGTGGACCATCTTCATCTGTAACTGCCAGTACCCCTACCAAATCTCCTACATGGGCATCTTCTCTTATCTAGAAAGTAACAAAAACATATTTTAATTTCTCTAATCATTTAATGCTTTGACTTCCTTTAGGTTGAGGTCAGAAAGTGTACATCATAGACACATACAGGAATATAAATAAGTTTGAATAGAAATAATATCTGTGGGTTATTTAAATAAATGTGCTATGTTCAATTTTTGTAATACACATTAATTTAAAGTGATTAAAAACTGAAAAATAAGACACTTCATTTTTATTTTTACAATATTGCAAACACTTTCATTTTTTAAAGCTTAAAAATATTGCTTATTATGAATGGGATTTTAAAACTAGAAAGATCTGTACTCTAATCAACCAACCAAATTATTGCTGAGGCTGACATCTGTAGGAGGATCATTGACATCAGTCACAATTATTCTGATGGTGTAGTTCAGGCCTAGAGGGGGAGTTCCAGAATCCACTGTTTGAATTACTAAGCTCAGTGTTTTAACCTTTTCAAAATTTAAAGCTGTATTATTTGATCCTACTTTCAAGGTGCGCCCAATAATTTGAAATGTAGTCACTAACTCTGGAAGACTCTGAGATGCATCTAAGCTAAAATAAATTGTTATGACATCCAACTAATTAACTTAGAAATAAATCATTTATGCTATAGAAAATTAACAGTTGCATTATGCAATAAAATAAGGAAAAATTAGAACTCAATATTTGTCAAATAATTTTCATTGTTATTTAAATTTTCAGTTTCACTATTTATTGCAACTCTTAAACATAATTCTTTTGAAACATCATTTTCTAATACTTCAAATACCTCTTTATAAACATCTATTAAAAGTGTATGGTTATATAATTGTTCAAGGTCATTCAAATAAATTTTGGATGAATTTTTTTTAAGTTTTTAGTTTCAACCAACTAACAGTCCTACTAAAGAATTGTTGCTCAAAATGGCAGCTGAAGTTAATGGTGTCAACTCATTTTGCTCAATAATGTTTCAATAGACATTAGCTGCTCTACTTAAATTTACCCAGCAGCAACAGACATGAGAGTGTACGTGTAAGTCTGATAAGGCTCTGGATCCACTGTGTTTAAGTCTCCTATGATTGTTCCTGGAGCAGAATTTTCTGCCACTTGTCCTCCACCATAGATGTTGATCTGCTGTGGTGGCTCATTAACATCCAGCACTTTTATCTTCAATCATCAATTGGATTTTTTAAAAATCATTTGATAACAGTCACAATACAAAACAATATTAGCATCTTTTAAATAAATATTTAAACTTTTTAAGATTTATTTTTTAAATTCATTTGGAAGTTATTTTATTGAATAATTTCACATATTAACTTGGCAGGACAAAAATCTATATAAAAAAGATTGTATACCTTGAATGATCCTTTTAATTCTATTTCATTCATCATGGTGTCAACGCCAGACACTGTTAAGTTGATTGTGACACTGGGTGTTTTCTCAAAGTCCAAAGGTGAATCAATTATTAATTTATTTTCTTCAATTCTAAATATTTCCTTTTGTAGTTCTATGGTGATTACGTCAAAGAAGATGAAGAACTGAGGATAATAACAATTTCAGTCCTAAAAATATATTTAATATATTTTTATAAATTAAAAAAGAGTGTTGCCTCTACAATGGCTAAAATAAAATCCTTATTTTAACTAACTTAAAAAAAAAACAGATTCTCATATTATACAATAAGGCAATATAAATCAAAATATAAAATAAATCAAAAATATAAATCAAAATTTATAAACAACAAAATAAGTATTAAAGATACAAGCCCCACTATTTGATTTGCATGTATTTTATTTTCTAATTTTTACACAATATGTGCATTGTAAAGATCTACTGCTAAATAAGATGGACCTACAGCACAAATGTTCGCACAACCTTACCCCAAAAATTTCAGTTTCTGTTAATGCATTGATAACTGAAAATGTTCCAACATCAACATTGATGGTGTTTTCTGCAACTGTTTTTGGCCCCTTCATTGAAATAGCTTTTGGAACTTGTACTGTTTCTGATACAAAGATATCAAAATCTTTGACAAAAAATAAGCTTGGTTGTCCATTATCTGAGCATTTGAGAGTTATCTTTATTGTTGTTTTGTTCAAAGGCAGTTTGTTATTTATCTGAAGAAAAAAAAAACGTTTTTCTTAAATATTTTCAAAAGATGTAATTAAAGTAAATTAGTTTACTATCATAAAGTATTTTACTTGCAAAGTTTTTCCATCTTGGCCAACTTTAAAACTTCCAGTCTCATCTTTAACTACAGCACATGTGTGATTCTGCCTCGGGCTTTCTGTGCCAGCATTATCTGGGTCTACCACAAGAATGAATGAAACTGTCTCACCAACTTTTGCTGTTTTTGGTACCTGTAGCAATGTAAAATTTTTAGTAATTGAAACATTTAAAATAAATAAAAATAAATTCCTAACAGATATGTGTGAGAGAAATAAAAAGAAAGAATATTTCAGCTGAATGCATTCTTTAGTTCTTTAGCTAATTTAGTTTAATTTCAATAAAGAAAAAGACTAAAAAATTCTGTTAGCTGCTTTAATTTATTGTCTTAAATAAATAGAAATTATTCAGATAGAAAAACTGTAAAAATTCTTACTTCACTGTTGGATAATGTAATATCTGAGGGAGCTTCATTGATGTCTGTAACAGTCACAGTAAAATTCTTGGTAAAACTTGCAGCTGGTTCCCCATCATCCACACATTTGATTGCCACTGTGTAAACTGACTGCTTCTCATAATCTAGAGGCACATAACTGGTTAACAGTGAGCCTGACTCCACTCTGAAGATCTCCCAGTATGTCAACAGCTGGAAGAGAAACAAGTTAAAAGTATAATAAAGGACATTTTGTTTTAAATGAAATGTTTACTTCTTTTGTAATGTGTAATATGCACTTGCACAATAACAAACTTTATAAAAATTTTATTTTGATACTTAAATAAGGTATTTCTTTACTTGAAATGCATGATTTTGGCCAATATCTGGATCTGCACAATCTAATGCTCCTAGTTTAAAAATTGCCTGATTTTCAGGAATTTCCAGTTTATCAGCAGCTATTGATATATTCTGTTTTAAAATTAGATTTAAAATGATTATGATAGTGCATGCCATGTTATTACTCAAAGTATAAAATTTCATCAAACTTACACATGAGAGTTTCCACTCTAGAGTTCAGTCAATAATTAAAATACAAATGTGAGTTATTTATCTGATTGAATTTCAGTTTAATCCAAGTAAAAAAGTTGTGCCACAACATTATGTTCAAACATTCCTTTAAAACTACATGTTTTGTTATGCTAATTCTTGTAAAAGTTAAGGTACACTATAGGACAAATATTTGGTCATTAATGTTTTAATTGTTTAACAAAAATGATAGCTTGGGATAGGAAAGCATACATCTGACTAAAACATAAAGTAAAGAAAATCTATACTTACATAGGGAGCATCATTACTGTCATTCACCACAAACAACCATTTATTTTTTATTGTTAGTTGACCTTTATCTTTAGCTAGAACCTCCAGGTTTAATGGTGGTGAGTTAGCAACATATTTTACAGTTTGAGCCAGCAAAACAGTTTGGGTGCAAATCGTGAAGGTTGATCCCATTGAGGCTACTATTTTCTGCAAAAATTTTTTTTTCAAAGCTTGTACAGGATTAACTGAATATTCAGATTAAAAAAAAAAGAAAAATTCAAGAAGTAACTATGTATATTTTCATTATTAAACAAAATTCACTTTATTTATCTCCTAATGGAATTGTTGCCAGATAAACTTACCACTGCACAAGTTGCCCCAGCTGTGTCCAGCTTAAACACTGGTGATGATAAAGTTGTCACTTCCAATGTAGCTCTGTCAACATTGTCAGGATCATAAGTCTCAATGGTTCCAATTACTGTCTTTACAGGAACATTTTCAGCAATAGCAAACTTACTTGCCAGTGAAGCAATAAAATTCATTTGGATTGGAGGCTCATTTACATCTGTCACAGTGATGGTAAACATTCGTACAACCTAAGTCAATAAACAAATGTTACAGTTCATTGCATCCATTAATTTTAAATAAAATCAAAATAATTTTTTTTTTAAATTTCTGAAACTAACAGATTTGGTTGGGGTGCCATTGTCTGTTGCTGTTATCTCAATGTTGACTCTTGGGGCAGTTTCAAAGTCTAGACCACCACTGACAACCAATCGCATATCTTTAACAGTAAAAGAGTCTGTGCTGTTGCCAATGGTAAAGCTGATGGTCTGTCCAATGTCTGATTCCTGAGCTGATAAATTTCCAACGACAGTATCAATATTAGCAGCCTCTGATACTGTCCAAGCTGCAAATAAAATTCAATTATAAACAAGCACACACAAAATATATATAGCCGAATTCCTGGTTTAAAATATCTTGTTAAGTTAAAATTATAGCAAATTTAGTTCATTTTTATACTTAAATTATATATCAGGTTAAATTATATTTTACTAATGTAATAGTTTCTGTTTATGGGCTGATGGCTAATTTGTTTAATTTATAGGCCAACCTGAAAGTTGCAGGTTAGTGGGAGCATCATTAGCATCCATCACCTGTACCTCTATATCAAACTGTGCTGAGAGAGGGGGGCTGCCATTGTCAGTCACCTTCACCTTGATTATGTAAGAGGCTTTCACTTCATAGTCCAGTTTAGCATCCTTGACAACCAGTGATCCATTAGAGATTCCAAAGATGCCATTTCCATTGTCTACCAGCTCATATGTGAATTTTTGTCTCATTTCTCCTTTGTTATCTGGGTCTGTGGTGATAAAGCTGCCAATTTCTACACCAACTACTGCATCTTCAGATACCTAAGGCAAGGATAAATATTTATTGTACATGTACATCTTCAGATACCTAAGGCAAGGATAAATATTTATTGTACATGTACATCTTCAGATACCTAAGGCAAGGATAAATATTTATTGTACATGTACATCTTCAGATACCTAAGGCAAGGATAAATATTTATTGTACATGTACATCTTCAGATACCTAAGGCAAGGATAAATATTTATTGTACATGTACATCTTCAGATACCTAAGGCAAGGATAAATATTTATTGTACATGTACATCTTCAGATACCTAAGGCAAGGATAAATATTTATTGTACATGTACATCTTCAGATACCTAAGGCAAAGATAAATATTTATTGTACATGTACATCTTCAGATACCTAAGGCAAGGATAAATATTTATTGTACATGTACATCTTCAGATACCTAAGGCAAGGATAAATATTTATTGTACATGTACATCTTTAGATACCTAAGGCAAGGATAAATATTTATTGTACATGTACATCTGCATCTTTTGATATCTAAGGCAAGGACACATTTATTGAACATGTAGATTTTCAAAATTCCAACTAAGAAATCCAAAGTACTCTTCAAAATGTGTAACATTTAAAGTGACTTTAGATACCAATCAACTTGAATGCAAAAAGAAAACAACCAACTAATTTACCTTGCTCCTGGTTAGGGATATGCCAGTTGGTACTTCATTTTGATCAAGGACTTCCACTGTTATATCTTTCTCCAGAGACAAAGGGGGCTGTCCACTATCAGTGACTTTGATTTTTACATGTAATAGTTTTGCAGTTTCATAATCCAAGGTTGCATTAGGTAAAACCTTTAGAAATAAAATTATAAGTTTCAGAAAGTTAACTATAACATGTTAATGTTTTGTGCAATAATTAAAAATTAAGATAATAGATTTCAGTAGTAAAAATATAAAGTAAATAGGTCAATATAAACACATACATAGTAAAGTACATTTGATATTTAATTTTCAATTTAATTTTTTTTTTTAAAACATGTATTAGTATTTTTACTTTTAAAATTTCTTCAATTAGTAAAAACACAAGTTTGCACAGATTTAAAATTTTGGAACAAACTTCACCTTCAGTGAGTTCCCTGCAGTGGTAAACTGGGAGCTTCCAATAACAGTAAAAATAAATGTCTGGTTTTTATCTGGGTCAATAGCATCGAGGGTAGCGATTGTGACCCCTTGTGAATTTTCTTTCACTTGTATTGTGTCCACAGCTGTCTTGTTAATGAGAAGTGTCTGTACATCATGAATTATAAAAATTTACATTTAGTCAAATAATGAATTCAAATAAGTTTAAGGATAAACATATATTATAAGATTCATTTCAAAGGACTTATTTCCAATTATTTAAAAAGTGTTAATTCTTAACATATTTTACCATTTTATGATTTTAAAGTGAAAACATATTTTACAATATTTATAATTTTAAAGTAAAAACATATTTTACCACCATTGTTTACCTGTGGAGCATCATTTTCATCTTTCACCTTGACTAAAAATGTTTTATTCAGCTGCAGGCCATATTTATCCACTGCCAACACAGTGACTGAGAAGCTGCTCTGTGTTTCATAATCCAATGGTTTTCCCAGCAGCACAGTTGCCACACAGTAAGTGCCCTGATGACCAAGATTTCATGCTAAAAACTTTTTATTTAAAATAAATCTCAAAAACACTGGTTGCATTTTCATCCCAAAAAAAGACATTATAATTGTATGAATGGAAAATAAGTTTTAAATATAATTCTTAATTATTTATTAAATAATCTAAGTATTGAACATGTTATTTAACTGTTTTTATTTAGCTATTAAGTTTCCATATGAAGCTTGTGAAACATTAGTAAACATTTTCACAATATAAGCGTACACATTTAGAAAAAGACAGGACCATTGTTTTCAAAGCTTATACTTATCTCACCGTATTTCGATTTGTACAGTTTGGTTTATTAGACTTTAAAATATCTCCAGATACAAAGGCAGATATATCATCTTGGCTGTCTGGGTCTGAAATCAGGAGTTGACCAATCACAGAGCCAGCTTTTGTTGTTTCAGCTACAACTGGTTGATCCAACAGAAAACTAAGTGTTTGATTTCCCAGAATACTTTCTATGTTGATTGACAGTGGAGGCTCTCCAACATTTAAAACATCAAACTTGAATGTAGCTCTTCCCTATGGTAGACATATTTTTTAGAAAAATTACTCTTTATGCATACATTATAAAGTATAATGTTCATATCATTAACTGTGTCCAAAACTTACAGATTTTGAAGGCACCCCAGAGTCAGTTACAATCACTTCAACAGAGGCAACTGAACTTGTCTCAAAGTCCAATGGTTTAGCCAAAACAAGCTTGTCTCCTTCAACCCTGAAGTTGTGGGTGCCTGTATGATAACAATCTTAATCATGATACATGCTACTACAGTAGTCATAATGGTAAACTCAGGAAGTCAAATTTTTAAATATTGGACAAAGCATCAAAGGTTTACTGTTCAACTCAGTTTTCAAGGTATTTATTTCCATTCAATAGAAACAAATCACTGTTATGACTAGATGCTAAAGTTTTGTTAAAAGTGAATAATTAATATAAGTGTTTAGAGAAAAGAAAGAATAGCAAGATTTATTTTTCATTTAAAAAACATAAATTTCAATTAAAGTGAATTTACCTTCATCTCCAATAGAAAAAGTAAGATTTTGCCCAGCATCTTGATCTGTAGCAATCAACTTAGCGACAACATCTCCAACTGTCATATTCTCCTTCAGCTGTGTGACAGACATGTCTGACAACACAGGAGGGTCATTGGCATCTAAAACTTGGATGGTGGTTGAGAAGGAGGCCGAGAGGCTTGGTGTGCCTGAATCTGTAACTTGTACTAGAATCACGTGATATTTCTGTGTCTCAAAGTCCAGGCCACACCACTGAACAGTGCACTGTGCTCCCTTTTGTGTGAGCTGTCATCAAAGATACCAGAGCAAAGTGTGAGCTATAGTACATAAAACAGAGGGAAAATAGTAATTAAAATAATAAAGGATTGCAAAAAGTTAAACAATTCAAGTTTGTACCTTAATAGTAGACTGGTACAGTTCAAATCTTCCATCTGCATCATCCAATAGCTTGTACTCAAAAGTTTGTGGCAAAGAAGTTTTCAGGTCCAAAATTTTATTATCAGGGTCCTCAGTTAACAAATCTCCTATTATAGTTGACACTGAACTTCCTTCAAAAATCTATTATATATAACAAAAATAACATTTTTAAATAATTGATTATTTAAATAGTAAAAAAGCAGTTTATGTTGTTGGTTTTGAAAATCAGTAAAAGATAAATTGCAAAAATCAATTGGTTAGATTTATTGTTTAAAAAGCTAGTGTTGGAATATAAAGCTTAGGGCAGAGTTACATACAAGTTTAGGGAACTGTCAAAGCAAACCTCAAATAATTATGATTAAAACCCAATATATTTTTACTTTTAAGAAAAAAAACATTAGTTATTTAAATTTTAAAAAATATTCACTGTATTGTTGCTAAGCTTTAAGCTATTTGGCTTTTCATTGACATTCAAAACAGCGACAGTAAAGATTTTTTCAAAAAAATTATTTGGTGATGGACTTGAATCTGTAACTCTAACTGTGATGTTATAGGAATTCTTCACTTCATAATCAAGTGCAGCACCTGAAATATAATTTTTATATGACAATTAATACTTGTATTTATATAACATTTTATATCAGCATTTGCTGTCTACAGCTTAAAAGCTTTTTTAATAATTAAATTTGAATACAAAATTATACATTTTCTATGCCCAATATTTTATCTAGGAAAAGGTTTTTTTTTTAAATTATATAGAATAAATTTTAATTTAGCCTGATTACATTATTGTGTCTATAAAATTGGAAGTTATGAATTGTTAAAAAACATGAAGTCTATTCAACCTGAAACAACTGACAGTTGTCCGTCTGCTGTTATTACAAAAACATTATCTTTGTTGTTCATTAAAGTAAATGTATGGGAGTTCTTTTTGTCCTCATCCTCAGCAGAGAATTTGCCCACAACAATGTTTTCACTGTTCTCCCATACTGACAATGAGGGCGAGTTAAAAATTATGTTCTGTAGAAAAAAATGTTAAACAATTTTTATGATTGTTCTTACTTGTTAATTGTAATAATACAAAACTATCAATTTAGATACAAACTAAAAAAATTAAATAATTATTTTTACAATAAATTAGCAAAATAAGATAATGACTTCACATAAGTTACAATGCAGCAACTAAAAGATCAACTGTGAATTAATTTGTTACAAAAAGTAAATATTCTGTTCCACATTTTTCTTAGATAAAATAAGGATATAATAGTGTACTCAATGTTTAACAATTAAAAATGCTAATCTAATAGAATGACAGAGAATTTTTTAGTTTTCCGTATTGTATTTTATACCGTAGGAGGCTCCTCAATATCTGATATCTCAATCACTAAAGTAAAAGCAGATTGCTGTTTCTCAGAGTCAGTTGCTACAAAGATGATTGTGTATTTATTTTTCTTCTCAAAGTTCACAGTTTTAGCCAATAATAGATTTGTTCTGCAAATGATAGAACTCATCTGAAACACATTTTTAACAGAAATACATTAACATGCCAGTACAAAAATATTAGGGGATAAATGACATATACAAAAGTGAGCATTTAACACTGGAAATAGGATGTTCTGTAGTGTCATTTAGTATCTTTTAATCTCCTAAAATCTTAAGGCCAGTTAACACTTCTGATAGTGGGTTTTTAAGTTTTAAGAAAATCTTTAAGTTTTAAATGGTAAATCAGTTTGTATTGAGGCTTAAACCTGTGATTTACTGCAGGCAACTTCTTTATCTAATTTGAACTGTCCTTCATCATCAACTAGCAAAGTGAAGGCAATAGTTTGATCCAGGTCTCTGTCCTCTGCTTGTATGGTTGCTATGCCATCATTTATGAAGGAATTTTCAGCTATGATTATAACAGATGGAGAACTCTGTATAGTTTTTCCAAGTGGGATAACTGCCAGCTCTTGGGGTGCTTCACTAACTCCAGAAATACTGATATAAAATGTTTGCTCAACCTGCAAGTAAGGAAAAAAAACAAAAAAGTCTTTTTAAAAATTAACCATTAATCTATATAAAGATGTGAGTAAAACATGTAGGACTTATTTTAATTAAACAATATTTCTGTTAAAACATTAGAGTTGTTTTCAATACTTTACTGTATTCTTCATGAAAACAGGTTTACATGCTTACTGATTTGACTGGAACTCCGTTATCAAGAGCTTGAACAATAACTGAGTACAATTTGCTGATATTGAGTCTGTCATCAACAGCTTTCACCAGCATCTGACCTTTTAGTTTAAACATTCCGCCAGCATTATCTTTCAGTACAAAGGTATGTAACTGGCTGATGTCTTCATCACTGACTGATACATTTCCTATAAAGCTATCTGCATTCCCAGTTTCTTCAACTTTATTGTCTGTCAGTGAAAAAATTACAGGAAAATTTTTATCATAATTAAATTGGTTTATTAGATTTTTATAAACTTTGTTAGATTGGGCTGTAAGTTGATTAAAAACAAAGATAAAATATATTTGACAATTATTTGAGGATAAATTAAGTATTAAACAGATATCTAGCTATTACAAGAAATTTAAAATTTATACCACTTAGGATTAAATCATATGGAGCATCATTCATATCTGTGACCTCGATCTTCAGCTCAAAAGTACAACTTTGTTTTGGAAAACCATTGTCAGTAACCATAACTCTGACAGTATGAACAGACTGCTGTTCATAGTTAAGGGAACATTTTTGATGAAGAAGAGAGCATTGCTCTGATGATATAACCTGTTTTTATAAAAACATATTTGTGTTAAATGAACAGTAACGTAAAGAAAATTTTCCACTTATTACACTGGGAACAATAGTAATTTTTAAACTTTTCCAGTACTTTAACTAATACATTTTTTGACACTGATATTAATATTATTCATTATTTAATATATCTCAAACAAGCTTTAAGATAATATGCATTTCTATTTTTTTTTTAGCTTACAATGTAACAAAATAATTTTGTTTTTAAAAAAAATTAATTTATATGAAAAGTCATCAAAGAACTTAATTATCAAGAATTAAATATTCAAAAATAAACTAAACATCTCACTACTATTTTGTCTCCCATAATTTTAAATTTTCCTGCAGCATTCTCCAGCAAGTTGTATGTGAAACCTTCTTTGTTGTCTGGGTCTGTTGGCTGTAATGTTCCAACTATTGTACCATCTCCACTGTTTTCTTCCACCTGCAATATTTTTAAACGTAATTTTTATCCCTACATGGTACATATTCCTAATTTTAACTTATCCCTACATGGTACACATTCCTACTTTAAACTTTGAATGAGAATTTTACATAGCATTGCATATGTTGGGTATAATACAAAAGATTAATTTAAGATACCTACTATTTATAATTATATTACAATGGTAGGGTTGTTTTTCATCTAATTTTATGTAAGATAATACATGTTACATGGTGATCAATCACAAAATACAGAAATAATAAAAGACTTACTTTATTATTTCACAAAACAAAATACAGAAATACAGAAATAATAAAAGACTTACTTTATTATTTGACAAAACAAAATATAGAAATACAGAAATAATAAAAGACTTACTTTATTATTTGACAAAACAAGGGTTGTAGGTGGCTCATTTACATTCACTACATCTATTGTAGTAACTTTTTGCACTTTATAAGATGGAATTCCACTGTCTGAAACTTCTATTGTTATGATGACAGATGAGGTGGTTTCATAGTCAAGTGGTTTTAGCATCTGCAGAACATAGGATGTTATAAAACACAACGCACTAGTAGATATACTTTTTGTAATAAAACACAACATATGGTAAAAATGTGTGAGCAGCATTAATAATAAATTTGCATTTAACCATAATAGGAGTTGAGGTGATACATAACAGATACTAAACTGTGGTTAATACTACAGTCTATAATTAGTAAATCAATTCTTGACAGTGTGTTTCACTTTGTTAGACCCTTCTCTTAAATTGTAATAAGCATGTTAAATATACTCATGATTTGTAGTTTATAATTAAATAAAAGTGTCAATATGGATAAACAAGTGCTTTGTCTTTTTTTAAGTGTTTTTTTTAAAGAAAATATCTCTCACCCTGAGTTCATTACCAACAATGATAAAATGATCTGCGGGCTGGTTTATAATTCTGAAGGTGTACGACTGGTTTTGGTCTTCATCCAGAGCTGTTAAGGATGCCAATGTTGTTAAAACATTTTCTTGGACACTCACTCTAGGTGTAGCTAGTTTATTGAGAAGTATGTCCTGCAAGTGTTGGATACAATTTATCTTTAGAGTCAACTGTGTAGGCTTATGTATATTAAAATAGCATAGGTTTCTATTTGAAACAGTTGTTTTAATAACAAAAAATTACTATCCCAGTTTATATAATACTCACAGTAGGAGGATCGTTCTTGTTCTCAATAGAAATTTTAACATTATGAACAATCTCCAAGCCTTGCTTGTCAGAAATTTTTAGGTCAACACTGTATTCTGCCTTGCTTTCATAATCAAGTAATTTGGCTGTTGTTAAATTTATGGTAACAAACGTTCCTTTACCATCCTACATGTAACAAAATGTATTTTTAATTTAGTTAAATATAGATAAAGTGATATTCATTCTAATAGAAAGGGTAGACAGGTTAGCTTACAAAAGCATATAAACACATACATGGATCCTATTCACTACAGATGTTAACCCAAAAAATGTTTGATTAATTATATTTTCTGCTGATAACAAACAGATTCTTGATATTATTTGATCATTACTTACAATTTATATTTATACTTTCATGAATGATAATAATTATGATTTACCTTTGTAGAAATTGTGTTGCCTCCAACAACAAAGACATCTTTGTATTCTTTCAGAGTGATCTCCACTGAATCGTTACTATCAGGATCAAACACACTGACACTACCCACCAAAGCTCCGAGATTAGAATCTTCTGCAACTGTCAATACTTCAGGCCCAATAAATTCTGGTCCTTCATTCACATTTAAAACTTCAACTTGTATGGTGTTGATACACTGCCAAATAAGAAAGTTGTGTTTTTCAACTGCTACAACCAGAAAAAATTGAAATATCTTTTTTTTTAACGTTTTCTAATTTCTTTAATTTTATAAGATTACAGGATCATTAATAATAGTTAGCTAATGTATTAATTTAATTAAGGAAATCTATAAATTAGTTTAAGAAACTCAACTAAAAAAGCACTATTTTTATAAAATTGAAATGTTTATAGCCTACAATTTTTATTTGTTATGTTAAAATCCAAGTTTGCAATGAGTTTCTACTCACAGAAGCACTATTTTTATAATATTTGAAATGTTATACAATTTACATTTGGCATTTTAAAATCCAAGTTTGCAATAAGTTTCTACTCACAGAAGCACTATTTTTATAATATTTGAAATGTTATACAATTTACATTTGGCATTTAAAAATCCAAGTTTGCAATAAGTTTCTACTCACAGAAGCACTATTTTTATAATATTTGAAATGTTATACAATTTTCATTTGGCATTTAAAATTCCAAGTTTGCAATGAGTTTCTACTCACAGAAGCACTATTTTTATAATATTTGAAATGTTATACAATTTACATTTGGAATTTAAAAATCCAAGTTTGCAATAAGTTTCTACTCACAGAAGCACTATTTTTATAATATTTGAAATGTTATACAATTTACATTTGGCATTTAAAAATCCAAGTTTGCCATAAGTTTCTACTCACAGAAGCAACAGGATTGCCATTGTCTGTGACCTGAACCTGTATGTAATAAACCTTTTGTGCTTCATAGTCCAGACTGGACAACTGGACCAGCTGAATAGAGTTCTCTACAGAAAAAGTTTGGGCTTGGTTCAGCAAGGTGAAGGTCAGTACACTGTTCTTGTCTTGGTCAGATGCAGAAAATGTCCCTTTTAATATAAAAATATTCAATTATGAAATGGCACTTGAGGCTTGGAATAAAGGCCTACACATTTAACAAAAGCTAACAGATAATTTTTGATTTGTTTTATAATTGCATAATGAAAATAATTACCAATTACAGTTCCTTTGGGCTTATTTTCATAAATCTGATAAGTATTAAGTTGAATATTGTAAGGGGCATCATTGACATCTGTGAGTGATATAATCTTTGAAACATTCATGCTCAGTGGTGGTGATCCATTATCTGTCACCTTTACAACTATAGTGAGGTCTTTTTGAACTTCATAATCAAGGTTACATACCTGTAAGTGTAAGATCACATGAATGAAACGATAAAGATTTAAAATAATATTTGCCCTATACAGGACTAAATAGAGCAAATGTTAACCAAATTCTACTGTTAAGGGGAGTAATGGCTGTAATTGTGACCAAGTGATTATATTTTCTACTTTTCCTTAGAAATAAATCAGATACATTCTTATAGTAATCATTAACAATTCAATCATTTATTTCAAAAATAGTAATTAAAATCATACATTTAGTCCACATGTTTTAGTAGAATTTTTCACATAGATGTTATTGCCCTTGATGCTAAATCTATCTTGAGCATTGTCCAGCAGTTCATATGTAAACTGTTGAAAGGCTGTTTGGATTTTGTTATCTGGATCTTCGGTTGACATTGCTGTGACCAAGGTCCCTTCAATACTGTTTTCAGGAACCTGGTTAAAATTTCAGTTGGCAAAAAAAACTTTTAAAATGTTTACGTTAGGTACTGAACTTTTTGTCATTTTAATTTGAACATCTGAATTTTTTTATTTTTTTTACCTTGCATGTCTAACTGCAATTTTTTTGTTGAAATATGGTGAAACTTCCACTTACAGACAATCCATTGAAAATAATGTTTGTTGGTGCTTCATTGATGTTAGTGATGTTTACAGTGAATGTCTTTGCCACTGTTGTACTTGTCTGACCAGTACTAACTGATGTAATTGTTAGTTGCATAGGCTCAGCAGTTTCAAAATCTAGACTAGCAGTATCTGATGTCTGAAAAATTGTAAATATAAATAAGGATAGAATGTCTATGTCTCATTAAACCTTTTTTACACAAAAAATCATTTAAATATAATTAAAGTATAGAAAATCTTAATTACTAATATGAATCAAGTGAAAACTCCTCACAAAAAGCATGTTGCCTTGTATTTTAAATTGGTTAAAGGCCGGTCCAGAAAGGAAGTAATTTTGTTTATCCAGCAGATCCTCATCAACAGTTTTAAGTTCAGCAACAAGTAAACCCTTGCTGTTCTCTGGGACATTGATTGTGCTTGTTATATCACCATTTACTAGAATGTCCTGTCAATAAAAAATTGCACTTCTCAAACCTATTTATATTTGAGCTGGGTGGGTTCTAGATACATCATGACCAGCAACTGAAAACCTCCTTTTATCAGATTTTCACATTGGAAACCCTCAGACTAGTAATTATCTCCTGTAAATAGCTAACTAATAATAAAAAGGAGATAACAAAAGTAACTAACTGTAGGAACATCGTCTAGCTAAATAACAATAAAAAGGAGATAAGAAAAGTAACTAACTGTAGGAACATCATCCATGTCTATGACTATAATGTTGATGTCAAGCTTTATGGAGTGAAGATTTTTGTCTTGAGCTGTTATTTTCACTGGGACAATGGCCGCCTCCTCAAAATTGAAACCCCCAATGTTAACCAGTCTCCCTGAGCAGTAGTTGTGCTGATATGGCTGAGAAAAATTTGAAATTAACAATCAAAATGATGGCTTAACTTAATGACAAATATAAAAAGTTGTATTTGTTTTTGTAACCTGCATTGGGGTGCACTTGGTGTTGATGATGCGCAGTTTGTCATTGTTGACTGAAAATGTAATTGCATCTCCGTTGTCAGGATCAATGGCTGACAATGTGCCAACAACAACAGCTGAAATCAAAATACTTTTTGTAACAAGCCAAATAAAAGACAAACATAAGTATAATTTTAGTACAAAAAGAGCTAGAAGTTCATAGCACATTTAACATAATATGATAATATGGGTGAAGGAAGCAAGAGCCTCACATTTACACAGACAATTAAAAACTTCAACTTAAGTTTAAAGAAAACAAACGGTTCATATTTAACATAACACAATTAAAAAGTTTGATTTTACTTAAAGAAAACAAATGTATATATTTAACATACCTGGAATGTTCTCCTTCACCTGTGGCTGGTTGGGTGGATATGACAGCAGAGCATTAGCAGACGTCAGTTGTAAGCTGTTTGGGACTTCATTCACATCACTCACACCAAAAGTTATGTTAGTTTCTACCTGAATTTTCATGACAGACATGTCACATATTATCTTAGAGAAATAATAAAATCTTTAAATATGCTTTTCTAAATTTTGAAATCAAATCATTCTGAAATTTAAAAAAATACTTGCAAAAGTCAATGGTGTTCCAACATCTGAACCTCTGACTTTGATAGTGTACTTGATGGTTGGGTTGATTTCATAATCTAAAGCAACGGATGCTACAAGTGTTTTATTAATTAACTGAAACAAACCAGATGGATCATCTAGTATTTCAAATTTGTGGGTGGCATTTTTATCTTCATCTGTGGCCACCAGTCCCAGCAATGGTTTACCTGGCAACAGACCATCAGAGCAACATTAACGTCTGCCACTCACCTGACCTCACTTTACAGCACAAATCATGAAAGGTAAAGTGTAACTGACCTGGTGGAATGTTTTCTGGGACTGTGTCTGAGGTCATTGTGACACCTGTGATGGGCTCATTGACGTCAATGACATTTATGCCAATGTCAAAATAAGCAGAAGCTGGAGGCACTGCGTCATCTCTCACCATTATGGCAGTGTAGATCTGGCTCTGAGCTTCATAGTTGATGGCACACAGCTTTCCTCCTACAGTTGTACAGTTGGGGCTTGACTCTGCCAAAACCTTTAAAAAAATGAATTTTTAAAAATTTCAAAAAAAGAGATATTACTTTTTGAATAAATTAAAATATTATATATTAGTAATACATATTTAAATATTTAAAAAATTAATTAAAACCATCATATTTGAACATAGCTGCACACCTGTTGGTATTTACTTATTTTTTAATTCTTCACATTAGAAAATAACAATACAAATAACAGAAAAAATGTACATTTTACCTTTAGACAGTAAGTTTGTTCCTGCATGAAAAGTTCAAAGAGTTTAGTGTTTGTTAACATAAAAAGTGTCAAGTTTTGGCCAGGATCGTCGTCAATCAGCTGGAAGCAGCCAATAAATGTGCCTTTTGGACTGTTTTCCAACAATGTGTCTGGTGAAAGCTGAAACAACAACAACGACCAATATACTGGGATGCTATAATTTCATTTACAATAATAGTCAGATGGATAAATATATTTTGAAGTATACATGATAACTACATTTAATACTAGTTTACCTACACATTGACTACACAGAAGACAATGACTACACAGAAGATAATGACTACACAGAAGACAATGACTACACAGAAGGTAATGACTACACAGAAGACAATGACTACACAGAAGACAATGACTACACAGAAATTACAACACAGAACTTACTTTAGCTGACCTTGGAGGATCATTGTTATTTTGTAAATTGAAAGTAAAATTTTTGTCAAGATATAGTCCATCTAGGTCAGTTGCTCTGATTGTTGCAGTCCATCTGTTTAATGAGTATTTATAGGAAGTCTATTAGAGTGTTACAATACTGTGTTATTTTTTATTCTCAGGGCTGATACAATATTATTGAAAAAAATCATCAAAACAGGAATTATCAAGCAAGCATCTTACTGTCGATATTGTGAGAAGTACTAAATAATTAGTACTAGTCAGAATTAGGGAGGAAAAAAGTGTCACTTACTGTCTATATTGTGAAGTTTCATAATCTAACTTGGTCTTTACACAGAGCGTGTCATTGTTGACTTTTAAAACCCCAGCAGGATCAGCCACTACAGAGTATGTGTGTTTGTCCCAGGCTTCATTATCTGAGGTAGTTGTCAGTTTACCAAAACACTGGCCAGGAAGTAAAAGTTCTGACACATCTGTGCTGTTCAGGCTTATCTTCACATATAAACAAAGGTAAAAAATCAGGTGTGTCACATTGAATTTCCAGCTACATTTTATTCCCAATATTTTTTATTTAATAAATAGTGCCAGCTAGTAATGTATTAAATTAAATTAGCAAAATTAAATTACTATTAAAAGAAAACACACTATATAGAAAATAATCAATAGTTAAAACATTATTTAGATTTTATTCCCAATATTTTTTATTTAATAAATAGTGCCAGCTAGTAATGTATTAAATTAAATTAGCAAAATTAAATTACTATTAAAAGAAAACACACTATATAGAAAATAATCAATAGTTAAAACATTATTTAGATCTAGTACTTAAAACTTTGTTCTCTATATGTCCATTAATAGTCATAGAAATTATTAAAAATTTTGTCAAGAAGAAATTCCCATAGAAAACTGAATTTATAATCAACTTACATTAATAGGTGCTTTATTAGCAGGCCCACAAAAGATCTTAGGAGCTGTCCAGGTTCCATCCTGCTGACATTCTATAAACTTTGGATCTCCTTTGACAACCCACCCTGATGAACATGTACCATTACACTTGTCACCATATAAGGTGGACTGGATAAAATTAAAAACAACAATAATTATTAATACGTAAATTAGAATTTTAGCATACTATCTAAGTAGCAAGATGCTATTATTTGTTTTATTAAAGGTTTAGCTAAATTTCAGATTTTAGGCTACTGCTGTGAGGTATAAATTAAGTGATGGGATGTTTACTGTATGTGAAATTAAAGCAGTAGGAGATTAGAGATCTGGGTTTAGGATAATGTCCTACTAGGCAGAGGCATACAGTACGTATTTCATAAAGATTAAAATAATGAAAACAAATGTAGCTTTGTACAATAGGGGGGGGGGTTGAACATTTTAGGGTTGGGGTTCAGCTTTAAATAACTATATATGACAAAAAACTAGAGGTGAGTAAATAGGCAAAACACAAAATGATGTCACTGTTAATTTTTTTTTTTTAATTCTGTATTTTAAAAATCAAATGTGTGTTAATTGTGTTCTCTATGGAACACTAAACACTGTTGAAGTACTCACTGGGCAGTAACTGAAGTGGATAGTAAAGTACACACTGGGCAGTAAAGTACTCACTGGGCAGTAAAGTACTCACTGGGCAGTAAAGTACTCACTGGGCAGTAACTGAAGTGGATAGTAAAGTACACACTGGGCAGTAACTGAAGTGGACAGTAAAGTACTCACTGGGCAGTAGCTGAAGTGGACAGTAAAGTACTCACTGGGCAGTAGCTGAAGTGGACAGTAAAGTACTCACTGGGCAGTAAAGTACTCACTGGGCAGTAACTGAAGTGGACAGTAAAGTACTCACTGGGCAGTAGCTGAAGTGGACAGTAAAGTACTCACTGGGCAGTAAAGTACTCACTGGGCAGTAACTGAAGTGGACAGTAAAGTACTCACTGGGCAGTAACTGAAGTGGACAGTAAAGTACTCATGGGCAGTAACTGAAGTGGACAGTAAAGTACTCACTGGGCAGTAGCTGAAGTGGACAGTAAAGTACTCACTGGGCAGTAACTGAAGTGGACAGTAAAGTACTCACTGGGCAGTAACTGAAGTGGACAGTAAAGTACTCACTGGGCAGTAGCTGAAGTGGACAGTAAAGTACTCACTGGGCAGTAACTGAAGTGGACAGTAAAGTACTCACTGGGCAGTAGCTGAAGTGGACAGTAAAGTACTCACTGGGCAGTAGCTGAAGTGGACAGTAAAGTACTCACTGGGCAGTAGCTGAAGTGGACAGTAAAGTACTCACGGGGCAGTAGCTGAAGTGGACAGGTTGACAGGAGACCAGGACCTGTGTGCCTGGACCACAATAGGAAAGTGTTGGTGCAGTTCCACAACTTTTCTTCTTGCATGTGAACCCATCAAGGTCAAGGTTGTAACCAGGGTTACAGCTGCACTTTGCTTGGTTACACAGCTGGGTGCATTTTTCATGGCAGGTGCGGGTTTGCTATAAATCAAGAATTAGAAAAGCAGTAGTTTTAGGTGTAGTACATTTGTAATTTAAAGTAATAGCATTACATGTAGTATTTTTGTGAATGAAAATTGAAAAATAAAAAACTTAATTTGAACTGCATAAGTAGCAGCATGCTCTGCAATTTATTTTCAGCCAAATCAAAAAACATAATAGTAAAAAAATAATTGTGCAATTTATAATAAAAATTGAAGAAAAACTGAAATAAAAAACAACCTACTGTCAAATTGTATAAACCAGTACAAGGAACTCCCCCACAGACTTCCTGTACTGTAATAACCCTGGTAGACCTCTGAATGCCACGCTCACAATCACGAACACAAACTCCCCATGAACTCCAAGGCCCCACCTAAACATACAAGACCATCTCACTTAAAATAACAGTTTATAGATGTACATTGATAAAAATAATGTGAAACTTATGAAATGCTGAATAAAATATGTAAATAGGCTACCTGACAATCTTTCTTTGCGGCGTAAGACTCACAATCTTTTATATCTTCTGTTTTAGTCTCCAAACAATGACCCCCGCAGTACGCTGGGGTCAGTAATGTCCTTGACCTAACAGATTTACCAAAACCACAGTCCGTGCTACAGTTGGACCAGACTGACCATTCTGTGAATTTACAGTCTGTTGTGTTTCTAACCACACAGCTGGTGGACTCTAGGACGCCAGGGCAAGCCGTCCCTCCACAGTCAGGGGCAGTAAGAATTTTTCTTGTTCGGTTTCTGGGGTAGAAAGAGAGATAACTAAGTTTTAATAGATGTACTAGTGATAATTAGATTTTTGAAGCAGAATATGAATGTTAAAACATGTGGTTATAAAGCTTGATTAATACATACAAGTTATACAGCTTGATTGAAATGAAAGTTATAAAGCTTGATTAATACACAAAAGTTATAATTCTAGATTGATACACACAAGATCGCTAACTTAAAAGTTAATTTACTATTTTATCAGCTAAAAACATGTAAGAAAAAAGTTTTTACTTGAGTCCTTCCCCACAAGCAGCAGAACAGAATCCAAACTCTGACCATTCTCCAACTTTACAGTCAGTCTTACAACAAGGGCCGTAACACAGGCTGGTTTCTGTACAGATTCAAACAGTTATCTGCCTTGGTACAAATTTTATTCATACTTACAGCAGTAATAAGAAACAATTTATAACAAACCAGTTAAATTTCCGCATGGCTGGCCTCGACATTTTGAATCTGTTAAGACAGATCTTTGTCTACTCTTAGTGCCTTCCCCACATAGCCCGTTGTTTAGTTTACATTCTGTCCAATCAGACCACTGGCCCATCTGTGGAGAGGCAAGAGTTGTTCTTGTCATGTGTGGTAACGATGATTGCTCTACTAAAACGTATTTGTGGAGGGCTGGTTTAAAAATTAATGTTTGTTTACATAAAAAAAACTTCTGTTGGGTTTAAGCTACTTATTATTACTAAATTGAAGTTACACTTATTGATAATTTTATGTAATTTGTAATACACAATATAATTTTTAACAACACAAAATAATACAGCCATTTCAGATTAGTTTTTAAAAAAAAACCAATATAGACAAAATACTTTATATGTGACACTGTCAAAACCCTTAAATTGTGAGACTGAAGAGAAAGCCTGGAAAAGTCAATAGCCGACAACTTTAGAGCAGAGAAAGAAGCTTTAGAGCATGCAGCAAACCTCCTGTCAGAACACCCTGAATCTCCAAATAGTCAGATAGTATTTCTTCCAGATGCTAAATCTGTCCTGCAATCCCTAAAAAATCCAGAGTCCTATACTCAATCACTTAGGACAGCACTAGAAAGGCTAAAAAATACCTGCAGCAGAATTGTGCTGCAGTTGCAGCAGAATTGTGCTGCAGTGGAGACCGGGCCACTGCCTGATACAGGTTAATGAGATTGCGGACCAGCTGGCAAAAATTGGGGGAAAGAAAAAACAACCAGAAATCTCGCTACAACCAAAAGAAATAAAAAGAATGATAAAAAACAAACTTAAATGTGGTCTGACACACACCGTCACTACAATAAAGATGATGGATATTACAATTTGAAACGAAAACAACAATACATAATCTTTCGACTCAGAACAGGCCATAACAGACTAAATCAGGGGTCTCCAAACTTTTCAGTCCGAGGGCCGCATTAACTATCAAATTTCAGTTCGGGACCAGTTTCTTCCAGAAATGTCTTTAATTTTTCTGGCAAAGTTCCTCGGCCATCACCAACAAACGTTTTTTCCATGGACAAAAAGATCTCCGCGGGCCGGATGAGAGGACATCGCGGGCCGCATCCGGCCCGCGGACCGTAGTTTGGAGACCCCTGGACTAAATCAACACATGCATAAAAAACTAAAAATTGGGTGTGGCGAAATATTCCCTTGTGGCAAGACCCCGGAAAATACGGAGCACCTCCTTCAGGAATGTTCTTTATATAGCCTGGCGTGAGTCAGACACTGGCCCCTGCTCACCCCACTCAGGGAAAAATTATATGGGGCACCTGCTGATCTGGAGACCACAGTCCGGTTCGTTCACGAAGTTGGACTTGTCTAAATCCTCCACCATATTCTCAATTAAGAACGAAGAAGAAGAAGAAGTGAGACTGAGAACGTACTTGACAATCAACACTGACATCATACTTTACACGTCACACTGACATCATACTTTACACGTCACACTGACATCATACTTAAGATGTGAGGCTGAGAACGTACTAGACAATCCACATTGACATAGTTCTCGCATGTCTGGTTCTGTTTGTCATTCAGCTCCGTGCAGTTGGCTCCTCCACACACGGGGTATTTGATGTAGCGGGTTCGGGTCATTATACCTTCCCCTTAAATAAACAGATTTATTCATTTTAAAACAAGTAAAAGAACAAAAAATACAAAAGCATTATAGGCTCAATGTCTGATTTTTTTTTTCAAAAACAGTTATGCAACAAAGTAAACACCCACCACAGTAATTACAATGCAACGCGTACCACACACAATTGAACATCTACCACAGAAAGTAGAACAACTACCTCAGACAGTAGAACATCTACCACACACAGTAGAACACCTATAATATGCCATACAACACCTATCATATACCATACAACACCTACCACAAACTGCAAAACATCTATCACATGCAAATACTTTTTTTAATACCCCACAAAATCCTGCCAAAAACTTACCACAGACAACCCAACATCATTTACAGAGAGATAGTATATCACAACACTTACCAGAGAGAGTACACCACAACACTTACCAGAGAGAGTACACCACAACACTTACCAGAGAGAGTACACCACAACACTTACCAGAGAGAGTACACCACAACACTTACCAGAGAGAGTACACCACAACACATACCAGAGAGAGTACACCACAATACTCACCAGAGAGAGTACACCACAACACTTACCAGAGAGAGTACACCACAACACATACCAGAGAGAGTACACCACAACACATACCAGAGAGAGTACACCACAATACTCACCAGAGAGAGTACACCACAACACTTACCAGAGAGAGTACACCACACCACATACCAGAGAGAGTACACCACAACACATACCAGAGAGAGTACACCACAATACTCACCAGAGAGAGTACACCACAACACTTACAAGAGAGAGTACACCACACCACATACCAGAGAGAGTACATCACAGCACTTACCAGAGAGAGTACACCACAACACTTACCAGAGAGAGTACACCACAACACTTACCAGAGAGAGTACACCACAACACTTACCAGAGAGAGTACACCACAACACTTACCAGAGAGAGTACACCACAACACATACCAGAGAGAGTACACCACAATACTCACCAGAGAGAGTACACCACAACACTTACCAGAGAGAGTACACCACAACACTTACCAGAGAGAGTACACCACAACACTTACCAGAGAGAGTACACCACAACACTTACCAGAGAGAGAGAGTACACCACAACACTTACCAGAGAGAGTACACCACAACACTTACCAGAGAGAGTACACCACAACACTTACCAGAGAGAGAGAGTACACCACAACACTTACCAGAGAGAGTACACCACAACACTTACCAGAGAGAGTACACCACAACACTTACCACAGACAGTGGAACAGTCAGACCAGTCACTCCAGGTGCCCAGAACACAATCTTGAGGGCAACACGGGCCCTTGCACGTGGTAGTCTCGGACTCGTAGTCGCATCTTTTCCCGCCACAATCTGGCTCCTGAATGACCAAACGATTTCGCACTTTGAGACCGTCAGATTCACACCGAGCATCACACGCTTCCCAGGCTCCCCAGCTACCAACACAAAGGTTTACTCATTTTATAATTAACCTATTTTTTTTAATTATAGATCTAAAAATTCTTGAAATAAAATGATCGTGTTAAAATAAGTCACGTCTGACAACTAATCTTCTTATTCGTGTGTTCAAACCTAAGATTTTTATATTTTTATTATTATTGGCATGCATAAATTTTGACTTTTCTTGATAAAATGAAATTTTACAATGATATTGTAAGACGACATGTTACCTTCCCATAATGCAATCTTTGTAGCAGCACGGCTTGCCACACTGGAATTCGTACGTGACCATGTCGCAGTAGCCACCGCAGACGGCGTCGCTGACCTTGTCTCTCCACCTGAAGCAGACGACCCATGACCCGGGGACGCAGTACGTGGCGTCGCACCGACACGACCCCCACGGTGACCAGGGCGTGTATGCACAATTCTGGGGGCAGCACTTTTGGTTGCACTTCTCGCTGACGAACGTCCCGCCAACACAGGAGCCGCCGCACTGCTCGGCTGCCAGGATCTGCCTCGTCCTCGCCCTAACCCCCGCCGTACCGCACGACTGGGAGCATTCGGTCCACTCGGTCCACTCAGATGTGATGCAGTTGATGGGCACGCATGACTGGCCGTTGGTAACACTCCACTGAGCAATCAGCAGCAGTGCCAGCTTGCAAAGATATCCATTTGGTGAAATCAATGTATGCCATTTCCTGATATCACAAGTGCCTTTCTGTTTATTGAATAGAATACGTTTAATTCAAGCAGTATTTCTATCAGATATTTATCTCCGGTTGTGGGGGGGGGGGGGGGTGCACTTGAAACTTTATGGGAGAGGGGCGCACTTACATTTCTAGGAGTGGACCTTAGTTTAATTCAGTATTTGTTTTGTTATAAAACATATATCTTGTTTGTTTATTTTCCGGGGGTTGGGTGGAAGTGCTTTCCTATTAGCTACCTGGACTATTTTACGAACTTTAACTAGGGCCACTGTATAAATATAGGCCTACATTATATGTAGCGACAATATAGGCTTAATTTCTGCCAACACCACGGCTTTGGATGTCTGTCTGGGTGATAGAATTATGTTATTCAGTTTTGACTCCTTTCCAATGGAGCGATTTCTTCAAGATTTGTTGATTAGTGCTCCTCTGATGACAACGCAATAGTAGGGCCTATCTTACTATCAATTTATTGAGATATTCAATTGGCAATTAAATTTGAAGATTGCTATAACAATTAGTCATTAAAATTCAATTAAAGACTACTGGAATAAATAACAAAAGGGGAGGTAACTAATCAGTTAAGATCATTTTATCTTCAGAAGATTTGATGTTCACATCGAAAGTCAAGATTCTTACATGGGAGGGTAACAATGGTGTAGAGTGACTTTTATGTGGGAATATTGAGATATTTATATAATGTTTTATTGAGTTGATCTGGAATTTAAAATTTAAGGCCATTTTTTTTTTAAATCTTTAGGAGTGTAGACTTTGGTCTTCGAAAGAACAAGTATAGCAGCCTGTTATTGCTTTTAAATGTTAACTATAATTATATTTTTAAAATAAAATTAAATACTAAAAAGAAGAAAATTAAATAAGTAGGCTTTTCATTAACAAGAAGCTTTTGTGTGCAACAAAAATAAGAATATAAACATTGAAGTTTGTTTTTGTTTTGTTTTTGTGGCAGTAGATCCTAGGTCTAATCATCATGTAGGGCCTAATAGAAAAAGTAGCCAAAATGTTGATCTCTAGAAATCTATTCATTTTAATTTGTAGGGTCTACATTTTGTGACAAAAGCTATTTATGCTATTATTATGTTTTTTAATGTATTGTTAGAGCATTTGCACGCTGTTAAAAAAATATGTTTTATTAGTATGCAATAGGTGAAACTAGTAAAATGAGCAACCAAACCGATATATCGGATATAGGCTATTAATTATACAACTGGTTATATAAAAACTGCACTAAAACACTCCATTTAACTAGAAAAATAAAGGAACAAATATAAAACGTGTGTGTTCTAAAAGATAGCTCTGAAATAACAACCGCAAACATGATCCACAAGTCGACACAACTGGGTGAAGAGTGAAATAGATCTAACCGTCGATTGATTTCGCCGTCGGAGTCGCGACTCAGACTAGTCGAAATAATCCTCAAAACATGTTAAACCTAACGACAGCTTTATTAAACTTTTAAACAGACGAAATAAGCAAAAAATAGTTTATAGCCGACTTTAAATTTTCAAAACATTTCAAATCTGGAGTATGCTGATTTTTTAAGGTGATCGTGTGTGTGTGTGGGGGGGGGGGGGGGGGGGGGGGCTGGACACAAATTTTCCACTCTACAAAGTGTTATTTTATTTAAATGTTATCATGGGTTGAGTTATCTCTAGATTCTAGAGTGAATTATAAAACATAACAGTGCACAAACTTTATAATCCGTAACATGGAAGTTGGATTATATCTTCTCTATAAAATCGATATAGACTATCATATTTAAGATATACATTCATGAAAACAAAAGGCAGTGCCAGATTAGCTATCTGCCTCACTACAACAGGTCAGCTACAAACCACTCAAACAATGAAGCAACATTGAAATAAATAACTACCGTACACGTGCACACGTTTTTGTATAAAATGGGTCGCGTTTTATGTTCTCGTATACGACGTATAGAGAAAGTCAGTATTGAAATCGTGCAGAAAATCGGTCGAGATTTCCCTGAGTCGGAAAAAAATAGTTTTGTGATTGTGTCTATCTGCCTATGCGTCTATCTGTGAACACGATAACCTGAGTACCGTTTCAGTTATATAGACGAAATTCCATAATTATTATATTAAATTTGCAGTTTTGTATCAAATTTTGAGCGATCCTGGTAACCGGAAGGGTTACTTACTCTATTTCTGGTTTTTCAAAAGCCAATAAACTGAATACGGTTTAAATAAGTTAGGTGGACGAAATTTCACATATAAGTATTGCATTGTATGCGCATGTCTCTTTCATCTTTTGAACGATTTTCGGAATCCGGAAGTTGTATTTTTCTCTATTTTTGTGTTTAATACCATGACTTAAGTACTGTTTCATTCAGATAGAAGAAATTTCATATATAAGTATAAGATCTTATACTTGAATTAAACGGAAGTGGTAATTGACTCTATTTCTGATTTCTAAAATACCGATAACTTGAGTACCGTTTCAGTTAGGTGGACGAAATTTTAAACATCGATGTAATTCTTTTTCTTTTGATTCTTTCGAATTTTGTTTAATTTCCGGTGAATGAAAGTGCTACTTTATGTTATACACACACACACACACACACATATATATATATATATATATATATATATATATATATATATATATATATATATATATATATATATACAGTTGATTTATGACATTCACAATTTTAAATATACCTCCCCCCCCCCCCCCCGACACACACACCCTATTTACGCCACTAGAGGGGGAGCTAACCTATCCTCAAGACGCGAGGAGCATTCAATATCAACACATTTTCCTTCTGTATGCGATTTTTCTCCCACTAGATCTATAAGAACAGATGGCGCACCTTGTAAGTTATTGTTAGATATCACCAACTTGACGGGTACCACTGGTAGTCCTCCTATTCAAATGTCTATGTAACTCTCACACTAAAGAGATAGAATATTAATCCGTGGCCATTGAATCAGTTCACGGAATACGCATTGACTGAGACCCCATAAGCTTATATCTACTTGATAAGTTACTGTGTTCGTGTTGTTAGATCTACTGTAGATGATACAGATGACATCTTACAGACAATACAGCTTATACTAATGATGTGCGGTGTGACTGTTAGAGTTGACTGGTTGCCGTATCTACTAGACATGATGTGTCTTCGTGACAATTCTTTAAAACGAGCCGGCCCGCGGCATAACATACGCCGCTATTTAGTTGTTGTTTTTCTACTTTTCAGTAATTCAAAATTTGTGAATTCGACAGTACCAATGCTGCCACTGAAAATATTTCTTTAAAACACTATAAGTAGCACGTTAAGGACCATAACCCCCACCCCTTTCCTCCCCCCCCCCCCCTACGTTTAAAATCGTTGGCTCTGCTTGTAAACATTTAGAGTGAACACAGCTCACTAAAACCATGTAGGGGTGGGGAGGTAGGGAGCGCGTTTACAGCTTGTTTTCTAGCGGCTCCCAGAAGAGAATTATATATATAGATGATAATCTAAAACACTTTTCTTCTAAACGCTAGAATAAAAAGGCATTTTAATTAAGCATAGAAAATACGAAACCAAATACACTGTAATGAAGAAGATAGTGGACGTTGAAATATCTTTTGTCCATCCCCTTGTCGCCCAAGGAGGAGAACAAATAGCAAATATATCACGTTGAGCAGATGGTTCCTTCTTGGCCTTTTGAGCATAATATTATCGTGTGACTTGTCCTTACATTTATTTCCCTATGATTGTTTGAAGGTCGATGTTATTACAATCAGCTCAGCGTTGTTGCCGTTCAGGAGATGTTATGTCAGTGTGTGGGAAGTGATTAGTATCATAGCACGGCTTAGCATAGTGATTTATAATTCATGGATGGGCCTGGGTCAATAAATTATTGGTCAACAAAAAATCGTCTTCAGTGTTATCTTATTAGTTAGGCGATCTTTTTACGAGTCGTCTACTGTTTTGTGGTCACTTGTACAATGATGTTGAAGGATTTGACTTTAAAAACTGGTGTTACATAAGTTTCGCTCTGGGTAAGCGATAAAAAATGTTCCAGATCTGCTGCCCTGCAATTTGCCTGTTGTCTTTTGAAATGAAAGATAACTCTTGAATAAAACTCCGAAAGGGGCGTTAACCCCCCCCCCCCCCCTTTTCGACTACGCCTCCGATTGTAGAGATGATTTTTTTTTTACTCGCACAAAATGTGCGGGCCTCGTTGTTGTAATTTTTTTCGTTGTTGTTTTCTGGCATGAAAAGTTAGTTATCTATTTATTATTCAACATCTGTAGCAAAAAAAAAAAAGTGTTTGAACACCCGCCCTCCATGAAACATACCAACGACGCAGAAGCCATTGGTTGCATCAACATAATACAGACATAAACTAGGGAATATATACTGACAGTTTATACTGTGTACATGCACACAACTGGTGCACCTTATGTTCCACTGTATTCATACATTTGTATGTGAATATTTAAAGATATTCTAAAGATATGCCTACACCTTATGTTTCACTGTATTTATACATTTTTATGTGAATATTTAAAGATATTCTAAAGATATGCCTACGCATTAAACCGGCCAAAATATGTGTCGTCAATAGGATTAGCGGCTTGGCACGCTGCGTGAATATTTCTCATTTCTTTGTTATTGCCTGTGACTTTTCAGTAAGTTATCAATTGAATATTGGCTTCAGTAGGCTGAGAAAGTATTGGATCGCAAACTGAATGACTGGACAAACGACAGTCCTCCTCGTCTCGTATGTATCATGCAGAGGCGTAGGTTGGGGGGGGGCGCCTCGTGCGCCGACCCGACCCTATAAAATTTAGGCCACTAGCTGTACTAGACGAAATAAAACTGGTACACTGCTGGTTTAAAAAAATGTATTTTTGTATTTCAGTTACAGAATATCCTTATGATCTGCTCACCCGCAGAGCAGTTTTGATGCCACCATCAGACACGATTGTAGTACATTTCATCTGGTGCCTAGCCTATGATGCACCACATCTTCTACCAGAATAGCCACTAAAATTCCTTGAGCGTTTTGCAATGAGTCGCTCATACCAAGTGGATTCCACGTGGACTGTATGTCTGTCAGATTGTAAGTTGTCATCCACTCTTGCACAATACAGGGTAAATTAAATTAAAAAGTTTTTTTCTTCTTCTCAATGGCTATTCAAGTAACAATAATTTGTAAAATCTTTCCTTTTACTCGTCAATACGTTTACACGAGTCTGTAGCGAGCCGCCTTGAACTCAATAACTACACCAACGTCTATCTTTGAGGCATGTCTTGTCTTGGTCCCTGTACCACCATAGCTTCTTCCATAGTCAACCCCCCCCCCCCCCCCGTAACGAAATGGAATTTATATAGAAAATATATACTTTTAACAGTGTCCGCCCCCATCCCCCCCCCCCTTCCGGAGAAAAAAGTCTGGATGAAACACTGCTAACAGCTATATCATGTGATCATCATGAGCTGCACTCATCAAAATGTGAATTCAGCCTTGAATGAATCTGTGTATGCTTGACATATCAGCCTTTCTGATACTTATACTTTAGCACTTCCAAGATGTGTAGGCCTGTGAGCTAATGTCACTGGTGTTCACGGTAAAATTTGACTGATTCTGCCATTGTTTGATCTGGTGACTTGAAGCTGTAAATTTAAATCATAGCGTGCACAATAGAGCTTACACCTTCAATTAAAACCACAAGGTAATTCAACTATTGTTCTGGGAAGTTGACTTTACTACAAGTATGTGAGTTTGGGTTTTGATAAGGAGATGTTAAGATGAACAGGGTGTTGAAGGAAGATCTGGAGTGACTGCTGAGAGTGGAGCCACATTAGATGTTGGGCCCTGTAGTGGTTTCTGCTTCATTTCCTGTAGTCAAACAACATTAATATTGGCCATTTTTTATCAGGTCCTTTCAAAGATAAGACAAACTAACTCAGTTCAAAATCACATTATTTTATTCAAACTAAAAACACATTTTGTTCAAGACTGATACAAAACTACAAGTTAAGCTTAACATCACATTTTTCTCTCTCCAGACTTACAATTTACAGCTTCCATCAGAACTCTAGTCAACCATGGAATGAACTGGGGTGAGATTTACTGATCATACAATACCATCCATCATGTGTGTAACTAATTAATTCAACACCTTATATTGGACATCAGTCTATTATTTGTCACTACAAGAATTTTATTCAAAATTACAAGGCTTTAAATGTCCTGAAAATTAGAAAATAAACGTAAATGTTCTTTAGCTAAAGTATTATTAGTGTTGTTGGCTATAGAAACCTTTTCAAAAACATATTACTATAGCTACATTGCATTTATTTTATTTCCTCTCTTGAGTACTTAGATTTTGTAAAGATACAAGTAGAAACTTAATTTAAAATGTATTACCAACTGCTTTAATGTCAAATTTTATTAAAGAAAACACCTTACACATATAGTTTAATTGTATTATCTACCCCTTAGTGATAAAAATATATATAAACATTCATGTGGATCCCAGCTCACCTGACTGATAAGCTAGAACCTAGTTATCTCCCCTTTTGTAAATGAATATGTCATTTAATTTTCAATTTAAAAAAATATTTTCTTGTTTTCACATCAGAAATAAATGTATCTGGACATAGTGACCTAAGTAACAGTTTATACAAACATCAAATTTATATCATATTAGCAATTTAAGTTTTATTTTAGCATTAATTTAACCTTTGAATTTAAAATAACTGTAAATATAGAATCTAGGATTGGCACTTTCTTGTCAACGCTCTCAAATTATGGACTGTCTAAAAGTAAAACAAAATGATTAAAACCAAGATGATGAATAAAATCTTATTTAATACTTTTTAAAGCTTGCTGCACAAGATACTAACCAAGAGATGAAGCTAACACCCACAACAAACAAGATCACATTGTTCATTTATTTATTTCACACTGCTATCTCCCGTCTCTTGCCACAGCACATTTGTATGCTACATCATAGTTTTAATTGATAAAAAAACAACATTTTCATATTCAAATTCTCCTCACTTACACTAATTTTATAAAAGCTGGAACATACTCGTATTGTTTGCTACCAATCATACAAATATTGATAAACATCCAGACTAAAGGAAATATTAACTAGCTTTTTGTGCTGCTGCTGCCAAGGCGTCGCTACTTGTTAACTGGTGCTCCTGGAACCTCTGGGATATTCTGTTGGTCATCTTCATGTATTTCTCTAAACAATTCAAAGCACAGGTACTCTGAAACAGATCAAAATATGCTTTTTTTAATTTGCCTCAACACCCCAAGAAAACAGGCATAGGGACCAGTAAATAATGAGATCAACAGAAAATCCAAACTTGAGAGATACAGGAAAGCTCTTCTTTAGAGGGAAGTAACCAAAGATACAAGCCTCAAATCACATAGACAAAAACTACATGTTATGTTTTTAATTAAGACAGTTAAATATAAATAAACGAATCAACCAACCTCTGCATTTATCACACGTCTCGTAGTAAAATCATGAACACAAGCCATAAAACACTGTTCTGTTATTTTGTTGTACTGGCTTAAAAATTCTCTGAACTGCAAGAAAAAGTGACAATCTAATGAGTTTTTAAGTACAAAATATAAAACAACTCTTTAAGCCCAGACTTTTAACATTCATTTAATTATCTAAAAGCTGCATAATCTTGGTTACAAGAGGTAAAATAAATTCTGCTAATTTTACATTAACAAATGCATTTTTAAAGGCATTGCCCAGAGAATTTTTATACCGGTGTCTGACAATGGAATCTTCTTTAAAAAAGGGGGTGTTTGGGTTACTGGTAGTTAACTAAATACACACATGGCTGGCTAATGTCAATGCTAACCCTGACCCTAACCCCAACCCTGGTCCTAACATATGCCTAACCCTAATTTCTAACCATAAAATTAGTCAAGAATACAATACTACTAACAACCCAACAAATACAATACTACTAACAACCCAACACACCTATTTTATGAAAGAGTGTATTATCGGACATCGGTATCTAAAATTATCCGCATTGCCAACTATTGTTATGATCTTAGCTGCTGCTTCAATAGCTTAACTATAACTCATAAGGAAACTTGTAAAAGAGAAATACCTGGGAACCTGTAGACATGGCATCCACTTGCATCTGAGGGGGTAGAGCTGATTGTTGAGCAGCCATTGTTATCTTTAAATAGTAAGCAGTTATGAGTATTAAAATTTCAAATCATGGCAGTAGATATAAAAAAGTTATAGCATTCCCTGTTTTTTTTTTTCGTTGTCCTGTTAAACGGGGGGGGGGGGGGGGGGGGGGATGACTAATGCAATATCTGTTAACTAGGTCCTACTTACTAATGACTTGGGCTATTATGATATTACCCTAATGTTTAAAAAAAAACAACCACTGAATTTTCTTGGCTTTATTTAACCGGACAAAAAACAAAAAAAAAAAAGCATTAAATATTGAAATTAGATCTATACTCTATAACTCCATAGGCATACTCATACTGAAATTATTTTTTTTAAACTTACCTTAGGCTGGCTTAGTGCTTATACAATGTCAACTAACTCAAATAGTGTTTTCTATCGATTTCCACCCAGTATCACAAGAAATCAGCTGAAAATAGATGATTATAAATTATTATTAGTTGTTTGTTATTAAATATTTAAGAATTAAGAGGGAAAAAAACTGAAATTATAAGTTAGGCCTAGGATCTAGATCTCTAGATCTAAATTTCCAAATCTAGTAGGGCCTAACAGTTTTGAAAATATTTTCTTCTTTTTCATTCTTAATTTTTAGTAATTTTAGTGTTGGAAGGGATCAAACTCGAGACTTTTCGATTTAGCAACCATGAGCTTTTTTAGTTAGGCCTATTTCACATTTAAAGTCATTTTGAGGAGGATTTATTTTATGTTTTGAAAAATACAAAAATAACCCTATTTAATATCTATTTAAGATTAAGGAGTCACCTGTTTTTTTACATTACTAGAATCTAGATCTAGAAAATCTAGATCTAGATCTAGAAATTATAATCTAGTCGCGGGCGATTTTAATTTTACGTACCTAAAATGGTAGATTACTTAGATCTCTACTACTACTAGATCTACTATTCTCTACTCTTAGTGTACTGACTGGCACTGGTGTAGTGTAACCGTCACAGTACTCGTACTACTACTACTGTGAGACTGCACTGTGTACTGTAGTGTACTGTGTGTGTAGTCAACTGTACTGTAGTCAGTGTCAGTTCTAATCTTAACTTTCTTTTAAAATCTTTTTACCTGCACATAATTAATAGGCTGAGAAGGATCTAAATTAACGTAGATTGGTAATCCCTTAGTTTAGCGTCGGTTATTATTCCGGAATCGTATAGCAGTAAAAAACAGTAAAACAATAACAAAGTCTGTCACACACTTCCGGAATTCACCGGAAGTACCGTAAACCATACTTTATTTGGCGTCTTCTTTTATTTTTAAACAGAATGTTTAAAATTTGGATAGATTTATTTTTGTAATCATTTTTACATTTTGTAATCATTTTTACTATTTTCGTAATCTAGATTTTTTTACTTGGCCTAGCAGCTAGATATCTAGCTAGATCTAGATTTAATTAATTAATGGTCGCAAATCCGCTGCAAGCCAAAAACATTAAATTATTACATTTGATACATTATTTATATTTATATATGTTTTTATTTTTAGAACTACTAATTTAAATCTACTATTATATTTATTCTTGTTTCCTTTTGTCGATTAAACTTAAAAAATTAAAACATTAATTTACTACAATCGACTTTCAATTTAATTATATTTCAATGGTCAAATAAACCATGGTTTACCGTAACTCTAATTACCGAAACTCAACAAACATTACCCGATAATTTCCGACGCTAAACTAAGGGATTACCCGTAGATTTATATTTCAATAGTGGAGAAAACGCAGTAGATCTACTACTGGTAAAATCACGATATAGCAGACTTGCAGAGGTCAAACTGAAAACACTCAGTGTTTACAAATTTTGAACCCACATGGAAATCTGGATTGTTAGAAGTATCAAGATTATACCTTCGACCGCAAACAACCGTAAAATAGCGAATGACATTGAATGTAATAAATTGAATGTAATAAATTCGCAAGATGGTCGATAGTCTCTAGATTCTATATTCGTGGTATGTCTACTTTACCCGAAGAAAGTCTACTGCCCCCAAACAAAATGGAATTTATGTAGAGAATATATACTTTTAACAGTGTCCGCCCCCCCCCCCGAAAATTTCAAGTGCACCCCTACCCCCGGAAGAAAAATGTCTTAAGGAACTGGCCTAATTAATTACTCTCTAGGGGTCATCCATAAATGACGTCACACTGTTAGAAAACGAATTTTAGACGTTATTTCGCGTTTTAGATAACTGTTTTAATAAATTGTAAGAGTTTAGAAAAGATTTTGGAAAAATATCGATGTTTTGAAAAAATTCAACTGCAATTTTGATGGGGGTTGTAGGTTGAGGTGTGACGTCATTTTAGGGGGGGGTCTGGCTTTTTGTGACGAAATGTGACGGAGGAGAGGGGGGAGGTAAAAATCGTCAAAAAAGCGTGACGTCATTTATGGATGACCCCTTGATGGATGGCACCTAACCTACATTGGTAGCCTACATTCTCTTTACAAAAGGGTTCATTCATGAATAACCTATAGATTTTATTTATAGGACTTTAACCTGTCTCTCCTCACCATCGCCACAAAAAGTGAGACTACAACTTAAATGACTTCTCACTAAGTCTATTTCCACCCACCCGCCTAGGGGTCATCAATAAATGACGTCACACTTTTTTGACGATTTTTTAACCCCGCCCCCCCCCCCCCCCCGGTCACAAAAAGCCAGACACCCCCGCCCCCTAAAATGAAGTCACACCTCAAAATTGCTGTTGAATTTTTCTTAAAACATCGATATTTTTCCAAAATCTTGTCAGAGCTGTCAACATAGAGTATTTTGATCAATTCCTGTTACAATTTATTTAAAACCGTTTTCTAAAACGCGAAATAACTGCTAACACTCGTTTTCTAACATTGCTTTTTTATAATGCAAAAAAAATGTGACGTCACACCATCTGAACCCCCCCCCCCCCCCCTCACAAAATTACGGGACCCCCCTCCCCCCTCCGAGTGTGATGTCATTTATAAACGACCCCAAAATATATTTTTTTAAACGAAGTTTTCTAATAAAATTAATTGAGGTGTGTCAACATCAGGTAGCCTACAGTGGTCTGCTTTTTTTAAATTTACAATTTAGTCTTACAAAAATACATAATGGTTTAAGAGTTAATTTTTAAATCGCGAACGTTTGACGTATACTCTGTGACAAGGCAGCTTCCTCTACTTCATTGTAGATTATGGACGTCCTAGCGTTTAAGACACTGCAACCACACTTCACCGTTGTATTCGGCCACTGATATCAGGAACATTTCTGACACATCAGTTCGCTTTGGTACCTCTAATAAATCTTTGTTGTTTTCTATTTCATGACTCGTGATTTGAATAGTTCCAAAAAAAATTGTTTAGTTTTTGCGACCTTGAGTTCTGGTGGCCTTGGCCAATTGTGTACATACATAGTAATAAGTGTCCTATCTTCCCTTTAGTATCGGAAATTGCCCCCGCTATGTAGGTAGGCAAAATGGTGTTAAAGGGGGCATAACTGTAACTTATCGTAAGAGAATTGGTATTTGGATGGGGGGGGGGGGGGGGGGGGAAAGAGAGATGTTTCCATGTGGGGACGTCCAGCAACACCCTATATCATTCTACCATTCAGACTGCAGATCTCTTATAACTTCTCGACCATGAGTTGACAGTCTTAATTTTAAGTACAGTACTGTATGTAGCGTTTATTTTTTTGTGATAGGATGTTATGAACAGGGATGTAAAATAAATTCACAATTGTTTGTTAGCTACACAATTGACATCTTAACATCAATCACAGGAGGTAAAGTGGATACCTAGGCTGAAGAGTTAGAAAATTTCACATTTTCTGCCATCACTATATTAAGGCACAAATACCTGCCATCATTGCTCAGACAACAACAAAAAAAAAAAGAAAGAAAAAAAAAATTCTGTTTGACAGCAAAATTGGCATTGTACTCAAGGCAGAGTGCTGATTAGCAGTTGCACTGTTTCAAATCTTAACAAATTGAAATAACAAATAAACATATTTTGTTTTTTAACATAATACTTTATTTACACAAAGTAGAAATATGAAGATCATAATCTGAAAAAAAAAAAGTAAAAAACTGAATTTTAGTATTGCAATTAATAAAAATATATCAGCTTTTAAGTGAATGCACTATTCGTTTAATAGTACTGAAGTAATAGTAGAGAAAAAACAAACTACCTGTAAACCTAATTATATTCTTAAAATTTAGTAACTATGTTATCTTTATAAAACATTTTTTTAAATGTTTAGCTGTGAAATAAACAGACCAAAAAAATAAAAACCCTAAAGACAACATTTGAACAGTAAATTGCACTTACTTAACAGCTTTGTGACCTTTTTTCTCCACCTTCTTAGGCTTGAACTTCTTTTTCATCCTCCTAAAAAGAGATATAAGTGTTAAAGTATTTCACCCAGCATTCTCCAAAATTATTTATTAACTGTAACAATGAAACTATCAGTTATTAAACATAGGAGGCAAATATTAATGCTCAATCACATGCACTTCATCAGATGTCTAGTAAGTGTTCACCTCAAATTGACATAGTCCACTAAACAACAGATATGCTACTTACTTTTGTCTCATTCTTGGTTCAATTATATTTCTCCTCTGTAAACTTTTGTATACATCATGAAGAATATGTCCTTCAGGCTGAAAAAGTTACCCCTTATAACATATTTGTTTATTAAAGATATATTTTAAAATTAAACTTACATTATTATTTAGGAAAAGGGTCTATAAATATAAAAGATTAAATGTTGTAAATGAAATATTACTTTGACTTCTCGTAAAGATGCCACAAGCTCTTCAGACAGTTTCAAATCAAGATCAGCATCCTCATACTTGTAATGGGTTAAGGCAATTTTTAAAATATTGAAAATTAACTAGACAAAAATTCAATAAATTGGTTTAAAAATAAATAATTCTCAGTTCAAGTACTTCAGCATATCATTTTTTAAATCTTTTAAAATTATTTTTGAAGCGAAGTAGGGTAACTTTTTAATAAACTGACAAGAGAACAGAAACCTAGCTTTACTAAAATATACAACTTATAGAAGTTGTCTGAAAACATTCAATTTGCTTGAAACTCCATTTTAATAAAAGTTCTTTTTATACAGAAGTTTAATAAATTGTAATCTGAGCTGTTCTAAATAACAATCTTGAGAAATAAAAAAGTATTTGAAAAAAACATTGTTTGCATGAATAGCAAAGGATATCTTATTTTGCCAAGTCTTTTAGTCTTAAACTTTTCCAATTCTTTTTCCTTTAATTTAATGGCTTCTTTTTCTTTTCTTAATCTTTCTGCTTTGTTGATTTCAGACTTAATAGTTGGTATTCTGGAAGACAAAATAAATATAAAAATTGAAGATATCACAATAACGCTACATTTTTCCAGCATACAACAATAAAAATATGAGCAAATGCTATACCTTAACACCATCCGCTCCTTTTGCTTTAATTCATCTTCCTTGGCCTTCAGTTTCATCTGAATGAAAATAAGACCATAAAACTAATTACATATGCAGTAAATAAATATGTTCCTTATTTTAAATGCATTAACTTAGCATCTCTCTTTTTAAATGAAAATAATTACATTTCTGTCCAAAACAAACTATTTGTCTGAAAAAACATGTCTGGCTGCTCAGATGTAGACTTCCAAGAAAACATTAGAACAAGTTGACTCTACCTTTTCTTTCTCTTCCTTCTCTATTCTTTTTTGCCTCTTTGTTTTTCTGTCTTCTCTTCTAACAGGAGGGTTTTTAGGTATGTTGTCATTCTCAGCCTCCTCGTCTTCATCATCAGATTCATCAACAAGCCCAGCTGACATTTCAAGGAGATAAGTGTTCTAAACAAAAAGATTTAGAGATTCATAACATTTTTACTCTGTAATATTTTGATCTTATGTTTTATGAAAAACACAAAGCATTAAAAATAGAAAAAACATTATGCTTATCAGAATATTTATGCAAAATGTAGTGTCTTTATCAAGATTTTCAATACTCGAAGTAGTTTTATTACATTAAGCTTAATAATATAAAAATCTCTATATTAAAGAATTTCTTAGTTGCTTACTTGATCTGGAGCGTCACGCTGTGATGGAAACTTTGCATCAAGCGAGTTAAAAATCTTCTTTTCTTTCTTTATTCTGTTTAATTCTTTTATATGGGCTTGAAGGAGTAAATCCTACAATACAGAAGCATCAAAATGAAAACTTTACACAAAAAAATATCATTGGTTGATTATATATAATTAGAAATAGGACTATAAAGTTGTACCTGATGCTCATCATATGCAGGATTTACAGAAGTACCTGGATGTGGAACAGGTGTTGCGGGTAATGCACTTATCTTCCTTTTCTGTAGGAGCAATAAAAATAAAGCAAATATTATAAGAGGAATATAAAAAGGAAATGCGAACTAACGACACGCACCTTAATAAAGCTATTTTTTGGTAGAACATGTGATAGTAAATTATAGGATCTACCTTTGGTTTTGGTGCTTTAAGGTCATCAGTATCATCTGGGAGGATGAAAGAAGAGAAACAAAATTAAATTATTTTTCTAAAGTAAAAGAAACATGAATGAATATATAATTTCAGGTGATTTAAATTTTCAATAAGGAAGTAAACTTTTTACCTGACCACAAAACCTCATCAACAACAGGGAGCTGTTTTTTGTGCTCTCTTTTAATTAGCTTTTCTACTATGTATTTCTGACGTTGGCTTTCAGCATTTAGTCTAACCAGAGATGTTGACCTTTCTCTTAACCTATTTAGAATTCGCTCACTTCTTTTGCCTTTTTTAAAAGTTACTTGATCTGGCCTGGATAAAAAAAAAATTAGTTGTTTTATTAATAATAATTTAATAACAAAATAAAACTAAGTACGCCCCAATCACATGTGTTTGAAAAAAGAACTTACTTTCTAACCAGTTTACTGTGTGGGTCTGGCTGCAGAAGGGCAAGACATTTCAAAGGTTTTTCTCGAAGACTTCTCTTGGAAAGGGATTCTGCAAATTAGTATTCAAAAGTCATAATTTCCACAAAAGAAAGAGAAACATTCAAATATGAGTCTGTTTCTAAATGAGTGCAGGCAACTTACTTGCAGTGGAGTCCTTCTGTGTACTTTTGTCCAAAACAAACAAAGTGTCATCTGCCTTTTCTGATACCAAACCACTAAAATATTTTATAAAAAGAGTAAGGAAATTATAGCACTTAAAATGCATCTGATAATATGAATCTAATATAGAAAGTTAATCCAAAGTGGTAAACAATTAAAACTTCCATTTTTCTGAATATTCAACTAATATAGCCCATGATAAAAAACTTTATGTCTATAAAGAATTCTGCAAGTGCTGGAATGGTGTAACAGTTGTCTGTCAATTAATCTTCTTCACTCTTGGTACCTTCATTAGTTGTTTGACATAAAAATGTGTTAACTTTTACAGTAGATCAATAATTAATCAATAATTAAAAGGCCGATGCTAGCCGGAATGGAGAGAAACTACGACTTGCCTTCGCGGCGGTGTTTTCGATGGTACTGCGCATGCGTGTGTTTACAACCGCAGAACCCTAACACCAACCCTAATCCTATCCCTAACCCTTATCCTATCGCTAACCCTATCCCTAATCCCATCAAATGTAGTGCCTGGTTGGTTAGATATTCAGATTTAGAGTGAATTTAGTGTTTATTGATTAATTAGGCCTGTCTCAAGTCTAAAATTAAAATAATTCTAAAAAAAAACAAATGCCTGCGTGCGTGATGTGATCACTCAATAAAATATGTTTTTTTTTAAAAATCAATCCTACCCTGTCCGAATTTGTCTTCTTTCGTCTTCTAAATACTCCTCGATGTCGTCGACATTTACTGCTCTCCATGATTTCTTTTTATTCTTTCCAAGCTTGCGCTTTTTTGATAATTTAGGAGCATTGTGCATGTTGTGTGCCATTTCGTGTAGTGCAAATACCACAAATCTAGATAACTAGATCTAGATCTAGCTAGATTCAACAAATGAAATTTAAAACGTTTTCAAATAGGCATATTAATAAAGACAATAACACACGTAATATGTTTAACATAGTGATTTTTTTTAGATCTGCGTTGTTTGTGCATACTCTCAATATAAGTCTAAATCTACGTTGAAAATTTTCTTACTTCAAATTAAATGAAAGAAGAAAACTGTAGCGAATACAAATTTTAGTTTCGGTGTTTGGATTTTATCAAGCAAGGGAGAGTACTCAAAATCAAGTCTTCTTAACCTTATACATTTTATGATGCCAATGGCAATCCAAGCTTGAAAACTAGATCTAGAATTCTAGACTTAGATCTCTTTGATTATTTAAAAATAAAATAATATTTAACCTGTAAATAGATCTAGATCTAGATCTACTAATTATAAATAATAAAGATTGCAGATCAACCGCTGGTAAGAAAAAGTGGGGTATGCTTTTACAACATAAGATGATAAGATGAACTTATAACACTGTTGTACTGTACTGTCTGTTAGTTATAGTATAAAGTATAGTTATAGTCAACATACTCTGTTTTTATAAAATTTATAGGCCTAATTTAAAATTTATATCTACCCAGTCTGATGAGTCTGTCTACTCTTTTTACTACTCTACTACTAGATCTAGTAATCTAGTACTACTCTACTAGTCTACTACCTAGCAGAGTGAGGCATTTTTTCTGTGATTTATTTATTAATGAGCTGATCCGCGACGAAGCATACACCCCTATTATATATTTACTAGTATAGGCCTATTTAGTTTAATTCCTATTTTTCAGTAATTCATAATTTGAAAATATTTTGCTACTAGCTAGTGAAGGATGATTATTCTCACCCTCACTTTCCACTCCCCCCCCCCCCCCCCCACCTCAGTGAAAGCAGCCATCTGTGACAACAGTTTACAGACCACAATGAAAAGAGCAAGCAGAACATGTTATTACCTCCCATTAATTTCAAATAGTTTAAAAACTAAATTATCTGCCCCTAATAATAATAGTTAATAGCAGTCACTAGGACTGGACTAAACAGCTCTCCAGACTGCTGGGGGTGGGAGTGGTAGCGATATGGTCTGTTGAGCTTACGTCTTAGTGGTGTTTCGCATGGTCCCCACGTAGAGAATTATATGTATAGATATTAATTAGATACTTTCATAAAATCTTAATTTTAGTTATTTTTCAATTTAAAACTCTCATCCTTTACTTTGTAATACTCTGTTTTTTTTTACCCTGTTGTTGTCTTGAGTTCATACATAATTCCCATGAATTCTCATCTGCTGCAGTTTTTGCATTTGAATACATAGCAGACAAATTAGTCTCCTCATGCAAGTTATTTTTTCATGATGAAAATTAAAATTAGTTTGTTACAAAGGGAAATTTAATTATCTATTCTATAAACAATATTGATAAATGTTGTAGTGCCACACAGATGATTTTATGTACAATGGAACCATAATTTTACCAAACATGTAATTCTTAATTACCTTTTTCTCCCTTATACCTAGTGTATAGGTCAAATACACTGTAGATGGTAAGTGTACAATGTACAATGTACAACAAACACTAAGCAGCCATTGTTATAATCTGGTCAATATTGTTGTAGTGTTAGCCAGATTAAACTACTTAAAGTAGAGATCTATAAATTGTTGGAATGATCATGAAGCTTTGTTAGTATATATGGAAATTAGGCTTGGATCTTTTTCTGTGGGAAAAAAGTAGGTTAAGCGAAACTAATGTAGGCCTATTGTATTTTCATAGTGATCCCTGACAGACTTGCTTATTAATTAAAATATTTTGTTTGAAAGTTGAATACCTCGTACTATTTATCTTAATATGTTTTGACAATGTTTCAGTCTTCATAAATCAATAATGATGAGTATCAGACATCTTCAGCAAAATTTGTCCAGATATGTGTCCAAAACAACCATGTACAAAAATGATGTAATAAGGTGAGTACTAATAACTTCAGATTAGAAAGATAAAACAGAAATTCATTATTATTTTTTAGAAAAAAATATCATTTTATAAATTATGCTCCATATTTGTTTCAGTTCTAAACTTAATTTTACCAAATAACTCAACGAAATGCCAAATTATTTGTCAGTACAGGTATTGTTTTGTTTTAAAAATATTTTAACAGATTTCTAGCCACACGTTCTAAATTTCATGGCATGTGGGAACCAAATGATTTGGTAAGGTTTTTTTAATGCATGTAGTAATGAATAAGCCTATTTGTATGTTATTTAGATGTGTATATTAGAATCAAGCTTGAAGAACGTAAAGCTTAAAGTAGATACTGATCTCTAGATTCTAAGTGTTTTTTTTTTTTTTTTTACAGAAATTACAGCCTGACATACCAGAGTACAAAGCTCTCCACATTGTCATGAGAGGATATGATTTTCCTGTTCTTGAGTCTTATGCAAAATATCTACATAAAGCAGTGGAATCTATTTTTAAGCTGGAGTCAGATGCGTATGTCTTTTAAAATAGATACAAGACTTCCAGGATTACATGCTTTCTTATTAAAATCGTTTTTTAAAATAATTCTTTAGAGCTTTTATCTTTATAGAAAGTGAAGCTTATCTCTTTTGCCTGGGACAAGTCTTTGTGTTTTTGTATAATTTTTATGCTGCATGTTTCACTTTTTTTTGACTGAATGCAAGTGCAAGCACGCAATATGAATAAATACCTTTTTTAATGCTAGATGGGCTACCCCAGCTAAATCAACCGAAGTGCGCACCTTCCATCAGAATTCTTCAACAGTGAATGAGAAATATAGTCTTATTAAATATGACAGAACTGTTATGGTGAGTTTTTTTCTGAGTTTGCTTTTATTTTTGGATTATTTTTTAAATTTGAAGAACTCATATTTAGCAATAATAAATACCCAAACTTCTGTTTACAGGTAGAGAATATTCCTACCACAACTGTCCCCATTTTACTACAGTTTATTAGAAGACATTGTCCCCAAGGGGTTGAAGTCTCTCTTAAAGAGGTTAGTAGATAAAAATGCAATTGTTTTATCACTTCTGCATGTTGCCACTTTATGGATCTTCACATTTATGTTATCAGTTGTACAGAAATAGTATTAAAGTATGGTTGATAAAATGATCTTGGACATACTAAATGGAAATTTATGAATTAACTTTAAGAACAGCTGGCAGTATAATTTGCTTTGGATTGGAATGTAAAAATGTTTATACTCTTTCACTACACTTTTAATAATGTAATAGAAAAATAGACTTTATTTATTAACTAAGAATTTTGTTGTGACTTTTTAATTAAAATTTTATAACTATACATTCTCTAGCCTTCTGCGGAGGAAGAGGAAGCAAGATATGTTCCAGATTATCAAGTTAAAGAACTGCAAACTACAAAAGATGCTATCGCATCAGGAAAACTAAGAAAAAAATAAAACAACGTTGACTGTTTAAATTGCTTTAATTGATTATTACAAAAATATATATAAACCATTGCATTTTTTTTTTTTAAAACAACTAATAAAGTTAGTTTTTGGAATGTTTGTGAGATACCAAATGTATTTGTAAAAATTACAAATCAACACCACCACAATATAAATTAAATACATTCTTGCTTAACACTCTGGGCCATACTAGATTTAATTTTTTTTTACATTTCATCAAACACACTCAATTGATCATAGTTAAAAAATCACATTTAATTAGAAGTCAAACGATTCCAAAATGTATGACTTTGACTTTTCCTTTTGTGCCGGCTTCATTTACCTCCTGGTTGCCCAAGTCACCACGCTGCACATCTCTTGGTCCTTAAATGTGTTAAAATTATTGATGTTTTAGTAACATTGTAATAGTTTCATTTCAGTTTGAGTAACTTAATAATAGCTATAAAAATTATTTTGAGTGTGTCTAACTATAGTTGAAGCAGAGAAACTGAAAACTTGTAGTTCTTAATCTGCTTTAATTTTTCCTGAATTTTTAAATAAATTTAGACAACCAAATTTGGGTGTAAAAAAAAGTAACATGCCAAAAACTTGAAAGAAGAATCTTGAAAAATTGGATGCTTTTGTAACATACATCTTTTAAATTTGTTTTTGTTAAAACATTTACCGGTTAAACTATTAGCTTTAGGTCCCATTAATGCTGTGGTATAATCTGTTATTAAATCATCATTGAGATGCATATCACCTAGGTCTGGAAAAGATCTGAAAATTCGCATTGGAAAATTAATTCGAATGAAAGTAGTTCATTAATTTTTTACTTTTATATATTGTATAACTTGTTTTAAAGGGCCTTATTACATTACATATTTTAAAAAACCAACTGCAAAATTTTATGTGGTTCACAATTGAGTTGTTTCAGCAAGATCTGAATATCTAGATGACAAGTAGTTTCTGTAACTGAATTCAGTAACACTCTAGTGTATTTAGTTAATTTAGTTACACAGAGGCACCATTCAGCACCAAGTATTGGGTATTTTAAACATGAAACAGATTAGAATTATTTGCACTGGACAGAATGGGGATAAGGAAAAGTCAACAGATTATAGTTGTTATGTGAATAATAATGCTAGTGTCCCACAACATTAAATAAGTGACCTACCCATCAGAAAATTGTGGTTCAATGCCCACCTCCGGCCTTTCTCTTCTCACTGAAAATCTTTCTGCCGATCTAGTGTAGTACTCTTGCTGCCAAGGATGTTGTCTAGAACTAGGAAGCTGAAGAAATAGTTTATGTACTTTCAATAGCATAAATCAAAGTTTGTAATTAGCAAAATTGACCTGTTTGATTAAGACATAAAAACAAGGGAGTTAATTAAGTTAAATTCAAGCATCAAGTCTAAAGTAAAAGCATTCAGAACTATTTAATAAATCCACACTTAAGGGGATATGCGCGGAAAAAAATAACTAAATTTCTTGTTTTTCGTCATGATGGGTTTCTTGCACTTTTGGATACTTTGTCCATTTTTGTATAAAGAAAATAATAACTTTAAAGAGAAAAAAATATTTTATGTGTTTGAATTACGACTTTTATGACCCTATTAATTAAAAAATAATCAATTTTTCCCAATCTTACAAGCTCTCTATGAAAAGTTTTATATCCGTCATAATATTGTATTTGACATCATTGGAAAGCTGGATTTCTCATGTATCTAATAAACTTAATTTCCTACATCTCGGAAACACCAAAAGCTTACAATCGGCTTTGCAGTTTATACAGATATGGTACTTTCCTGACCTAGTTTTCGTTACCTTTGGCTGTTTTTCTCAGTTCGCAGGTTTTTAACACTAAAAAGCCTACTACTTTTTTATTTATTAAACAATCGCCACCATATTTTCAGTAAATGTTCTTGATGTAAAAATACAACTTTTGTCACGAGGGAATAGTGATTACTTTCATAGAAAAATAGTATTTGGTAATTAATATGCTTATTTTCAAACTTTTGAATACTAAAAAGGGTACGATTTTTTAGACCTTGTAAAATTCTTTCTAGTTATTATTTCAAAAAGTTGTCGTGACAAAAGTTTTAATATATACTGAAATATAAGCAGTTTAAATTTGATTGCCATAGGTGCATAAATAAAAAAGCCTTAGTATTTTTAAAAGCACCGACAAATTCAAAATGGCGGAGGTTTTTTGGGTTTCCATGACAACCAAAATTGTTTTCGACCCTATTTTTTGCTATTTAATACTTACTTTTATATGCCAAATTTGATAAAAGTATTCAAAAGGCTTTAGATCTTAAACTGTAAAAAATAGAAAAAAACATAGCATATCCCCTTAAGGCTTTTGCCAGTGTAATGAGAAGATATCTTTTACAACTTGGGATGAACCACTCTAAGCTATGATGGATAGTCACTACATAAAGCACATATTTGTACTCCTAGAGCTAGACAAAATTTTCATGAAAACCTTAAAACAGTGAGATAATAAACTAGCATAACAGTTACCTCATCAATAATGCGTTCATAATCATCACAGTTTTTACTGTTGCTGTTATTTTTGTGAGAAGACTGTCCGGGTGTAAGGATGTATGGATCCACATCAAATACCTCTAATGTGTCTGAGATTTTGTGTAATATGAAAGGTTACATTTTGTGTCCCACATTTAGAATGGACATTATAGAGATAAAATATAGTGGTTCATGACCATTATTTATTAAATCTTTTGATAAAAAAATTACACTGAATGTGAATTCTCTACAATTTATATGACACCACATGATGTACAGAGTTATTGAAAACTTTATGCAAGGAAATTAACACATAACTGCTGGATAAGGCTATAAACTAACCAAGTCCTTCTGATTCTATTTGTTCAGCCTTTCGTTTAGCGACCTCAGCTAAAGCCATTTCTCCTTTGTCTGTAGCCATGTAATGGATGTCCTGTGTGATAGATTTTTTTACATTCACAACTTGAATTATTATTACTTTTACTTAGTATTGCCCTTGTATTATTTACTCTTACCATAAAAAGATCCCTGGCTCCAATATCCACAGCTAAAAGAAATGCCTTGTCAAAGCGGACATACCTGTTATAAAAGAAATCAAAGACTAAAGTATTTAAAATTGTTAAAATTGATGTAAAAATCAAATGTTACATTATGGCTAGAATGATTTATAAAGTAATCAATTTAATTTTAATTTTTACCTTAATAAATGGTGAAAAAATCTCCTGGCAAGATGACTAATAGGATCTCTGTACTCTAATATTGTAGTTTCTGATATTGCAGGTTTTGGTGCATAGAAAGTTGCAAGTGCTGTTTCTAGTTGGGCTTAACAAACAAAATTTTAAATGTTGTAATTGTTTTTATGAATTTAAAAGAAATAAAAAATGAATCTTTATAGTTCCTTTTTAAAAGCAAATATCTTTAAATATTAAAATACCTTCTCTATCAGCATTTAAAGGCATCCGCAGTAAATGAATAACAATGTAAGACAAGCAAGCGTAACATGCCTGTCCTTCGTTGTCCCAATTCATACTTGACAGCAAACTGACTGCCTGTAATTCAAAGTCAACTATAATAAAGTAAACAATAAAACAGTGACCCATCGTTCAACAAACCCAGTTCTTAAAAAAAAATTTTAATATAGCAAAATTTTTAAAAATTTAAACAAAAGGAAGCCTGCTGCAAATTTAATTAATCTACACATGAAATAATAAAATTACTACCTTATTGGCACTGGAACTAATTTCTCATTCCATATCCCACTATTATTGACATTTATAATCAAATTCACTAGCATTAGTCTTTTAATTTGTTCTTAAGTTACTAATTCTAATGCCTATAATTTCTATTCAAATTTTTTTTTAAATAGTAGAAAATGAATAGTTAGAGATTGACCTAGAATTTAAAAACAGCCAAAGCTGTTTGCAAAAATAATAGTCTACTTATACTCTACCTCATCTATCTGCTTATGTTTCACATATTCTTTGACCAACTCTAAGCATGAAAACCTTTCTCTGCTTCTTACACCAAGATGGAATTGTAGCAACCCAACTGGACCCCTGTTGGTAAATTAAACTTTCAATTGCCAAAGTAAAATTAAAACAAGTATTTGTATGATGTCAAATTATCATACGGCTAGTAATGAATACGTAACAATTCTCATACCTGCTAAATGACAAGAATAATGCATCCATATTACTTGTCATAAACTCAGAGCTATGGGGAGAGAAGGGACACCACTCTATTTCTCTTAAAGTTACAGACGTCCTGTCGAGGATAATTTCTTAGAGTTGGTACATTTGTTTAATTCAGTAGTTGCTGCAACTAACTACATAACTTGTACGTTTTTAAGTTATTGTAAACAGTGCAGGATGTATTTTAATGCATACACTCACACAGTTACTATTCCAAGGGTTTCAGTTATCTAACTTTTCGGGTACTCAATTTACTTAAACCCCTTCGGAAAAAAACTTTAGGGATTCTTTAAAACAAACAATTGTAAAATATTCAAAACTAATTTACAGGAGCAAAAATACCTGAAAAATTTACTAATTCTTAGAAACTTGTCTGCTGCTGGCTCTTCGCTGACCAATTGAATTCCAAGCGGAGTTAATGCCCTGTCAAACAGCTAAACACAAGGAAATATTTAAATAGCTCATTTATCTGCTGTACTATTCTCTTTTAATAAGAAATTTTCTTGCATAAAATTAAAAAAATGTAGAATAAGCAAGTAACAAGTTCTATTTTACCTGTATATCAGCCCTAGCACTTGCCACAAGTAAAACAGATCCTAAAGGGTGCCAAGTGATGCTGGCTGGTGGCTGTATACAACATTTACACAATTCTATTTAATATTTGTTAAAATGTCTAGGTAAGATGTAGCAAAGCAAAATGTGAAATTAACTATGGAAGAGCTAATTCTATTCAAAATCACCTAACTCTAAATAATTTTTAAAATATTATGCTTCCAGCAGAGGAGGGGAAGTTTTAGCTCAATTAAAAAAAATGTCCCGCATATTACCTTATTTATATAATAAAAAGACCAACTTTCTTAAGTTTGAACAGTGGGTCAAGCGGTTTATTGTAACTCTATCATAAATTGCCTTATCTATCATACAGATAGATAAGGCAATCTTATGCCTACTTATAAATTGTTTTATTATATTATTTAAGAAATGTACTCCAATAACCAGCAAGCATTTAGTGTTCAGGTAAGATTTCAGCCTACATACCACAGCTGCACGAGTAAACAAGGTCACTTTTCTGTGTTCATCATACATCACCTAAACAAATTTCACAGAAAATCTTGATATCAAACAACAGACCAGCATAACAATGAATTAGAAACTTCTTGCATGTCTGCAGCAGCATTAAAAGTAACAAAAACATTAGATTAAAAAATGTAATTTGAATCAAGACACCATAAAGTTCCATGAGTCTATAAGTCTAATGCATTTGTGTCTGCCAATCAATATCATTTGCATGCTAGTATATTATCTTCAGAATAAATTCAGATCATTACCTGTCAATATGACATACCACTAAATACAGAGCAGAAGATTTTGCTTTACTTTTTTGGTCATGAAACTCTCTGGAACACCTAGCATTTTTTCTCAGAGAGTATACACTTTGTCAAACAGCCTGGCATACAGCTCTAGGCTTCTGTGTTGGGAGTTAGATACTCACCAAAGAAGCATCAGATAATCCCAACAACAGTTTATCTTCTTGAGGGTTTCGAGCTTGACACACAATGGAACCTTTTTAGAGAATACAATTGCAAATCTTATCACATGTTTTTTTATACCTAGGCCAAACACCTAGTAGCTATATGCAGTAAGTAAATTCAGTTATATAAAATAGAGAAGTTCGACATATAATTATACTGAATGACGTTCATAACGTACTTTTTAATGGGATGTTTACCACTGAGGCAGTTTGCAACTGAAAACAAATCACAACTAAATTAATTCAGGTTTGTTAGTACTCAAATATTTCTTTTATAATAATAAAGATTGCAGAGGAAAATAAAAGAATAAGCATAAATAAAAAAATAATTTTAAAATGCTAAAGCTATCCTCTAGAATTAATAAGTAAATTTAAAAGAAAGTATCTACTTGTCCTCGAATAATTTCATAAGTGCAGGATCTTGCTGTGACCTCACCATGACCACCAAACTCTTGCTCTAGAGTAAATATTCGGTGTGGCTGCAGAGTACTACAAATAATTCCAAAATCAAAACAAAAAATTAAAGTCCATGCACTAGAAAGCAAACAGAATATTTTAGAACAGCCAGTTTTAAATAACTTTTTGTACCTGAATTGACAATGTACTGGGTCACACTCTGTTTTTGTGTAGGCCATAACATCAATCATTGGCCTGAAAACATAAAAAAACTATTAATTAATTTAAATCTGGTAATTTATGTCGGTATTCAATACACGCAATAGGTTATGATTAGACAAGCAACAAATTATTTTAAATGCACTTGTATGTGTCAGTCCAAGTTTTCATTTATTAAAAAAACTGTATAGCCTACCCATTAATTGAAAGGATAGTAATGTTAGCTCGTTCTTTATCATTAGACATAGGACTCCAAGGCCAGGCCTCACCACTTCCAACAGACCACCATACCAGCATCTGATGGAATATAGAAACTAAACGTTAATTGACACACGAACATACGGTAAGTATAAATAAAATACAGAAAGTAGTCTTATCGGACATGAAAGTCTGTATGAAGTAGAGTTCACAAGTACATGTGATTTCAGCATTTGAAGGGACAGTGTGGTAACCACTATGTCCAGTACCCTTACTTTCGATGTTCAAACTTTCAAGTTAGCAAATAATGCACTTGTTCTTTTACAAAAGTTATGCTGAAATCTTACCTACAGTCTTTGGAGTAAGCTGTATGTTGTTGCAACTTGTCTGAACAACACTGGGATGTACAAATATTAAATAGCACAAATGTTTAGGCTATCCAGTAGTAAAATACTCACCATATCTTGAACTGTATTCATAGAAAAACATCTGTCCAGCCGTCTACCTTTAGGACCTGGAATATCCACCTGGGTTACCTAAACAACACACAACTATTATTATCCCTGTGGTATCTTTTACAATGGTTTTACAAAAGGAATTTTCAAAGTTTATAAAAGTATTTTATGTGCTATAAGAGGTATTTTTTAAAAAGATGCACTATGAAAATGTTAAATAATTTGGTATAAGCTTACTTGCACTGCAGCAAGTGAAGATACAAAATAATAAGAGAACCTGCCTTTGGTTCCCATGATGAAAGTTTGTCAAGACGTTTAGCAGCTTCATTGAGAGGTGGTCTTTTGGTAAAATAAGCATAATCTAAGCGGCTCATGTGACTGTGTGATGCAATAAAAAACTGATCTGTGAGGCAAGCTGAAAATAAAAGTTCTTTTTTTACAAACTGTTTTGTAAGAATTTGTCATTGTCTGCTTTTGTTACATTTTCTTAGGTGACCTTCCTATTGTAAAAATATCATAGTAAGCTGGCATAAGAATAGTTCAGTACAATGCAGACATAGTTTTAGTTTTAACAGAATGTTTAACCCTTTACAGTCGGGGCTCTAAATAAGTATGGCCAAGCAAAGGGGAATAACCTTTTCAAATTGTTGCTCAGAATAATTAATTTAAAAATCCATGTGCATTTGAAAATCAAAACAAAATGTAGCTCATAGAGAAAAATGGATATAGATTATAGTGAATTAATTACCATGCAATAAATATTTTAATTAAAAATGCAGCATCAAACTTAATAGTGCACAGACAGAACAGGCAGTTTTTGGCACATAGGACTGTACCACACAAGAAAAATCTTTGGCGCAGTTGGCCAAATTGGACTGTAAGGTTATTATGTTTGTTATGTTTACAGATTTAACACAAACCTACCATCACAAATAGTTTCACAACTCAATTTTCCTACTAAAGATTTATCAATGAATATTCTGTCTATGTCCCCAGAATGGCCACTAATGAAAAGTGTTACAATACAGGCATTGCTGAGAAGCAACTGAAAAGAGAAAAAATATGACAACAAATTTTGAACAAGACATATTTAAAGAAAAAGCAAAAATATTCATCTAAGATATGAAGTCTTTAAATCAACTAAAGAGAGTGGTTTAAAATATATTTAAAGAATATCATGTGTTATAGAACATCTCAAAATGAGATCAGAATCATACTTGTAAAACTTGCCGATTTCTCCATCTTGTATTTATACAAGTAAACTGTGCCAACAGATCCTGAAACAATTAGCATGATATAAAGTTTTATTATTTAATAAGTTAAAAACTTTAGAAATTTACAAAATCTGAATTACTAAACAGTTAAATGATATATATTCCTTTTAATTAATGTATAGCAATTTCAATTAATAAAATATTTAAAGTTCAGAAAATGATTGATTTCAATGCTGATAATACATTACATATACCTCAACTTCTTTAATTGTGTCTCTCAGTCTTTCTGGCCTCTTATTCATAGGTGTCCAAGTAATATCTCTGCCTGAAAATGTAATGTTTTAGATTCCCAGAACTGTTCATGATTTTGTTATTTCAAATCTAGTACCTATTTAAGTGTAGACCATTCATCAATCCATATTAGAATTGAAAACAATAATCGATTGGTATCACCAACTAATTTTCTACTCATGGTCATTAATTATGTATGGTGATTAACCTTTAAGTAATCAATAAGAAATTTAATTTTTAATATGGTTGTATGTCATTTTCAATTTGGTTTTTCTACAGAAATGTAATAGGCTGGTTGAAAAAGTTTTGAAAATTATTTATTAACTATTCTCCAACAGAATTTTTTTTTTTAAATCATGATTATTAATATAAGAACCAAACATGTTTTTTCAGCCCAGCTGTTTACAACTGCCTTTGAGTTTTTGTTTTTTTTGTTGCTGTTTATTGATTTATTGAAAACACTGCTAAGAGCCTGAGTGCAGGAAATTCAAAGTTATCACTATTAGATGGCTGTGCAACTTAGGCTTTAGTAAACTAAAGTTAAATAAACCTTTTTAAAACACAAGGTACCTTCTTCAAATTGTTGTTTTTCTTCATTGTAAGGTTGTTCTTGCTTGTTTACTGAAAATGTGTGAAGTTCAATTTTTTAATAAAATTAAACAATTCAAACTTTCCATGATAAAACAGTAGTTTTTCTTTTATAGTTTTTCTTTTATTACTAAAGAAGAATTTAGCCTGTAATTATTTGTTAATTAAAAAGGAATTTGTAATTATTTGAACCTGCAATTTCATATTCAATTAAGGAAAACATTTCCCAAAAGGGCTGCTCTTACCCAAGATTGTGATCAACATCCCTGTCTGTAATACTTTTATTGTCTAAACTAGGATACTCAAAAAATAATAACTTTACCTTGCTCTCCTTTGTCATGATAACAGTGAAATCCAATGACATCATCTAGAAAAAAATATTAAGCATTTTAAAAAAAGAATTCAATAAAGTTGTAAGGCCTTATACTGCCTTATATGATATATATATATATATATATAAATAAACATATATAGGGTGGGGGTGTGTGTGTGTAAAAAATGCAATTCAATCTGAGATTTCTTCAACGTCTGAAATAATACAGAATAATACAGAAATCAAACTTATACAGTTTAAAAGGTTGTTCAATTATGAACAGAATGATGTATAATATGTTAAGATAAACACAATAAAAGCATGTGAAAAATAGTGTTGAGCATGCAGGGGGTAGGGAAAAGGTGATTTGTCCAATTTTCTCGGCAGAGTCATTGGCTTAGCTATATTAAGCGTGTAATTAAGTTAAGACATTAATTTAATACAGTCAGCTTAACTTATATTTCAACGGTCAAATAAACAATGGGTTTACAGGAACGAATGTTTACAAAACTCAATGCAACAAGCCTGGCAGTTGGTTGTGGCCAGGGCAGAGTTTCTTCAAGGCATCTCTTCAAGGGGGGCAGAGCCTCCCCAAAGAAATGGAATTTATATACTAATATATACTAGACAATATTCAATATATATTTTTAACAGTGTACGCCCTCCTGGAAATTTTAGTCTGCCCTTCACCCCCAAAATTTCAAGTCGCCCCCCTCCCTCTTGAGAACAAAGTCTGGAAGAAAGACTCTTAGACTGGCCGGGGGGGGGAGAAGACGTTCTGACCAGGTTACTTTACTTGAGTTTACACTAGTTTACACTTTACACTACACTACAGTACACACTACGACTACAGTACAGACCTGGTACCGTGTAGTGTTTTTTAAGAGACCATATGTGCAATTCGCACATACAAAATGCCATTTCCACTTTGATCTATTATTATTGGCTGTCCATATTGCAAAAAAAAATAGATCCTACTTTGTTTTACATCTAGTAAATCTAGATATTAGATCTAGATCTAATCTAGATCGGAAAGAAAATAAGAGACGGGACTGTTTTGTTTACGTCGTGTATCCTAATAACCAAAAACCGACAGCACCATTTATGAGGCCAAGACATGCAGATTATTTGCAGAATGAATTTTAGAAATTTGGTCTAGATCTAGATCTCTCGGTATAAAACGCTCTAGATCTCTAGACTAGATAATTATAAAAATTAAACTCGACTAGATCTACCCGCCAAAGTGAACCAGACATAAATCTAGATCTAGAGATCTAGATGTATGTACTATGTAGACCATTGGCTCTTATTCTTATTTAGTTTTACCTTCTTGGATGTAACGAACCCCACCAGTTTTATACGCGCCTTCACCAACCCTTTTCAATTGAATTTTTTTTTTCAAATTCATAAACATAGGTAGATCTATATATTGATAATATTCTACTGGTGCACAAAATGAACCATGCATCAACATTACATCATTGTATTCAAAGAACAAAACTATTAAAATACGATTTTTTTTTTCTACTGCCACCGACACAAGTTCAGAAATGCGCGGCTTCACACTGTATTCAGCGAACATTTTGTTCTTGTAAATTCCATCTTTATGCAGCTAAAAGAAGTATTCTATTAATTTTGCGGATGCTAGACTATAATGCTCAGCTTTTTTTTTTTTTTTTTTGCTTGACATATTAAGTATGAAGGAACTGAAATATTAAGAAAAAAATCACTCGTTACCAATAATTCTATGGCATAATTATGCTTTCGTCTCTTTATGAACTTGCAGTGACCCCCAAATAGCCTATCTGTTTCATATTAGGTCTACTTGGTACGAGACGTCATCAACAATAGTCAATCAAAGTGAACTCACTATGACTCCTCGACCGTATCGGAATTATTTTTAAAAAAAAACCATCATAGATCTTTCTTTCTTTATGGACAGCACCGGCTCAGGAGGTGTCTCCCATTAGCCAGACAGGCCTCAACACGACAAACTGGCTTATGAAGATTTCAGAATAACATGAATCGGTAGATTCTGTCCGTCCGTCGGTTCTCACCAGGCTTATTTATCTTCCACCCCACTGAATGCGGGTAAACTCGCACCCCACCGTCCAGTACCCGGCTCGACCGTAGTCAGTTCGGACCTAAAAAGTTTTAACCCGACCTTCCTTGTGCCCCTGGGATTTTATACCGCCTGGTTTGCGGGAGCGTCCAGAGCCGTGACGCAGAGGTTTGACTCGGGCAGGTCGCTCCTTTGCACCTCAACACTCGTCGCAAGGCAAGGGCATCTAGCCTTAAAAGGGGCGTCGGGTTTCCTTGTCCGTGCTTCAAACAGTTAAGTGGGAAAAATTTCACAAAAAAATATTACATTGTAATAGTGCAGGTTTCTATCAACTTTTGAACAATTTCCGGAAGTGGTACTTTTGCCGTGATTGCAAAACTACGTTTTTTTCCGACTCGACAAGGTACTAAAGGTCGAGATTTTAAAATAGGAGTTGGGCTGTAGACTTTATTTTAAGGGGTCAAGCTTTTTGTAATGATAGAATCGGGTGAGTTAACAAAATCAAGGAATCCGCTTACAATATTAACATTATTAAATAGTTCTGAAGAGTAGATTCTAGTTAAAATGTCTATATTCAATATAGTATATTGATAGATGATAATTAACTTGTCTAATTTGTAAGCCCGTTTTTATGGCAAGGTAGTGAGCAGTAGAATTCCCGATCGTTTAAAAAGAGTGGTGCATTCCTCTTAAAAGTACTTAACTTGCGGCTGTGATTTTCCAAAGCTCTGCCCATCAGTTATTCCAAATGCTTAACAAGACCTTTCCTCTGTAAATTTTGCAGTCGGTGTCACCCCCTTATACCGGTTGAGTTTTAAAGTGTGCACAGTAAATATGTTTATATATAGTCAGTTAATACATGTGGATTAACTCTAATTGAACTGACAAAAAGTATATTTCTTTTATATATGTTGAAAGTTTTCGCCATGGTGTCACCCAGGTTGGGTGGCCTTGTAAATGTCTTGTGTATGATTCTGGGAGCTGCAACTCAAAACATGGCAGTATGAAGTCCTGCACTGTCATTTTTAAATACTTTTGTATGTTTTTTATATATAGCATTATCTTCTCCATATTTGTAGTCATCATGATAAAGAATTCATGTTGATAGCAAAGATTCATTTAGTTTGAGAAACAGGTTGTCTTTTGAGGAAATGTTAATGGAGGTGCTCAGTATACACTGATGACACGCCTTGCTGGCATCACAACCCCACTGCATACATTCCTAGACCATAAAATCATTCTTAGGTCTCACTTTACCTAAGTTTGAAATACGACTTGGCACACTATTATTATTTTAGTACTGGGGCTACTTTTTAGCTACCTCCTATTAATCAAATCCTCAGCCAACAATTATTCTTCCATCAGCTTGCAACAAAAAATACTTTTGCAACAAAGTGAAAACAATAATTTCAATTAAATTAGATTTACTGAAAAACTAGGGGAAAAAAAAAAAACTAAGCCATTTAAAAACTTAATGTGACATGTAATAAAATCATTTTTGAGTACAGTAACATTTAGTAGACTATAATACACATAACAGCATGAATAAATGATGAGTTTTTTCTTTTTTCAATGCTGCCTTTTCTTACTCCAAAACATTACAAAATTTAAGACATCATGCTAAACATCTCCTACACAAAACAAATGCTAAAGAAAAAACAAATGTATGAATTGCCAGTGTCACATTTATGTCATAGTTCAAGCCATAGAATGTACTCAGATTATACATAAATTGCTTTAATGAAAACTAATGGATGACTTTTTTCTGAGGAAAAAAACCCAATCCTTTTTACAATTTCATACTATGCCACTAATGGGAGTTACAATAAATACAGAGTTAAAAATGGACAAAATCTACAAGTCTACTAAATTTATTCAACAAATTTAAAAAGATGTTGATTAGAAAATAGTCGACTCAGATCATAAGCAAGCAATAAAAATGTGCATTTAGTATTAAAACAAGAGTACAAAATAATGTCTGTAGTTCAAGATGCTGAAATTATGTCTAGCAAACAAGAAAATAAGTTGGTGCCAAACAATTTCAGATCAAGGGTTGTATATACAAATGATGTGGCTTCTGGCTGCTGAATTAATTTAGATTATATGAAAAAAAAATATTCATGGTTACTTTTTACCATAAAATTTAAACAAATTCATACCTTATTTGTTCTAAGTAAAATGTGATTTTAAAAGCCAATTATGTCCTATTTTATTGATATAAAAAATCATTTCATCATATAAATGAATGCAAAATATGGAGACTGAGTGAACAAAGAAACAATTCATATTCCATGTGTTAAATACATACAATATTTAAATTGGTTTATTTATGTGAGTAACCACCCCATCCATAGGAACTGTTGGAGCCAGAGTTGTAGCCACCCCATTGTTGGTTATAATTATGGCCATACTGCCCCCAGCCTTGGTTGTTATAACCTTGATTGTAGTTGCCCCACTGAAAATCATAAAAACATACAACATTAATAAAATTATTCACTGCAATTTAATTTTTTAATCAGTCGATAGGTCTTTTAAATAACAGCATTAAGCCATATTTTTTTTGTTTTAAAATCTTGCAATAATTGCTCAGACTAAAGAGTTATTACAAGAAGAAGAAAAAATTTGGCTTAGGAGTTTTAAAATCTGTAAAATGAAAAATCCCAGAAAAGTGGCACCCCAATAATTGCTTGGGTACTTAATTAAAAAAAAAAAATGAAATAGTCTGACTGAAACTTTATTTTCTTACATTTTGTTCTAAAAAGAATGTTTGATAACAAAGATTAATTATGGACATTTTAAGCTCACCTTATTGTAGCCAGCACTCCTGTCATCTCGTCGCCTATCATCTCTGTAACCACCGCCACCACCACGACCTAAACAGGTAAAAATTTTAAAAAAATCCATAACTAGCTTTAAAAAACGATATATGCTTTTATTACTTCAGCAAAGTACTAACAGCTTATGCAATTTGGTGCCCTATGCTTTTCCGCGAGCACTATGGAGTCTATGTTATTTTTTTTAACAGTGCAATAAAACTATGCATAAGATGGGGTATTAGATAGAGCTCGGACCGTATGCGGTGCCAAATCTACGTACCTGACACCTGGGCGGTCACCAAAGAGTGCACTACCTCACTATTACGGTGAGTGATTAATGTACGCTCAAGGGAGGACCATAGTGTAGGTTAACCCATGCCCCAATAAATATGATCCAAGCAGGCATTGTTACATTTAAATAACTCAGTTTTAGAAAACAAGGTCACACGTCTCAGAATATAGGAATGGTAACTCATTGATGAAACTTGTAATATATTTTGTCAGACTTTTGTTTTCTAACCCTGCCGCAATGCGCAGGGATGGGCTCGCTAGTTTTATATAAATTAATGATTTAATAGCTTTTAAAAAGTTACCTCTTCTGTCATTATATGGTCTCCATGCATTATTGTATCCTCCACGTCCTCTGAATCCTCCTCCACGTCGATCTCTATCCATTGGTCCACGGTAACCACCACCTCGACGATCTCCTCTGAAATCTCGACCTAAATAATTTTTATTAGTTACTTAAAACATTACGAAGAGAATTCCAATGCAACTATTTGAAATTCATGCATCTTTAAATGATTAAAGTTTTTAAAATTAGTTTAACACTAGCTTATTCTGTACTAATTATGAAAGGTACATGAAAATAAAAACAAATTTTGTACATCAACCATTTTAAAAAAGTTTTTTGTAAACTAAATAGAAAAAACACTCACTGTCTCTCCTAAAGCGTTTATCTGGGGGAGGAAGAGCATCTCGTCCTTCTTTTCTGTAGCTTTCTATCAACTTCTCTCTGTCTTCTTTACTTAGTTCTTCTTCAGTATAGACAATGGTTTCAAAGCACTGACCTTCCTCAGGAAGTGTGAAATTTGCTAAAAAAAAAAAAAAAAAAGAACAAGTTTATAATTTTAAAAGCTAGGATGAGCAAATAGAGCCATGAATAAGCCTTCAATAGATTTTTTTAAAGTATAACATTTGTAAATTGTATCTGGATTAGGCTGCCTTAAGTATTTTAATACATGTGATTTTAATACATGTATTTTTAAAATACATGATATCTAAAATGAAGTCTTTTGTCCCCATGTTTTAAAATTTCTTTTTATAGCAGTAAAATTAAATTTAAAAAAGTATAAATCAACACACATATATACATACATAAATATGTATATATACATTCAAACTAGTACTTAAACCAGCTTTCTGCCAAAAAATAAGAAAAAATTAATGCTGAGGGAGTTAAACATGCAATAGAAAAGGACAGAAAAAAGTATCACATGATTAACACAGAGAAAGTACAAGATAAGGTAATGTTCCTAAACGCTGAAAAGGCTGTAGACGTTGAATAGTTACCCCCACGACTGAAAATTCAAAAAATCCCTTCATATTCCATACCATGGATCGAAGTTGCGCATCGTGCGTTATTTCTTTATTTTTTTTTTATTCTTCAGGTACCTGCCTTGTTTTTCCTCAAACATTATGTTGTACAAGTAAATTTATGATCAATAGTTGATGGCTCCTTCAATCTCTGAATCTTTACCTTTCATCTCGTTTACTGTGCTTTCAGCAATATCCTTTCCCTCATCTTCTGCTCTTTCCTTCACTCGTTTTTTGAACACTTCATCAGTAGGCAAGACCACTACAGCCTTGCGTTGAAAACCTTCAAAAGGCTGCATTTTACGTCTCCGGGCAGATGCATACACATTTGTCTAGCGTGGCAACAAAATATAAAAAATATTTAATAAATTTTTCAAGATGTCCGCAGCCGAAGGCTCTCTCAGCAGTTTTCATTATTTTATACCACACCCCTATACTCCTTGTCTCAAGAGGTGCCAACTTATCTGCAAATACTTCAAGATATTTTATATTTTGGATTCGGGAAGTAACTACCCCTCCTATTATAGGACCCTACAAATGATAAGTCCAACCTGAAGTTGAGGAAAGCATACTTACCATTTTTAACTGAAATATAAAGCATATTATAGCCAAACATCAACTTACCTTGTATCTTTACAAATGAATTTTTCTATACTAACATTATACACAATTTTAATGTGTTTTAAGAGGAAATGAGCATTTTACTTCATCAAAAAATCCTTTATAATTTAATGAGAATTATCCAGTTGGACTATTAAATATTTTATGCAATACACAGTGTATATATGATGAAATGTATTTATTGCTACTACTTACCTGTGACATTGTGTAAACAAGACACCATTACAAAACAGACAAGTGATTTGGACAAGTAATTTCCTTAGTTGTTATAAGTTAATAAGAAATATGCTAACAAAATTAAATCAGCCAATTTGCTTTTCATTTTTCTAGTTTAAAGCTAAATACCAGGTAATTAGTAATTAGGGTGTTGCTTGCCCTATTCCATGTGTCCAAGAAGATAAAGTTACATGTTACATAAAATCTGTTTCAGGAAAACCTTAAAATCAGAGATGTAACAAGACCATGAAAAAAAAAAACCCCATATTTTTTTCGGTCAAGAACTCAACATGTTTTATCTCAGCTGAAGCAATCTAAAGCCGCCGTTAGTTAACTTATTAATTGTTTAATATTGCTAATATTTTGAACTGTAATGATCTAGTTGTACTCTTGTTTTCAATTTTTAATTATTTAGATTTAGATTAATTGTAATTTGAAAGTCTTAGTTAGTGTGATGAAAAATGAAGACCAGATTAGCTGCAATTAGAAAGAATCTGATATTTATATTAAAAAGCATTTTGGAGTTAATCCCATTTCAACCAAAATTGACTACTTTGATAGCCAAGCCACATCATTATTAATGCCTATGTAATAGCTGTAGATTGTTATTAAAAAAAGTCGGTACCATATTTTTCTTACACTAACAAGACACGATTAGGGTCAAGATGAGTTAATATTAGTTTTTAAGTCAGTAACTTTCAGCAAGTCCATTGATATGTCATAGCAGGAACATTGCCATTTTAGATTGGCTGTGATGTCAATTTTGTTTTCCCCCCAAACAAGCAGTACCAAACACGTACTTGGGGTCATGGTGAGGCCACAAGAGCCACGGTTGCTTCAAGGAGGGGCAAGTTAGTCGAGTCCTCATAGTCAACTTTTACAATTATTACAGCATTAATTTGAGGTTGTGAAATAAAATTGTATCAGAAAAAAAACCTAGATTTTTGAAGCTTTAAAAACAGCGTGAGTTAAAATACCGGTAGATTAATTAGGCTACAGCTAGACTAACAAACATGCAAAATTAAAGGTAAAGAAACCAGGCTCTGGAGTTGTACGTTTCATTTAAAGAGCGGAAACATTTTTGATTAATATTTTCTGTAAACATTTAACTGAAAATAGCGGAAAATTCTGACTAAAAGTTGGGAAATACACAGAAATTCTGAATATTGACCTACATTTAACCTGAACCTGGCATTATGAGACGTAGCTCAATCGTCCAATTGAAAGAAATGCACTAATTCAATTGTCAGTTTCACCTAGTATCTGCACTGCAGGGAAGCGTAATACTCAATTTAAATAGGAATATGTGGAATGCGCTTGAGGACAGTTCCCGTATAATTCATCTTTTTCCTAATTTTTAAAACTTTGTAAAAAATTCTTCAAAAATCGAAACAGGCAGAAAAATTCTAATAAAATGAAATTAGTGGAGTTTCAGCTGAACGGAAACATAGGATTTCCGCTATAAATCAGAAAAGTTGAATCGCTGTAAAATTACAACTCTTTGAACGTAACTTTTTTCTATCAATAAAAAAGCATTCAACTTGGAAATTTTTAAATATTTAATTAATTAGGCAAACTAAGCAAAGTCTCTTTGAATGCTATATAATTTAATTTGGTAAAATAATGAAAACAAAACAACATATGAATGAGCGTACAATTAGCTGTAATTTCAACAAATGACAGGCTAGCAGGATAAAATAACAGGTTTTACACAGTAGTCATTTAATAACAAACTCTTTGTTAAATTAGATTTCCTAGGCAACCGATTTAAGTTGATATAAAGTTGATATGAAACGGAAAGCAAATGTAGTTTAAATAATTAAGTTATATTAAAGTTTAAAATGTCAAGTCACACTCAAATTTATGGAGAAAGAAATTTTTATATACTTGTTTTTCCTGAGGATTTTTTAAGTAAAAAATTAATTTGATCTCGAGTTAGACGCATGCAATAACTTCTTTAATTTACAGGAAAATCAAACAATCATTTTTTAAAGCCATATGGGATGTATAATAATAAAGACCATTGTCAGTATTGATTATGGTGAATTAATGTTAATTTGTACCATTATAAGAATGTATTTTTTCTCTGGAAAAATAAACTTACCAAGAGATACTTGTTGACTTCCAGATAAGATTCAAAAGGAAAAAAAAACATTGGTAGCTTTAAATGATAAATAAATTGTGAATTGTTAATCTTTTTACCTGGTCAATGATGTAATTTCTCTTTTTCCTTGCAGCTATCTCAACTAGTCTATTGAGACATTTGTTTGCCTTGTCTACTAGAACTTCCCATCGCCCTGAGTGATTCTGTTTTCTTGGCTGACCCAATACCTAAAATTCATTGAGAAGAAGATAGTTTTTATACCTAACCCATTTACTGCATGTGATGAGTAAGTTTGTCCAAAAATTCAAATCCCATTAGTTGATGGCAAGACTGTCTGATCATATCAGTTAATTGTAATCCCATAAGTTGGGACAAGGTGGCTTTGCGGTTGAGTGGTAAACAGCTTACCAGACCGAAAGTCTCGAGTTTTTAAATCACTAGAACGATCCTGAGTCCACCCAGCTCTAGTGAGTACGTAACTCCTGTTATGGAAACAGGTGAACTCTACTTTCATTTGCCCCATGGACTGTCAGTTCAAAAACTAATCCCATAAGCTGATGGTGAGAAAGTCTAAACATATCAGATTAAGCCTCTCCCTAAGTTTCCAAAAATAAAAAATGAATTATTTGCTAATAATATACCAATTAAATATAAAAAAAGGTATTATTATAAGTCATGGGCTTATTTGTTAATGAGCTCAGAGCAGTGCAGCAAAAGAGAATAAATTATCTAAATGTCCTATAAAAAATGTAAGAATGAGATGTATAACATTAAGGTGGAACTGTAAATTGCTGAACAAAATTTTTAAGGCAAAAAAAAAAAGGTACTCATAAATCATTATGACTAGTAAATATATTCATTAGTATGGCTTCTTCAATTATCAAATTATTTAATAGTCCAATTCTTCTATTATCCATTAATGGCAATGGCCTTAATTGCTGACAGTGTCCTGATCATTATTGTTAACATCAAACAAAGAAGGTTTTTTTGAAATTTACATTTTTAATTATGATATACTAGTAGTATAATATAAAAAATTAAAACTACACAGTATAGAAGTCAGTTTACACAGCAGTGTATTATTCTGATGGTGTACTTTACAGGGGTGCCACTCATTTTCTAAGTGAATCCTGAAAATGAATCCCAAAATTTTACCAATCCTGAAACTAAAATTTGAAATTTTTGAAACCCTGAAACTTAATTTCGCGCGGAATTTCAAAATAAAATGGACTATTATTTCATTATTTTTTGAGACATTTGATCCATATTGTGTTCAATTTACATTCCTTTAAAATGGATTTATTTTCTTTGTAACAAACTTGAAATAAAAATTAATCTTTAAAGGATTGTGCTTACAACAAAATTAGTTTACAATGTTAGTCCCACCCATCTCTAGGCCTACCCCATAATGTGCTATTGTAGAACTCCCCCCCCCCCCCCCCTCAAAGCCAGCTTTTATAACATTACTGTATTTAATTTTTGAGAACTTCCTAGCTTGAGTTAAAGTGTGTAGTCAGCCAATTGCTAACCTCTATGTCTTGTTATTGAATAATAAGCGCACTATATGCAGACCCCTAATAAGATTGTCACTGTATTAAAATACAGGGTTGACTTACTGTAGCTATTCAAGGCTTTAATTATTAACAGCCACAACAAAAACCTAAAACCCTGTTTTCCCAATCAACCACCAATGGGGTCATCCATAAATGATGTCACGCTTTTTTGACGATTTTTACCTCCCACCTCCCCTCGGTCACATATCTGTCACAAAAAGCCAGACCCCGCCCTCTAAAATGACGTCACACCTCAGCCTACACCCCCCCCCACCCCTAAAAATTGCAGTCGAATTTTTCTTAAAATACGATATTTTCCAAAAATCTTGTCTGACCTCTGTCAACATAGAGTATTTTAATCAATTCCTATTACACTTTATTGAAACAATATTCTAAAACGCGAAATAACGGCTAAAATTCGTTTTCTAACATAGCTTTTGGATAATGCAAAAGTGTGATGTCACACCATCTGAACCCCTCCCCCTCATGACAAAATTACGAAACCCCCTCCCCTTACGAGTGTGACGTCATTTATGAACGACCCCAACGCCCCCACCATTGATATACATGATGACGTGAAGAAATATCGTGGAAGTTTTAAGTCCATATCGCGGAATAACAGAAATAAGTTGTTTTTTTTAAACAATTTCACAAGTAACTACGCTAGTAATACTCATGTCAGAGATGTAGCCGCCCGACTAAGTGAAAAGCTGATTTTTTTTTTACAAGCGGTTGGGAGGGGGCAGTGATAGCGGCTATTTTCTCAGACACGGTACTTCAAGGTTTTTTAAACATTTCAATGACGTTTTACCAAAGTAAAAAAAAACAATTAGATGTAGACCCTGCTAGATTGTGTAACTAAATTATAGCAGGCCTACATATTTTGTTTAATGATATAAAACGATGCAGTTCTAGTTTTTTTTTTTTCTTGAATCTAGAAGTAGGCCCTTATTAAAAATAACCACGTTAAAATTAAACAGCGCTTGTACTTGTAGAACTGCCTTGACCGAGAGACACGACTCAGACTGTGTTTGCGTGGTCTCGTGACGTAGGTCTTATGGTCAGCGCGACCTTGAAGAAGCGGGTAAGAGGTGGTAAAAATACATAAAATAGTCCTTCAAATAGTTTTTTTTTTCTTTTCTTTTGGTAATACCAAATACAAAAAAAAAAATATTTTTTTTTTTGATCGGAGCAAAATCTTTCGGTTTTTTTTTTTAAAGACCATCGGCGATGCTAGTGAGCTTGATCTAGTACTTGTAGGCTTTAGTTGTTTTTATTACACAGCCTAGCGGTATCCCATTGATGACTTCACGTAAGTAATGCGAGTTTTACCCCCAATCCATATCGTCATAAATAGCCAGACAACCACACCACGAATGACATCAAAAAGTTTCGTCTACAGCCTCACCCGTCTGATACAGCCGATTTGTATTTGGTCCTTGGCGCACACGTGAGATTGTTGCTGACGCCATTTACTATTCATTTTTTTCGGAAAAGGCCATTAGCGGGAGTGTTGACGATAAAAACGATTTTTACAATGCCAAAATTTTCAAGCTTAAAACGATCTAATTTTTTTTTTAAAATGCAAACCCGGAAATTTTCAAACTCAAATCTTGCGAATCCGGAAAGGAAAAAAAATATGATTCTCGAATCCGGAAATCCGGGATATCCCGGAAAAGTGGCACCCCTGACTTTATCTACTTTTACTTTATTGTAACACCTTGGGGGGTCTTCCATAAATGACGTCACACTTGTAAGGGGGTCCGTAATTTTGTGATGGTGTGATATCACACTATTGCATTATCAAAAAGCAGTGTTAGAAAACAAATTTTAGACATTTTGCGTGTTAGAAAACAAAATTTTAGATGTTATTTTGCGTATTAGAAAACTGTTTTAATAAATTGTAATAGGAATTGATTAAAATACTCTATTCAGAGTTCAGACAAGATTTTGGAAAAATATCAATGTTTAAAAAAAAGTTCAACTGCAATTTTGAGGGGGGTTGTAGGCACAAAATGTATAGAGCTATGCAAACGCATAATATACACAAAATCACTTTTTTTCTGTGTGTTTTATCAGAAAATGTAGTTATGCCTAATATTCTATTTTGAATAAATTTTTCACAATTTTTGACTGATAAGCTTGACATTTTCTGTGGATGTATCTTAAACTGAACTGAATGCAACTGCTTGAATGCAACCCCCATAGAACCAATGTATGTGGCTTACATTACTTTTAATTAAATATCATAAATTTTGGGTTCTCAAAGGGTACTTCTACCGTGCTTTTTAGTGTTGCAATACAATTAAAAAAAAACAACAAAAAAAACCTATCATTTGAGTGCATTATTGGTTATATTATAAACTTTTGATGTAACCATGAAGTAGTGGTAGTAAATGAACTAGTAGTAGTAAAGCCAAAAGAAAAAAAAACATTGTTTTGGCTTTTCCCACAACTTTTTTTTACCCAAAATATAAAGTATAAACACATCCAAAACCATATAATATAATTGTGTTTCAATAACACTGCACACAATTTTTACTATTCTGAATGGCCCCTTGAAAGCCCTACCCGTCTTGATATTATCTGGTGACCAAAAGTAGGAACAGTCATATCAAAAAGAGGAATCTGAAGCCAAAAAGGAATATGTGTGACGCTACTTTGCTAAGCCAAGAATAAATAATTAAAATAATAGTCTATATAGTAGGCCTATAGTTTTCTTTATAGCTAGTCTCTTAACTACATCTTGATACTGCTTAATGTCAGCTTACATTTTTTCAACCCCCCCCCCCAATAAAACCATAACTTTAACAATACTGATTTGATTTAACTGTAGTTAATGCTATCTTAGAATGTTTTAGATAATTCTTGCCTTGCTACGTACTAGGCCATATAAAAAACAATTGCTGAAACAATGTAATTGTTAAGAATTAAGGCCTACTTAGATAGATAGGTCTTGATTATTTAGATTCTTGAATGGATCTAGAAATGTGATCAGCAGCTAACTTTTCCACATTTTATATTCTACATATTTTAAGTAAACAAGGAAACTGAATCGAAGTAAAGGGAAATAAGTTTTTCCACGCTCTTTCTTTTCAACTAGGCATGCTGCCCAGCTTAGCTTAGGCTTTCGAAAACATTGAGAATTTGAATGCTTAATTAATTCGCCCGAAGGTCGGTCTACGACCTCAAGAGTTATGAAGAGGTTCCTCCGTGGACATTTTTTTTTTCGATTTATAGCTCATATAAGGTACCGGTCAGTCGAGGTCAGTTTTGACCCCCACATCGTAGACTTTTCGGCCAACCGGCCCCCGTGTTCTGTCGCACCAAGGCAAGATCATGCCAAATTTGAAGCGCCTGCGGCGCCGGGAAGTGCCCTATCGGACACCCGACAATCTAGATCTAGATCCCTAAAAGAATTTTTTTTTAAAGTTTAGCCCGAGCATAATAAAAAATAATACATTAACCAAGTTGACTTGCTGTGTCTCGAACCCGCACCACCTGCGTGGTTTAATGTACACTAACATCTCCGCTATTTAGGAACCTTATAAAATACGGAGAATGAAACACGTATTTTAAAATCTTAACTTACGCGAATATGCCTATTCTTTCAAATTAATTTTTTATCCCAAATTAGCCAGTTCCAAACAAAGATTTTGTATAAAATAAATAAGTCTTGAAATAGTTTAGTCCTAATATAGAAATTTATTTTTGGAATTGATTTTAGAGAAGTTAAGAGTCTAAATCTAGATCTTAGCGTCTACGTCTAGAAGTCTAGATCTAGTTATTGCGTAGATTTAGATTTAGTCTAGATCTAGAATCTCTAGATCTAGAATCCAAATACATAAAATAAATTTTATGAGTTTAGGCCGGAAAAATTGTATTGTATACATTTCATAGTGTACGTAGATCTAAATCAAATTTGAATGAAATAGTTCATTTCTTTTCATTCTAAACACGGCAGATGACGTCATTAGTTAATGTATAAGCAATAGTAACGTCACAGTTTTATGCGTTCTTTTTCACATATATTAATGCTTTTCCGGTTGCATAAATAATACTGTTTCTCTACATTCGAATACGCCTTTAATTTTTATTTTTCTTCTTTAACTAAAATTGTGGTTATACATTTAAAACATCTAACATATTATTTTCAACAAAAGTCCGTAAAAAGTTCTTCATATATCGCTGCCGATTCTGACGTGATGTCCGGCGAAAATATTTTGCGGACAGACAGAGAGAGAGAGAGAGAGAGAGATGTGCGCACGTGGGGATTTATATATTAGGATTTTTTTTTTAGGCTTTTTAATTAGTTCTACATATTCACTTTCTAAATATTTTTTTTTTTGCAAAAAAGGGGAACTTCTGCATAAGTGTAATGGAACAAGATTTTTTTGTTAACTAGCGGAATACTTTAACTTTTGATGTGACAGTAGGCATGTCTGTGTTATTTAGAATTTTAGTTTAATTACAAATTTTGAAAGGAAAATACCTACTTTCATCTTATCTATGATGCTATTTGTACCAAGAAGATTGTATCTTTTATCAGGATTTTCTTCAACATGCTTTACAGCCCAGTGAGTTTTTCCTGCGCCAGGTAGTCCAACCATCATGATTACCTTTTATAAAGAAGCAATAAATATCTAAGTAGCTGACAAAAGTTAGCTGAATCAGATTCTATATAATAAGCAACAACAGAATTCAGAATTCAAAAAATTATATTTTACAGTAACTAATCTTTGTTAAATCATAAATTAACACTTTACTTTACATCTACTCACCTCACATTCTTCTTTTGTAGATGGTGGCTTGTGTCCTCTGACCCGTTCTTCTTCTGCCACTTCTTCTAAAAATTTGAATTCATCTTTCAAAGGAAAGTAGGGTCCTTCCTGATGATGAAATTTTAAAACAAAGAACAAATTTTAATTTAATATTCCACAAACCATCTAAAATTATAAATATTGACACTTGCTATTATTAGAGCCTGGCCAGAAAACAGATATATTTTTAGGCAGATTTTTAAAAATATAAAACCTATAATTAAAATCTGATAAGTCTGATAATTAGGCATTGATATAATAAATATTGACACTTGCTATTATTAGAGCCTGGCCAGAAAACATATTTTTGGCAGATTTTTAAAAATATAAAAACTATAATTAAAATCTGATAAGTCTGATAATTAGACATTGATAAACTCTATAAAACTGCTTTAAATCTAGGTCAAAATATTTATAACTTGAATCGGACTAATCATCTGACGACTAAATAAAATGTGGGACGAAAAGTAAAAGACCACGGAGTAGGGATAAAAGTAAATTGAGCCTTTAAGAAATAGAGCTTTATTGGAAAATAAAAATTTAAAAAATTCTGATCATTATTGAAACCACAATTTTGGAAAATTATTGAAGCAATAAACTCTATGTAACTGTATAAATATAAAAAAAATATAATTTATCTTTGAAAATACATACCCTGGCACCAAAATTGCACTCAAATTCAGTGTTTTTTGTCATAAGATGTGGAAATAATGCATTGTCTCCTAATGATTCTTTAGAAACTTCATAGCAGGTTCCAAGATCTTCACCATTTTTCGCATATGAAATGACAGCTGGATCACTTTCTAAATCCTGTATGTCATAAGGAAATAAAAGGATCAGTAACTATTGAATATATTTCTTTAAAGATGGTGAAGAAACATGATTGCGTGAGAGAAAATTTTTTTTACCAAGTAGGCTGTAATAACATCTCCTGGTCCAAATGTCTGACCAAAATCCACAAAATTACAAGCTGTAGAGGATTTACCAGTTCCATCATAACCATATGATAATTCTTCTTCACCTAAATTATACAGATTATACTTGATTAATTTAAATCATAAACAATAATAGTTACATAAAAAATTTTATTTCACTTTAGATGTGTAGGTCACAAGTAATTTTAGTACGATAAATGCTTTTCAGTATCACAAGCTTAATTTTACTTGTCAAAGAAATTATTTGCAATTCTTTTAGCAAATAAAATTATTTTCAAAAATTCACAACACCGGTTATGCTTGTAGAGTGTAACTATTTGAAAACCAGTGCAATACTCTGGGATGTAATTGACCACTGTAAAAAAGTATGAATTTTATATAGCGACATTACCCCAAATTTTTCAAAGTAGTTCCAGGGTACTTAAGACTATCACAAAAAATTAAAATGCATGCTTAAGATTTATTAACCCAGGTAATATTTTTAAACCTACAAATTAATAAACTTGATAGAGCCACTTAATATTTAAATAGTAGCACCTGAACATGGCTGAATTCACAAGGTAAGGGGTGTCACATGTCTCATTAGCCATGATCATCAAGGACAAAAGAAGTGGGAGTGGAGGTGGTTTGGGCTAAAGGCAATATTTATTTGTATTGGGATTTAAAGTAAATGATAGACTTCATTATGAAGAGGTGTGAGTTAAGAACTTACCTAGATTTAAAGAAGTTGAATTTACAGACCACCCTACACGGAGAACATGTGGGTTTGGTTCGTCTCTTGATAAATGTTCTACATTTAAATTTTCAAGAACCTAGAAAAAATGTCAATATTTCTCAAATAACTGAGGAATTATAGATGCAGTAAAATACAGTTAAATATCTAAAATATTAGAACAAATTACAAATTTAGTTTGTTATAAGCAATGCAAAAGATCAGTCAAAATAATAAGCTTATTGTAAGTCCTGAAGATTTAAAATAGTAAATCAGGTAGGAAAGTCTACAGTCCAGGGGTGCCACTAAGCGAACCCTGAAATTCAATAAACTGAATCCAAAATATGAAATCTTAAAACCCTAAATTAATTTGAAATACATACATTACAGTTCAAAACTTTTAGTTTATAGCACGTTTAATAGACTAAGTTCTTTAATAGTACATGTAATAAAAATGTTTAATTAAAAAACTAACTCCTCATATTTTATATCATAAGACAAGTGAAATTGCATGCTATAACAGTTATCCTTAGTATGTGCAAGAGATAAATATGATTACTTTTAAATAAGGATGCATGTCATATACTTATTATTTAGATCTCTAAACTGTAAATTCCTCTAAGAGGTCACATATAGTTCTTTTTGGCATAGAAATCACTGTTCACCAAGACAGTAATATGACTAATAAATGGTCAGAGACAAATCCATAAATGTTTTAGACGCCTGAAAAATGGAGCCTTAAAATAACTATCTAAAGGATGTTTACTGTATTCAAGATTTAAATATCAATAAACCAAACTAAATTTAGTGTTTTCTGCTGGTAAACTAATGACATAAGAGGGTTGGATAACAGTTTGCAGTTTATAAACAAACAACAGTGCTATTGGATGTTCAACCATCTACAAAAAAGCTGTAAAAAGATTTGGGAGCCATGATAGTATAAAGAACTTAAAAAAAAATTAAATAATTTACGTGTCTTATTTTTTGGTTTTGGAAAAACAGAAACTTTTATTGTATGTTTACCAATCTCGAAAGCTAAAAAAAAAATAGATCTGTAAATTAGAATTCAAGGCCAATCCTGTAAAGTGGCACCCCGGTTTAAAAAAAAAAAGAAATTTTGATCAAATCTGCCAACTTTATATACTTAATATTACAAGTACCTTCACTTCAAAAGCAACTTTCCCAGTTTTAACGCCATACATAGCTCTCACACCTGACCACATATAAGCGAAACCATCAACTGTTAGTGGGTGAGCTTTGATGTTGTTGTCATCAAATCTGAGATTCATGTCAGCGTCATCTTTGAGATAATATTTAAATATTGTTATTAAGATTTTCAATATAAAGTTATCTAACTAAACATTAAAGCGATCAGGCTAGATAATTGATTTTTAATATGTATTACGTACATCGATCAAGGACAAAAGTGGTGAGTGATTCCCATGTTGTGTCATCCATATCAACTTTTCTTGGTGGTGGGGAGTGTCTAGCATGTCTTCGTTCCCTGGAATGACTACGCCTATGACGATCCCTGGATCTAGATCTAGATCTCCTGTGGCGATCTCTAGGGGAGCGAGACCGCGACCTTTTTCGCTTTCTGTCTGTATTACCTTCAGATGATTAATTCATAATGAGTGGGATTTTAACAAAGGAGTAATAAATTTAATGAAATATGAAAATTAAAAAATTTGTTAAAAAGGCACCCAAGACAAACAAATATATACATGAGCTGCCTTTGAGGCAACAGATGTTTTTCAGTGGGGCTTTTTTTTTTATAAGACCCAATTTTCTTACTTTTACTATCCTTGTATAAAAGCTTTTATTAACTAATAATTTGTGATCATTTTTTTTTTTATAACTCACAAAGGGTTATCCTGACAATATAAGTATACCTTCTTCATTATCATCCTGTGTAGTTTCATCAATAGTTCTAAACTCTTCTCCAAGAACTACAGGGGGCTCATCATCTCCATCACCATTTGCTTCCTGATGCGACTCTTCTGCAGTGTTTTCTTCTTCTTTTTCTGTGGTCTCTGTTTCAGCAGTTTCTTTTGTTTGCTCTGTTTGATCTTCATTGTCATTTGTACTCTCATCAACAGGTTGAACCTCCTAAGATAAAGCAGCAAATATCATTTACCCTTTAAGTTTAGGATGTGATGCATAAATGTGGTTTAATTATGAGGATTTTGATTCCTACCACTTAACAAATTGCATCCTCAATGTTAGATTACTACAAATCTACATAATATGCATACCTCAGTAACATTAGATGATTCTTCTTGCTCTTCAGCTTCTTTATCCTCTGACTCTTCCATTGGTTTTTCTTCCTCTTCTTGTCCAACAGTAGCTTCCTCATTGTCATCTATATGAAAATAGTGTGCAGTAGTGTAACTTACTATAATCAATAATACAGAACTATTAATAGAAAACACTTGTTTAAATGGGTAGAAAAGATTTACTGTTTAAAAAAAGATTTCTACAATGCCAAAATTTTCAAGCTTAAAACGATCTTAATTTTTTTGTTAAACTGCAAACCCGGAAATTTTTCAAACTTAAATCTTGCGAATCCGGATAGGGAAAAAAATATGATTCTCGAATTTGGAAATCTGAGATATTCAGAAAAAGTGGCACCCCTGCTAGATTTAATGATGCCTACATATCAGAATATTTATTTTGTTTTATTTAAGATACATTTCAATTTTAAAGTGTTTTTTCCTGTCTGCTTCCTGAGCCTAACCCCTTTACAATCTTGGTTGCTAATCTTTATTTATTACTGAAAAGTTTTAATAAAAATGTTTAAAAACAGGTGCACGAAACATTTTTATAACTATTAAAACCAAATTAGATCTGGATGTTTGTAACTGTTTTCACTGGGGATGAAGTAGGTGCATCCAGTTTGGGTATTGGTAAATTAAAAATGCAAGATGCAAAAACAGTAAGGCGGTAAATTGTGAGAGAGTTTTTGTTTTACACTTTTGGTTCTTTTTTCTCTCTCAAAATCTGTAAGAAGAAAAGTTATAAACAAAACAAGTGTATCTACAAGTTTTGATATAGAATCTGGGTGTGGATTTTTTTTTAGAATATATATTCTAAAATTATGCCAATTCTAAAATCCTTGCTCCTATGATTGCCCGCTCACATTTTCTTGTCAGTGAAACAAATCCAGTCTTGGTCGAGGTGTCACTGTGAATTCAGATTAGTTTAGATATCAGTAAGCCCATAGCATAAACATAGCTATCAGAATTGTGGCTGACATCACTTTAAATAAACTTTCCCTTAACCAAGTAATATGAAAAACATTCGGTGTCACTGTGAATTAATAAAGATAATAAAACATAATTCAGAAAGGCCTACTACCGCATATACGACTTAGATAAAAAACCAAGAGAATGTTCAGGATGTTTTGAAAGACGTATTTAAAGTTGACACAATAGAAAGAAGTAGTTCAATCATCGACAAATTTTGAGTGAGGTATAAACTGGACCATCAGATTCATTGGACTTGAAATACCTATGCGGCAAGAGGCTACATTATAACAATACCAACTTTAACAATAATAGAATCTTCTTTAAAAAGAGGTGCTAGGTTACAGGTAGTTAACTAAAATACACACATGGCATGCTAATGTCAATGCAAACCCTATCCCTAACTCTTGTCCTACCATATGCCTAACCCTATTAATTTCTAACCATATAAATATTTGGGAATTACAATATTACTCACAACATAACACACCTATTCTGTAAACTGTTTTAAAATTATGACGCATTCTAAAAAGGTATCATGAAAAATCTTCAATACCCCTTTCATACATAACCAATAAACTCTAATATACAAATTTAGGTCCAGTAATAGATAATCTACTACTTATAAATTAATAGGCTATATTATGTTTGGAATTACGTCCCACTGTAAGAAAATGAGGCTGTGTTTATTTCCTTTGGGATCTGCCGTCTACGAATTGAAAATGCCTAATATTTCATTTGCTAACACATTGGGTGTGGTAAAGTCAACAATGCAACAGCTTAAGTTCATAACCCTGGAGCTCCTAGTTCGAACTCAGGGTTAGCATAACTGGAAAACAGTGTCATTTGACATTTAAGTTTTCGAAGAGTCTACTCGGAAAAAGATATTTCTGAGGAAAAAAAAAAGGGGGGGGGGGGGGGGGGAATTTTTATACCGGAGTCCAATAATGGAATCTTCTTTAAAAAAGGTGTGTTAGGTTACTGGTAGTTAACTAAATGCACACATGGCTGGCTAATTTCAATTGCTAACCCTGTCCCTACCCTCACCCTGGTCCTACCATACGCCTAACCCTAATTTCTAACCATAAAATTAGTCGAGGTTACAATGCTACTAACAACCCAACACACCTATTTTGTGGAAGAGTCTATTATCAGACATCAGTATCTAAAATCATCAAAAAAAAAAAAAGAAACTCAATAGTTCTGCGCATGCGCAGTGACCTTAATAGCTGCGCCAGGGTTAGGGATAAGGTTAGGGTTCTGCAGTTGTAAACACATGCATGCGCAGTACCGTGGAAAACATGAAGGCGGTAGTTTCTCTCCATTGTGCATAGGTATCTTTTTCAGGTTAGAATCGACCTTAGTCCTTAAGTTTTTCATATTGCAAACGTCACTTTTTTAAAAATAAAATGTCCTAACATTGTGATTGCTTGCCTACGTTTTCTAGCCCGCTGGCATAAATCCTACCACGGTTGGCGATAAAAACAATTTACTCAAGAACAGATTTAGAGAACAGATTTTAGCGGACGGCGTGCTCAGCTGCCTGAACTTTATATTTATAGAATTCGGTGTTGTAAAATTTATGCAGGTATCTGCTATTTAGTAGCCTATACCAAGAATACTAATCAGTTTGGGGTAAAATGCGAGACAAAAATGTAACAATACAGAGAGGCAGCTTTCGCACCCTTCTCGAATTTACCACCAGGCCATTTCGCTTCTTGCATTTTACAATTTTAACCCACAAATGTCAAATGTGCAGGAACATACTTTACTTTTAAGTACAATTTAAAAAAGAGTGTAAAACAAGAGTCTACATTTAGGCTAGTTTAGATAACTGTAGTAAGAGAAAAAATATGGATCGTCTAGGCCCTAACCCTAACGACTTAAAAATTAAAATATTCTAGCCTACCGGCTGAGGATTCAAGAGCTTCTTTCAGACGAGCCACCAGTGCAGCTTTATTGCCTTTGGTATCAAGCCCTCTTGCTTTCAATTCATCTCTCAGTTCAGCCACTTTTAGTTTTTCTGGATCAATGTCACTCATGATTATTATTTATTTTGAACTTTACCACAAATTTAAGCGACCTACAATTCTTTAGAAAAACTTTAATGGCGTCTGTAAATAATGAATATTCAAGATGTCCGACAAGGAACGCACATGCAGTTAACTAAAAACTTTAATTTAACTTTATAAACACAAAAAGTATGAAGAAAACAAACTTACTAAAAACCAGTAGATCTAGATCTAGATCTAGACACTACGGTTGGAATATGCAACTTAAAAAGTTTATGATAATTTGTTATTTAGTAGCCTATCACTTGGTTTTTCCAGTAGAGGTATAATTATTGGATAAGTGAAGTTGATTTAATTGGAACTCCATAGTGTGTCACACGTTCCTATATCACTGCTTTTTCTACATTAAAAAGTTTTTTTTTTCAAAATCTATTTAATATTTACTCGTCATATAATCTGATATTTCTAGTCCCGCTCAATGATATTGATAATCTTTAATGTTGCAGGAGTGGTCTTATATATATACTAGCTGCATCCCGTGCTCCGCCACGGTAAATCTTTTTTAAATGTACCAACTTGGGAACAGAAAAAAACTAAACACAACACAAACGAACGCAAAAAAAAAAACACAAACGAAAAAACAAACACAACACTCATAACATAAACACATCTTAAACGCAATCATAAAGGCATATTGCTCACAGTCTAGCCCGTAGCGCCAAATCGCGCCCTTTCCGAGCGCCGCCGGACGCGTCTGACACAGTGAATGACTATAAAACAGAGGCGTAGCGACTCTTTCCGGCGCCCGGGGAAAAACTTACGATTTGCACCCCCCCCCTTCACTTTTGATTTGCACCACTTTTGATTTGAAATTTCCCCGCACCCCCCCCCCCCCCCCCGCAAATTTTTTCCAACCCACTTTGGCGCCCCCTTAGGTCGGCAACCGGGGACATTTGCCCCCCCCCCTCTCTACGCCTCTCCTATAAAACCCCCAGCAGTATTTAAAATATCCGTGTTTTAACTACCATATTATATCACTTTATCAATTCACGCATTTTTTTCCCATTACTTTAAATTTAAAAAAAAATTACAATAAACTTTCATAACTAAAACCATTGCGCACCAAATGAACGTGATGACGCGTCTATAATAGTGCTTAATAGTTGATAAAAAAGTATAAGTAGTAAACATTACATTCAGTGAATAAAATAAATAAAAGATAGCCTTTTATCAATCAATGCTAATTATAATATTCCAACAATAATGTACTCTTACACGTCTGCATAATTTGCATTCACATTTTGCTAATTGTATTATTCCAACAATTATTCCGTCTTGCAGATTTTGCATTCACATTTTTAGCGTGAGTTCAATTTATTTTTAAAATACCTCCCTTGGCAAAATTACTAAACAGTTTAATTAGATTTTTCTAACCCACTTTTTCTAGGAATATTAACAAAAACTATATTTGACATTGATCCTTTTAATATGTTTTAGCAATGTGCGTATATTTAATATTCTCTTTACGTTATGCAAAATTGTACAAACAGTGGAAATTATAAAATAGCTCTATGCCGCTATATAAACAAACCCTACTCTATTTCTTATAATAAGACACTGCGATGCACTGAAAAGCAAAGCATGGTGCGAATGTTTACTTTTATGGTTCCAAAAGCTATAGCGATGACAGAAGGAAGGAAGGAAGGAAGGACTGACACACGCTCAGCCCGCTTATATTATATATATATATATATATATATATATATATATATATATATATATATATATATATATATATATATATACTAGCTTCATCCCGTGCTCCGCCACGGTAAATCTTTTTTAAATGTACCAACTTGGGAACAGAACAAAACTAAACACAACACAAACGAACGCAAAAAAAAACACAAACGAAAAAACAAACACAACACTCATAACATAAACACAATTTAAATGCAATCATAAAGGCATATTGCTCACAGTCTAACCCGTAGCGCCAAATCGCGCCCTTTCCGGTGATTTGCACCCACCTCAAACTTTCGATTTGCACCCCTGCCCCCCCCCCCCGCCGCCCTAAAACTTTCGATTTCCACCCCCCCCCTCACATATTTTTTCCAACCAACTTTGGCGCCCCCTAAGGTCGGCACCCTCGCTACGCCTCTCCTATAAAACCCCTAGCTTGTCCGCAAACCGAAAGATAGAATAATAATTAGTAAACAGTATAAATAATAGGCAGTATTTAAAATATCCGTGTTTTACCTACAATATTTCACTTTATCCATTCACGCATTTTTTTTCCAGTACTTTAAATTTTAAAAATTTACAATAAAGTTTCATAACTAAAACCATTGCGCACCTAATGAACGTGATGACGCGTCTATAATAGTGCTGAATAGTTGATTAAAAATTATAAGTAATAAACAGTAGGGCCTACATTTAGTGAATAAAATAAATAAAAGTTTGCCTTTTATCAATCCATGCTAATTATAATTTTCTAACAATAATTTCCTCTTACACATCCGAATAATTTGCATTCACATTTTGCTAATTATATTATTGCAACACTAATTCCTTCTATGACGAACGTATATTTGCATTCACATTTTTTATAAGCGTGAGTTTAATGTATTTTTAAATTACCACCTTTGTCAAAATTAGAAAAAAGAGTAAAATTAATTTGAATTTTCTACCGTACTGTTATTATGTTATTAAAATATATCCACTTTTTCTAGGAATGTAAACGAAAATGATATTTGACATTAATACATTAATACTTAATATGTTTTAGCAGTGTGCGTGTATTTAATATTTTCTTGACGTTATGCAAAAAGTAAAAACAGTGGCAATAATAAAATAGCTCTATGTCGTTATATAAACAACCCCTACTCTATTACTTATAATAAGACACTGCGGTGCACTGAAAAGCACAGCATGGTGCGTAGTTTACTTTTATAGTCCCAAAATCTATAGCGATGACGGACGGAAGGAAGGAAGGACAGACACAGCCCGCTTATATTATAGATTATATTATAGATATACATATATATATATATATATATATATATATATATATATATATATATATATATATATATATATATATATATATATATATATATATATATATATATATATATATATATATATATATATATATATATATATATATATATATATCAGAGGGGGGCTGGGGTGCGGACCGCACCGGGTGACACCATTTAGGGGGGTGACACCAGGCAAAAAATAGCAAAATATATACAGAAAAATGATAATTCCACTTAATTAAGTGAATAGTTAGAGTGTTAAATAGTCTTTTAAGAGCAAATTTGACAAACCCGACAAGGGGGGGGGGGGGGAGTGACACAATGGCGTAAACCTTCTAATGATAGAGAAAACAGGCTACATCAAGCTGAATTTATAACCGACTATAGATAAAAATCGTTAGTATTATATATGAGCACAGTTAAAGCAATCGCCGTGGAGGGGGGGGGGGGGGGTAAGCAGAGGGAAGTTACATTAACTCAACATGCAAAATATGCCTGAGGTAAACGGTTTGGTTGAGAATCGTAATAACTTATATGTTAATCCATACTTATACAAAGCTTTCATGTTTTATATTCTTTTGACCGTTGGTGGTTTAATAGGTCTTATATAGCAGAGATAAAATAACCTAGATTTTTAAAACAGACTAATATAACTGAAACCAAATGGTTCTCGAAAGTACAATTATTTGTGTTGACAACAGTGATTATATGCGAAATGGAGATTTTGTACCTACTCGTATGCAAGCTCAACAAGATGCATTTATTAACCTTGTTTGCATGTCCAAAACACGATCAAATCCAGAGAATAATGTTGGCCCTTTGAAAATGGCACAAGCAGAGGTACTTGTGACTTTAACCTCAGACGTTGGCAGAATTTTAGCAAAGCTGCATCAGGTTCAACCATGTGGGGAAATCAATTTTATGACAGCAGTTAGAGTTGCACATTTGGCTTTAAAGCATAGACAGGGAAGAAATCACAAGCTAGGAATTGTTGTATTTGTGGGAAGTCCTATTGATTTGGATGAAAAAGAGATTGTTAAAGTCGCCAAACGATTAAAGAAAGAGAAAGTCAATGTTGAAGATGTCAACTTCGGAGAAGAGGGACTGAACACAGATAAACTCACTGCTTTTGTCAATGCTATAAATGGAAAAGATGGAACTAGCTCTCATCTCGTGACTGTTCCTCCTGGACCCATGCTCTCTGATGCCCTTCTGAGTTCACCTGTCATCGTTGGAGAAGATGGTGCTGGCGCTAGCATGACCGGGGCTGGTTTTGAATTTGGAGTTGATCCTAATGAAGACCCAGAGCTTGCATTGGCACTTCGTCTATCTATGGAGGAACAACGGGCTCGCCAGGAAAGGGAAATAAGACAAAATACTGCCGCAACTACTGGAGAGTTAGGAGTTATTTCAGCAGCTTCTGTGGAAGAAGAAATGTTGGAGAAGGCATTAGGTGCATCATTGAATCCAGATGACTCTGTGCCACAGTCCAGTAACCCCACCCCTGTAGAGATGGATTTCGCATCAATGTCTGAGGATGAACAAGTAGCTTATGCAGTCTGACTCTCAATGCAATACTCAGGGATGGGAGCTTTTGATGGTGGTGCTGCACCAATGGAGACAGATAGTATAGGTGGAGCCCCCGCCAGTGTTTCTTCCAGACTTTTTTCTCCGGGGGGCACTTGAAATTTTCGGGGAGGGGGGGCGGTAGAATTTCTTCGGGGGGGGGGGGGGGGGGCGGACACTGTTAAAAGTATATATTTTCTATATAAATTATATAAATTTCATTTCGTCCGGGGGGGGGGGGGGGTAAAAAAAATTCGGGGGGGGCTTGCCCCCCCCCCCCCCCCCCCCCCGAAGAGATGCCTGGAAGAAACTCTGGCCCCCGCCAGACCTGACAAAAAGGAGGAGGAAGAGGACTACTCATAGGTGATGAATGATCCTGACTTTCTTCAAAATGTTTTCCAAAATCTTCCGGGAGTTAACCCCAACAGTGAAGTTATTCAAAGTGCAATGAGTAGTGTAATCAAGGACAGCAAGAAAGATGATAAAAAAGATGATAAGAAAAAGGATGACAAAAAATAATTGAACTGGCTAAGATTTTTG